TGGAAGCATGTTTGAGTCTTGGAAGGTGTGCAAGCCACTGACATGCGACCTTATAGTGCCTTTCTCACCTCCAGATCCGTACTCCTTCCAGTTTGACTTGTGGTGCAGCCCCTCCTGTGACATGCCTCCAGACATGCAGGGCTGTGGTAAGATAAAAGTGGATGGCTTTCGGGAGGACAAGGAGGGATGTCTATGTGGCTCTGCTAACCTGGGGGAGGACATGCTCTGTCTCTTGCATGGGGGGGAAGACACAGTCCAAGTGGAACATAGTCCTGAGGAACTGCTGTGCTCTAGGAACACTCATTTGTTAACCAAAGATCAAGTCATGAAGTGGTTTCAGATCACTTTAACCAAAGCGTGGGGCCGCATCTCTCACAAATACGACTTTGAGGTTACATTTGGCCACCTGGATGCAGCCGGTGCACTCAAGATCCGATTCCGTTCGTGGAAAGTCATCGTAATGAACATTATACCCGTTGTTCAGCTGGAAGGTACAGATGCTTATTTTGTCCCACACTTTCCATCAGATTATGTCAGCTCTCCCGACCCTTACTGGACCCTCTCACTTGCTGTCTACGAGAGGAGTTTGCTGAAACATTTTGCTAAACGCCTGCCACAAAACTCCTGTCATTTACACTGCCTTCAGATTGTGACTTTTCTACACAGAAAGCAAACGGTACTCACGGGGAAAAGTGCCCTCACTAACTACCACCTAAAGACTGCCCTGTTGCACTTGTTGCTGAGTAAAAGACCCTCTGTGTGGGGCATTGAGGATACTGAGCAAAGGCTTCGGGATGTGCTCAGCTTCTTGCAGAGGAGCCTACATGAGAAGAGACTTCATCACGCTCTGATTGGGAACAGTCAAGTGCCGGAAGAAGTGCAGCTGCCTGAGGTTATTTGCAAAGCAGAGCCCATCAATCTGTTCCGCTCTTTATTTTTGCAGAGGGAGCTTTATGCCGCAACAGTCAGGCATTTCAAAGAGATGTTGAGAAATGCACCTGTGCTCATACAGGAGTTCACACCGCCCTTATCAAATGGAGGTTTACACCACAGGCTAGAGGAACGTTTGTGAGCTTAGGCCAGGGTTTCTTCAAAACTAAACCACCAACTGATCTTTAAATATCATTCAATGTTACTAAGAACAATGTTGTAAATAGTTACACCAGACGAGTACTCAAATGAAAAGGTGAACATACAACAGTTCTCTTGAAATCATGTGGTGACTTGAGCTGTTGCCTTGTTAAATTAAGTCTGCAGGATCGCTTCTGAAGCTTAAAGGTGGTAGGGCTGCACAATTATTCGAAATTATATCAAAATTCAAAGTATAGACAAGTGCAATATTCAAATTGCAGGAAGCACAGTATTTGTCTAAATACGTGTTGGTATACAATTTTGAATAAAGTATTGTGCAGCTGTAAGAGATATCCCAGCCAACAAATCCTACTCTACAGTCTTACCAACACATTGTTAGGTATGGATCGTCTATACAATTAATATACTTTCCAATGAATATATTAAAAATAAACAATTCCTTCAGTTTTTGTAATCATATCGCAATTGCAATATCAGTCAGTTGTTATTTGTAACAAATCATGCAGCCCCACTTAATTCATATTGCTTGTTTACCTGGAGGAGAGATTTTCAGTAGATATCCCTCTGCTTTAAGTTATCTAATTGAAAGTTGGTTGTTTCAGAAATGATTTCACCATTTAACAAAAAATACCCAAATAGCTGTTTTTGTTGGGGTAACATTTTACAGAAATACCTCTGATAATATGCCGGTCTAACCAGGGAATCTTTTTCCTAACAGTAAAGCTGTGTTTTTGTTTTCATTTATATCAATTTAAATCTCATGGCAGCTATTACATTTTGTGATGTTCAATGTTTTTTTATTGTTTATTATAAAAGCAAAGTTTGTTATATTGTTGTGCCTATTACATTTCTACTGTGTTGTCAATTTATTAAATTGGACAACCTTGATAAGCAAGGAGTAAAAACATTATTTCGTTTTTGTTTATTAGTGTATCACACAGACTAGAGTCATATCATCTACATTTTTTATTAGAAAAAAAAAAGTGCCACATTATTGAAAAAACATTGAGTCATATTTTCCTTTCTGTACCTCATTAAGGTTTATATTTAATATTCATTTAATAACAAATCAAGACTTATTTCCAATAAACATAATCCCTGTATCCATTTCATGTTAACTCATCATGATATCTGCTGCAAAATATTTTCCTATGACAAAGTTGTAAACACAGACATGATCCCAAACCTGGATATGAATAAAAAAATGGGACGGTTTTAGATTTGATCACTTCTGTTCTACAGGCCGTAGTCGTAGTCGGGCTTCCCCTCCTGGTAAGACTTGTAGAAGGCCTTGTAGGTTTCTGCACTGTGCATGCAGGCTTTGACCGCCGCATCCTCCGTCATGCGCTCTGTCCACTTCTTCAACTCAGGTGTGCCACCAAGGCAGCTGAAATGACAACGGGAATTGAATAAGTAGTTCAATCGCAACATATAAACACAAGATGCATATATCTGTTCAGGTGAGATTCCCTGCTCTTCAAGTCTTACTTCTGGACTTTACCTCATATTTGAACAGTTTGCTCTTCTCTATGGTTACCTTGAATGTTTTGGAATGCTTCCACAAATAAAATCTATTTATTTTGTAATGTCCTGAGGAGTTGTTACTTACTGTTTGAGTTCCATAAGCTCCAGCCTCTCAAACCACGGCCACATCATGTAGTCGATCATTGTGATGGAGTTACCACCAAAGAACCCGGTCTTCTTGTTAACTAGGTCCTGAAAAAACACCATTATGTTTATGTTGTAAAACACTGAAAACTAGCCAGGTACAGACATCGAAGACAGACACTTGGGTGAACTCACTCATTATCTTTGACGGTTATTTACGATCCATAAATAATCAGTTGTGCTTAAACTCTTTCCTTGTGACAATCTACCACATCACATGTCTGGTGAATGTGTAAAGAAGCACTCAACTTTGCAACCTACCTCATTTAATTTGGCAAACTTCTCTTTCAGTTCTCCTTCCAGTGCTGAGACATCCTCGCCATTCTTTCTCCCCATTGGGATCTTGTAGAAGTAAGGTACTACCTGTAGAAAACAAAAGCATTATTCTACTATCTCATGGTCCTAACAGTAGACATGTACTCTAAAAAAAGAACAGGATTAAGAAGTCCTTATATAAGATACCTTGGAAAAATGCTCCAGCATCATCTTCTGTTGGGCTTTACCAAAAGGAGAGGGAGGAAGCAGCTTCTTCTCAGGGTAAACTTCCTCCAGGTACTCGCAGGTGATGGGAGAATCATATACCACCTCCCCAGAGGGGTTCTCCAGGGTTGGGACTAGCCCGAGAGGATTCTTCTCAAGAAACCACTCAGGTTTGTCCTTCAGGTTGATGTTCATGGTTTCATGCCTGAGAGGGAAAACAGGTTTTGCATTTTTAATCAAAAGCATGGATTACAGGTATTTATTTTAATACAATGGCAATCTATAGATCTATGGAAATGTAAAGTAAAGCATCATAAAATGTTTTTTTACTTGATCCCTTTGGCAGCCAGCACTAATCTGGTCCTTTGGGCGAAAGGGCAGAATCTCATGCTGTAAAGTCTGATTTTGCCATCCGGGACTGGACCAGGTGCAGCACTTCCTGTGAGAACAAGAACATGACAAAGTGCTTAGGGAAACATGTTAATTTATGTATTCTACCATTTATATATTATGTAAAAATGAACATTGAATCTAAACCTTCTGTTACCGTCTTGTACTTAAATCATTGTGCCCTACATCCACTTCATTTACGTATCCATTTCATGGCACTCTGCTTTGTGCTGTTTTATCCTTAGTTAGTGTTTTGCTTTGTTTTTAGTTAGCTAACACTGTTTATTATGTTTTCATTAGTTTAGTTTGTTTTGATTAGTTTAGCAGTAGCCTGCCACCCCATTAACTGGCCTCATTCCACTTTTAGTTTTGAACCAATTTGTGGAATAAAGATAATTTTAACTGAATATTTCTTGTTTTCTAATCAATAATTTTTTATCTTGCAGCACCCTTTCCTGAGTTTCCTTTTTTTTGGATTACATTTAATAAAAATTACTTACTTTTATAGGCACATGTATGAGGGACTATCAGTGGCGAAGGCTGTAATAATACAGTCTTCAATTAAGCATTACACAATTCAATGAAAGGACTTGGTCATTTGTAAAGCACTCCTGCTCTACTGTCGGCTTTATGGGCTCAGCTGATAAGATTGCATAATGCATAGTCATCATGACTCTGCAGACATTTCGCATCGGTCATTGCTTGTCAAGTTTTTGAAGCATGACAGCAATATTCAGAGAGGAGGTAAAGAAAGGGATCTCAAACATCTGGCGGGATGTAAAAATCCGTAAAGAGAGTTTAAATATAAAATAAATGCAGTGTAGTAAAAGTGCACGATTTACTGCAGTAGTAGAAGTACAAAATAGCAAAAAAGTACAGTACACGTCTCTCAAAATTGTACTTAATTAGAGTACTTGAGTAAATGTACTCGGTTACTTTACACCACTGATATTTAGCAATGCATGCAGTTGAATATATATATATTATATATATACCTTGATATATTAGTGACATTTTAAAGGAAGTGAAAATGAACACGCAATTTGGCTCGCTAACAAAATATGACTTGCTCCGTCAGTTATCCAAATCATTGCTGTTCATCTTACCTTTGGCGAAACTCTTTTCAGTAGACATGTTTGCACTGTAGCTGGTAACCTCAGTACCGTCAGAAAAGGTGTGTAAAAGACGAGAGTCTTCTTATTATACATCCATGGAGTGAACTCGTCAAGCTTGATGTGGCTGTTTATTGAATGTTTCCTGTACTTCCGGTATGGGCGCGCCGATAACGTTTCAGCCAATAGTATTAAGAGTTTTTTGGTTGCCAGGGATACGCAAAGACTCACTCTTTCTTTTGTCGGTTGTATCTGTGGGGAAACAACTTTAATTTAACTCTGCCATGTTATTTTTGTATTAAAATGGATGACATTGGAAGTTTAGATGTCAGGTATGTCACCACTTCAAATTTAAATCTATGTATTTCTTCTCTGTCGCATATTCACTGTTAATTCAGTGTTTTCTAGTTTGTGCCTCACGCATTAGCGTACATACGGGTCGCAGAGGGGTAGTATGCTAACCCCAATGACCCGTATGTATGCTAGCTAATACCTGGCTGTCTTGCTCCCTCCAGGTGGATACAAGGTTTTACAAACAAATGTATAGAGTTTGTCGACAACAAGACAGTATGTTATACATGTGGGAGTCATATTTGTTTCCTCAACCTGGAGACAAAAAAGCAAAGTGTGCTTCAGAGTCCTGGCAGAGGCATTGGTGCCTTGACAGCTAATAGCAAAAATGGAACTTTTGCTTTCTCTGAAGAAAAGCTATCCCCGTCTATATTTGTGTACTCTTTTCCAGAGTTACAGTTGAAGAATGAATTAAAAGGTAAGAATTTCCCCTCCCAGTTAAGATCACATTATTTTACCAACAGTATTGGGTTATGAATGTTGATGTTTGTGCATCAATAATACATTTATATGTTTCAGATAAACACTAAATAATTCCCATTGATTTTTCTCCTATAGGAGCTGCACAAACTGACTACAAATCTCTGACATTAAGTGAAAGCGGTCCTTATTTGGGATGCTGTTCCTCTTTTCCAGACTACACCATAACAGTGTGGTAAGCTAATAAATACTCTTTATATTGTGTACTTCACATTTCCCGTTATGTTTATTTAGGCTAAGCAGCTCTGTTACTGTAATCATGACTGTGATCCAGGAACTGGGAAATTGCTGAGCCACTTTGTACACAACCGCAAGCTGGGCAGGATGTCATTTATTTGGTGTTCAACCCTCTGAATTGGCTCCAGCTCTGTGCTTTGGGCACTACAACCCTCACTGTCTGGAATATTGAGAAGAGTGACAGCTTTCATGTCCTCAAACCAAGGTAAAGCAGACTTAGCTGTACAAGCAAGTATTCAAAAATCCAAATTGATATATGTTAACGAGAATTTCTTTAAATTTTTGATGTAAAATGTATTTAACTGATAAATTAACATAGATTATCTGCATTTTTACTGTTCGCACCATAAGCAGCAAGTTCAATGTGGACTGAAAAACACAAGCAGCACCTACATAATAAGGTGTCATACAATAATATGTACGTTTATCACACTTTTTTTGCATTGCAGTGTGATAGAGCTTCCAGCAAAGGATGGTTCCTTTGTTGAGAGATTGGTGCCCCCCTCTCATACTGTCAGTGACAAACTGCCCTATTTTGGTCTGGAGATGCCTCCAACAGCCATCTCAGGGCTCAAGGGAAACAAAGCAGAAAGCATTGTGGTACTGTCCTGTCCTTAATACACCTATCGACCAAAGAAATACACTCTCACCAATTAATATTTTTGTTGGTGTTACAGTTGTAATTGTTAGATTTAAAAATCTACTTGATGGAAAAACTATTTTGTTTTCAGGCACAAAAAACAAAGACTACATTTAAACTTTTACCCAACTCCACATGTGTTTGCACAGACTAAACTGTGCACCAAAGCCAGAGTCACTCCTACTGCCATCTGCTGGACAGCCACATCAGAGCTTTATGTAGGCTGTGAGGAAAGCTTTCTGCTCCTTGTTGACCCAGACAGCCTCTCTGCCTCAGTCCTCTTCAACCCCACAAGTAAACAAACACACACACTACGACACTTGGATGTAGAAGAAATTAAAAAGAGAGACTTAACCAATTTATTTTGGCAATAGAAAACACAATTTACATCTTTATATGTTCTTTACAGCTGCTGATGCCACACCTGAACTGAGACATGGCAACTTTCAAGGTTTAACCCTTGACAAGAATGGTTTGATTGCTGTCGGAAAGGTACAATGCTCTCATTTACATCTGGTGACTGATGATTAAATATGTAATGACATATAATAATGAAATCTTCTGCCAATTGGTGATCTGATTTATAATTCCAGGCATCGGGAATTCTCAATTACTCCAATCTGAAATGCTTATGTTTTACAGGAGAGTGTTGTGCACTGTCTGCAAATCAAAGGGTCTCAAATCGACATCACACATACGTGGCAATTAGAAGGACCTGTCACAACTGTGATGTACTCCCCTGACCATGAGATATTACTTTTATCTTCTAATACAGTAAGCACTTGCATGTACCACAGTGTAAATTATTGTACATATAGATACTCACCTAATAATAACATGTTACATATTGAAAATAACTACTGGGAACATGACAGTGTTTTTGTCTTTCAGGGGCAAATCTATGTGTTGAACCCAACTGAGTCGGACAACTTTTTGAAGGTCCTGGATGTTCTCTGCGGAAACTTTGTGGCTGCGCATTTGTCACACACTGGCAAGAACATTTGTGTGGTAAAACCTTTGTGTTGCTCAAGAAGTGCCTTGTTGTGATTGCAAGTGTAATTTCGGTCAATGTCTTTTATTGAGCTGTGATGTTTTTGTTGCTTTCAGTCGGTGAGAGACTCTGGAGAACTGCAGCTGTGGTCTGCAGATGGCACTATCCTCGGTTCTCTGTCCCTTCAAACTGAGGTCAGTGTCACAACATGACCATTTATATCATATCAGAATCAGAATCAGGTTTATTACCAGGTAGGTTAACTCATACGAGGAATTTGACTTGGTGTTGTGGTGCATACATACAAATAAAACAAAAATTAAAAACACAGATAGAAAACTATTTGAAGAAAACTATAATAACATAAAAAAAATATAGTAAAATATAGCATTATTTACATTGCATATGATTGAAATCGTAGAAATAGAATTGGAATAAAATATGTGCAGTAATGAAAAACATTGTGTGCATTAATATAATTATGTAATGTTATATCAGTAATGTCATAGTCAAAATCTGAAGCTTGTCAGAATGAAGAGGTACTTTCTTATCAGAATAACTGTCTCTGTTTAGGTAACAAGCATGGCCTGCTGTCCTATTGCGCATTATGCAGCTGTTGGAACAGCTTCAGGAAATGTCCTCTTCATTGACCTGAACATGGAGCATCAGCCTCGCCTGGTGCACCAGGTTCATCTGTACCCTACTCCTGTGGATCACCTAGTGTAGGTATCCTCCATCCCTGTGATGAGTTTAGTTGCTTGTAACAAATACTGCCTTATACTCTACGTAATGTAAATACTGTCAGATGTATATATTTATACTATACTTAAGATCACTATGCACTTTACTACTGTTTTGCACTTCTGTTTTGCACTTCTGTTTTGCACTTCTGTTTTGCACTTCTGGTTGAATGTAAACTACATTTCGTTCTCTTAGTACTTTTATTCTGTGCAATGATAATAAAGTTGAATCTTAATCTATTTTAACAAAGTGTGTCATCATAGTCACAAAGTAGAACCAATAGTTATCTGTAAGGTAACTGATATTCCACTTTTGGTCAGGAAAGCAAACAAAATGTCAGTTTAAATGGTCAGATGCTTCTTCTTTTGTGCATTTACTTGATGAATGTGTGTGTGCATGTGTTTTTTGTTGCAGTTTTGATCAAGAGGGGCACTACCTTCTTACCACTGCCTCAGATTCACACATCTATGTACTTGATGCAAAACCATCAAATAGATTTTCAGTCATAGGATACACAGGTAGATACTCTTGATTTAATCATTTGACATGTTAATGCTGTCCTGTATGTTCAAAAACACTTGAAAAGGAACATTGGATTTGGTAATATTATGTTTAAATATTAGGGAGTGAGCTAACCCGCATCCTTTTTCTCATTTGATTTTCCTTTCTAGTTGTTCCTGGACCCATTTTGTCACTTTCCACTCAGTGCGTCAGAGATTGTGAGCAGGTGAAGGTTCTTGCACTGTGCAATGGACAGGAGCTCACAGTGTTCTCTCTGCCAGCCAAGAACCTTGCAGGTACAGCACTGATGGAGTAGATTCATTAAGGAATTTGTAGACATATATTTTTAGAAGTATTGTTTTGGTTAGCACTTGTTGAGCATCATAAAATGATCTGGTTCCGAAAGAGAGAGAGCTTTAAATAATAGAACATGTGATTAATGTCTAGTGTCTAGTATTACATTGCTGTCTTTGAGGGACCAAGATGCATTGCACACATGAGAGGAGTGATGTTCAAGCCTTGAACAAAAGATACAAATTAACTTTGCAACCTTCAGTTAGTAAATTATCTTCTACAGCTAGTTGGTAGAAATTATAATAGCTTGTAACTTCCTTTACGTGACAGCTTTACACAGTCACATCTTTTAGCAGTAAATAATGGAGTCAAAGTTAACTAGACTTCCACTTGCCTTCTGGTCTTAACATTTTAATGATGGGAATCTCATTATTCATCCATATCCGAGTATCAGCACTAAACTGGACATTTTTATTAAACTGTTTAGACATGTTGCCCCAAACACTGGGAAAGAGAGAAAAACGACTGGGCGGTTTACAGGAACACACCCATTGTTTACGCAGCCTGTAAAACTATGTTGAACAAGACGAGCCATGAGACAGACGGGCCTCTAGAGGAGAGTGAAAACATTAACTAGGGTGTGGCTGCAGATTAAAGTCGGCCCACACATGACAAAAACAAACATGACTGTTGTGTATTTTTAAGGTGCTATGTACATGAAAGGAGACTTAAAACACATATATTTCAAAAAATATAATACATAATTCTACACAAAAGAAGACACATTAACACCAGCAGTAGGTACTCAATGGTGATGACTGATTAATGGTTGTGTGGTAAGGGAGTAAACGTGTCCTTGCGGATTTAAACATTTTATTGCAACAGTGACAAACGATTTTATGTAGATATTTCTTTGCATGTGCCTTTTACTCTTGAGGGCAATAGCTGAACGTGCTGACTCAAGGGATGGCTGTGGTGATAAGGGCTAAACTGTTAAAAAAGCAGGTGGAACAAGGCAGTAGGATCGTGTGAATAATGTTCCTGTAAATCTATACAAAAATACAACACAGTAAGGGAGTCTGTTTCCAATTGTTTATTTTTTACTACATTGATGATGTGCCACTCCTGACAGGTCCAGATTGTTTAGACCGGCATGGTTGTCTATCCGCTCACATCCTCAAAGTATCCCGATACGAAGTGCCCCATCCTCTTGATTCCTGTGTTCTGGGAGTCAGTGAGGTCTTTGCTAACTGCCGCGAGAAGAAAACTCTTCAGCGATTTCAACTTCCACAGGTTTACTTCTGTCTTTATCCACCTGAAATACCATTGATACAATTAGAGAAAGCTATTATTGGAACTAAAATGTAGAAAGATATAAAGAAACAGTGGCAGTGATTAACACATTATCCTCCTCCCTAGGACACAGAGAGTCTCTCCAGTCAACAGGTGGTCCAGCTTGAACCAGAGCAGGAAGTGGGGGGCCACCCTCTGGGCCCCGCCTCTCTCGCTTTGTCTCCTCACCAGCTGTGGCTGGCTTCTGTGGGCCGAGATGGCCTCCTACGCATCAGAGAAACTGCTAACATGGTAGGGGCTTACTTTAAAAAAAAAAAATTATTAAATATTTTAAACGTTTTGAACATTAGTGGAAGAAATACCCAGATGTTGTACTTACATAAAAGAAGAAATACCATGGTGTAAAAATACAAATAAAAGTATTGCATTCAATGTATTATTTGTCATGCAAGGCATTTGGATTTGCATTTCAGGCATCATAATCTAAATATATTAGTACCATTAGTACCAATATATTAGTACCAGAAGTAAAAGTACTCATCATGCTAAATGGTTCATTTCAGAATATATTATTTGATCATAATTATTGAAATATGAATGTGTTCATCACTTTAATGTTGCAGCTGTTTTACATTTTTATACATTATTCTCTCCCCCTTGGAGTCAATAAAGTTTTATCTTAACCTAAAATATTACATCTTAATTTATTTCATATTTATATTATTTATTATTTATCTGAAGCTTCAAAGTTACTATTGATCAAACGGTCAAATAAATGTTAAAATGTACGTTTTCTACATTATTAAGAAGTAGAACATGGAAATACACACGTAAGTTACCTCAAAATTGTATTTAGGAACAGTGAGTAAATGTGACTTTGCAGCCCTGTGTTTGAACCATCTTTTCCTTGTCTGTGGTGTGTGTTACGATGCTGTTGCTGCACCTACAGGAGCAGTGCCTTGAACTGCAAAGTCACTCAAGGCATCTGGGTGGAGTTCAGAGCGTGTCCTTCTCTGCTGACAGCCAGACTCTCCTCACTGCGGGCTTTAGAGACGGCTCCCTCCTGTGCACCGATCTCAGGTAGAGAAGCAGTCAGTCGGTCATGCTTACATAATGCACAGCTGTGAACAGCAGAGGGAGGTGTTGCTCTCAGCGGTGAAGCCACTCTTACAGTCTGATGTAGACCCGCTGTATTTTTCCTTTCTTAACCTCGGCCTTCAGGACAATAGTAATTAATAGAACAGAAGTGGTCGGTCGAGAGGGATCATGGTCATCATCTGCAGGAAACAAAGATCATAGAAACTTTACAGAACAATTCATCCCGTTCCACATCTTCCTCTGCTGGGTGCAGCTTCAAAATATGTTCTGCCTTTTTCCTTAGCCCTTAAGACTCGTAACAACACTGTTTTATTGTTCCTCTTATTATTGGTTTACTGTATGTCTATTCAATCGGCTGGGAAAATGTGCCCCCAGGTTTTATGAAATAGCTTTAAAACGTTTTAATTTATGAGTAGTTTTCAAAGTTTTATGTTGAACACATAAAACTTTGAAAACTACTCACAAATTAAAACGTTGTAGTAGTTTTCAAAGTTTTATGTTGAACACATAAAACTTTGAAAACTACTCACAAATTAAAACGTTTTAAAGCTATTTCATAAAACCTGGGGGCACATTTTCCCAGACGATTGAATAGACATACAGTAAACTAAGAAGAAATGGGTTTGGTGCAGAGAGCCGCAGACAGGGTAGGGAAGTCAGAAATGATATAGTATAGAACTAATTTCACTGCTGCTCTTTTATCAGATTTGTTGATGGTATTATAAAATGTAGACAATCAGAATTCTTAACCTTTAAGGTTATTCTACCTTTAAACTTGATTGTGTTTTACAAATAAGTAAATGGCAACCTAATGATGCAGAAAATAGCAATGAGCAGTTAATGTTGATTCCTACATTTATTTGGATATTGTGGATCAACTGGCCATCACTAGACCTCCTTAACAACAACAATCATATATCTGCTCTATTACTGTAATGGTGTATATCATGTATTTTTCATGGCAGGTTTAAAGGTGTGGACGCTGATAAGGTGAATAGAGCTGCTCAGTACAGTCAGTCTTTGGATAATTTCTTGAAAAATATATTCAGAACAGAGAATCGCATCCTCATCAACATGCCTGAGTGGGGTCAAGGGTTTCGCACTGGTGCTGAAAAAACAGAGGAAAGTGAGGTAAATTCTTCTCTTTTGGTGTTTGCAGTAAACCACAGTTTGTTGCTTTTGAAATACCACACAGTACGCTGCAATTTCATACAATACCCAGAAACTGAAACTAATGCAGTGTAATACAGCAGCCCTGCAATAAATTATATCTTATGTACTGTAATGTTATACTGTTTAAATGTGGTGGAAAATAATATTAAAAACACGTCTGAGTATAAGGCAATACAATTGAACAGCACCAAGGACTACAGCCTAAAAAATAAAAAAGGAAATGTAATCAAAGCCTCTCAGATTTAGATTAATGATTAAATAGTCCAGCTTTACTGGACAAGAGATTATGTTAATGTAATAAAAAGTGTGCGGCATCCCAGCACATTTTAAAAACATAACGATTAAATGGAAAATGTTTGTAAGAATATATTTTTATATCTGAGCCGTTTCAGTGATATACAGCTCAGCCCTATGTGGTCTTTATTAAAGCATGTGGTATACATCTAGTATGAATATTACACAATTTGATACTAAATCATTTGATTTATTTCTTATGTGAAGGCCTGGTATTAACTAAAGTAACATTTCAGCAATGTGTCAAAGCAAATGTTTTTTTTTTGTATGTATATCTGATCATTTTTTCCATACGTGCTGCTACACCCTGCAGGTCAGTGGTGGGGTAGATGCTTTGGATGTGACGGAGCAGGATGAGAGTTATAGCAGCCTGCTGTCTGCTCCACCTTCACACCCCACCTGGCTGGAAAGCAGGCGAGAAGCGGTGAGTGACTAACATGCTGTAAAATGTGCGGTTATGGCCTGAGATTTGGGATCATGTTTACTATGTTTAGAAACTTCTCCTGTGACTCAATGTTCCAGGTGAAGGATTTAGAAAGTGCACATCGTACCTGTGTGTGATATTTTTGCTGTGTTGCTTTTGGCACGCTCTCTCTGTGCGACAGCTTGATTTATCGTCCCGTCATATAGAGTTATAGGAGCCAAGCAATTATAAAGCAGATAAGCGTTTGTAAACAAATGTTTAGTACTTTGCCGACTGACAAAGATTCTTGATAACAATAAATTGATACTGAAGGCGTGGCAGACTTTGAATTGTGGATTTTACACCTCGTTGTGTCAAGATTCTTGATAACAATAAATTGATACTGAAGGCGTGGCAGACTTTGATTTGTGGATTTTACACCTCGTTGAAAGTCATGCATGAGAAGCGGGTAGATGCACTTTGCAGCATGCTTTATGCCAAAACATGATTCCAATCAGTCTGTGATCTGTATGCACGGTTTAAAAGAGGCTGCATTACATTGAGTTATGAGGTGATGTAATGTTTTTTAACAGGTTATAAAAGATGACAATGAGCAATATTCTGAGGCAAAGAGCAACATGAAGAAAACTTTCAAAGAGTTACGTGACAATGTAAGTGAGTTTTATACATATTTGTTTACTGTGAGCACAAATACTGTATCGTTAGACATGTTAAGCTAAACATGTGGAATTATGCTAAAAGATTTGTTATACTATATCTGATATATTTTTCTATCATTATTTTTTAAATATGTTAATATATTAAGTGATCAAATGGTATTTAAAGCATCAGATATGATCTGTCTAATTAGCTTTTTAATTTATTTACTTTGAACCTTCTCATGTATGCTTGAAGCCCCTCCATGATAAAAATGTAGCTCAAAAATGTTTATGAAAAGTTTGTCTAACTAAACATGACAACTAAACCGTCTTTCTCGATTTATTAGATCCAGGAGATGATGCGTGAAAATGAAAACCTCCCGGATCTCGAGCGTTTGCCACAAAAGGAGTTCAACCTGTTTACAGAGGAGCAGAAGAGACTGGGGGCCATGGTGGAGCAGGAAGTTAAACGGGTAAAACACAAACACAAAACCAATGAAGCTTTAAAGGTCCCCTATTATACTCTTTTTCATCAATATATTATAGGTCTCAGATATATACAAAACATTTCTCTGAAGTGTTTGGCTTCAAATACAGATGAAAATAAGGAGCCACTCCCGACGCCCCTCTGAGAGATATTTGGTTAAAGAGAACACAATGGTGCTCTAGGAGGAGATTCAGGTGATAAGGGGGGGGGGGGGGGGTTACCTTGGTTGGTGATTGGCTAATGGTTACACAAGCCAAAAAATCGTTATGACATCATAAAGTGGCCAAAATCTGATCAGCTCATTTTCAGACAGGTTTTTATATAAATGGATCAGGACAAAAAGTGAACGAATCTTTGCTCCTGAAACTTTCAGAATCTCTTTCCACAGAGGGGTCACGTGTTTATGTATAAAAGAGAGGAAAAAGTGGATTTTGCATAATAGGTGACCTTTAATTTAGCTTTGAGGTCATGATTTAAGGTTGTGATTTTCTTAACACATTGTAGGTGAGGAATGAAGTCGAATGGGAGATTCTAGCAAACTGTTACCTCCGTGATGTTCTGAAGAGAGAATGCTGGGATTCAATGAAGGTCAAAGGCAAAGCCATTAAGGTGAGATGGCTCTGGAAGTGTTGCATTTCTTAATAATCACAGCATGATGTGATCTGTACTAAGACATCTCCTCTGGCTGTCTACCGCAGGCCTTTTACTCTGAACATGAGGTGAAGAACTACCCTCTGAGAGAGCGGACAGAGAAAGAGGTGGAGGACCTGCTCAGGGTGGAGAACATCAGGAAGCTTGAAAAGGCTGCTTGCACTGTAAGCATCTACAAACATTCTGTGGTTTAGATTCTTGTTAGCGCTGTAATTAGCAGCACATGTGATGAGTAGATTAGATGATCTGTTCACTGTTTTTAATTTAAAACAGCATGCAAACATTTTCTAAAAACTGTGATGGTGCAAACTTCTTAGTATGTGGGTTTTCACTCTCTTGAAATACATTTTTATGGCGAAACCATTCGAGTCTAATTAATTTGATGCATGGAATCACAGTCCTACGTTTGACCTCTCAATGTTGTTACTTTTTTAAATGCTTGAACACGTGCCAGTCCGCCAGTGTCAACACTTTTCTAGATTTATGGCTATGTGGCCAAGAGGTAGTTAACTTAACTACAATATTCTTTAGATGAAGTTTATAATCTTATAGCCACAGATTCAGTTCTCAAAGTGTATTTCAGTTCCCTCGTTAAAAGTGTTTCTCCCTGCAGCAGAGCAGCCTGAAGAAGAGCTCCGACACAACCAGCCCGAAGGAGGGAGAGCCGGGGAAAGAAAGCCTCGAGGCAGAGACTCCTGTCGTAACGGGAAGCTTCTCCGCTCAGTTAGGATATTCAAATCCGTACATCTACGATCAGTTCCGCCTGCAAACCACAGAGCAGAGGATCAACCAGATCATTCTGCTACAGGTTGGCTCCTGTTCCAAAAACTGCTGGATCAAAGCAAAAGTGTGATAATGATGCCATTGTGTTATACAATAATTTAGCAAAACAGTGCCTGCAACATAACATTATGAGATAACACAACATATGTTATTACATGTATTTAATTTATTAAAAGTGGCGACAGCTTGAACGCAACAGGAAACACATTTTCCTCACATTTCGTAATATATTTGTCTTTTTTTTATAAATATAATAATAACTGCATTTATATTAACCAATTTCAAGAACGTACCTAGTACAGAGAGTGCACTGGTACTTTGAGAGGTGCCAGTTCGCCTCCTGGGCCCTCCCAATGTGCCCCTGAGCAAAGCACTACATACCCACAATGCTGCCTTGGTGCTGTAAAAGAGCTGCTCACTGCTCCTAATATTAATATAGGTTAAATGCACACTGTGCCGAATAAATTAATACAAAAAAAAAAACGTATATCCATTTTGCTGGGTTTTGACTACATTTTCTTGAAGCAATGTGCATCTCCTGCATTTTTATAATTACCACAAATATAATAAATAATTACCACAAATATAATGAATGTTGACTAGTTTTGAAAAAACCTGGTGTTGTAACTATGCGAAGTAACATTTTTTATTAGAGAATAAAATAATAAGTGATTTATAAGAAACATGTGACTCATACATGTTTTTTTGTCAACCCGATCGTAAATCTTTTTTTTTTGTTTGCCAAATTTCACCCGTCTCTGAATGCAGGACGTGATTTATCGCATCAAGACGGCTTTCAACACGGACTTTGAGGCCGTGCACAGGCAGAAGGTGCAGGAGCTGAACCGAGTGAAGGACAGGAACACGAACATCAGGGACATCACGCTGGAGTTGGACCTGAAGGACACGCTGTGGGAGCCCAGCCTGACCAGCAGCGAGCGGCCGGAGGGGCTGCTCACCGTGGACGACTCCGAGGTGACTGTCCTCTCGGGGAAACAGCTAAACAGTTCACAGAAAGTTCAAGAAACAAAGAGTACACAAGAGCTGCTCTGTGGTTTGGTTGTTTTTCTACTGAAATGTGAAGCAGCCTGTGGTCATCATTATATGAGATGCTTTTCACAGTAAACCAAAGGAGATGTGCACTTGTGTCCCACTGCAGATAAAAGCAGAAAGGTACCTCACCCCAGAACAGAAAAAGGAGAAGGAGAAGAAGAAGTTGGAAGAGCAAAAACGTTTGGCTGCCAAAGTATGCCGCCATGTTGTCTATTTTGTCCTTTTCAACAAATTCCTTAGACAAAATTCAATAGACAAAACCTTTTTTTAAATTGATATTGACAACAGTAAGATTACATTTAAAACTCCTACGTCTTTGTGATGTACATTCCGAAAGTTATAAACACAGTTCAGTTCTATCTTTATATTGCAGGACGATAATGACAAAGACAGAGCTCTCGATGACATGATGGAGGGAGTGCTGGAAGTCAAAAAGGAGGACATCTTGAAAATAGTGGGTCAAAAGATTTGAATTTTTCTTTAAGCATTTATAATGTTTTACATTGATCCCTAATGAATAATTTCATATACATGATATACAAAATGGAAGCCATATTAGTGAATTGGCCATCTGCAACTGTTTCAATTTATTGTCAGTCATTTTTCAAACATTCCCTTGCTCCAGCCTCTCAGATGGGAAGATTCAATGATTTTCTATTTCATATATGACAGTAGTCTGAATATGTTTCCTGATATTTTATTTAGTAAATAATAACTCTATGAATTTTATCATTTTTTTGCAACCATTTTTTTGCATTTTTTTTGAGCAAAAGAAAACACTTCCCCACCTCCTCCAGATTTCTTTTTATGAAACTTACAAACCCCCACATCTCACTGCAGCTGAAATTAAATACTTAACACTCACACAAGAAAGTGTTAATTCTTAGGGTTGGTATTTTACTTTTTTTTTAGGAAGTGTCAGTTGAATTAGACAAATCAAAATGAAGTGCACATAGTTTCTTTTGAATTAACTCCACAGGAAATACCTCCGCCTGAGTTTGTTTTGACCAAACCCGAAATCCAATGGAATGAGGAGGAGAAAAAAGTCTATAAAGACTATGAGAAGAAAACCAAAGAACTGACTGAGGAGAAGGAGAAATACAAAAAGGTAATTTGAAGAAACATTCACAATTCTTCTGTTTTGCTCTAATTTGCTCTATGATTAACATCTGGTTGCTTATCAATACAAATCATTTGTAATTGCAGTCATTGGAAACTGAAATGAAAAAACTGCAGGCATCCAACAAGGAAGCGACCGAAAGGTTTGATGAAACTTTGACAAAGTTGTTTGAGAAGAAAGTAAAATGTGAAATGGCTATATATCAGGTGAGCACACACACACACACACACACACACACACACACACACACACACACACACACACACACACACACACACACACACACACACACACACACACACACACACACACACACACACACACCAACGTAGGCCAAGAATACAGTCAAGTGCAGTCAATCTGTATCACATTCCTTCCTGTGGTTTTCTTGTTCTCATTTCCCTCACAAGGATGAAGGGTCCTCTGCCCTCATTGTGGTTTCCTCCTTGAGATCATTCTGCGATATGATATCTTGTGTTTGTTACAACTTGACAAAATCCTGTTTACTGATGCTTTCGATGTGTTTTTTGCAGGAAGAGCTCAAGAATACTTATCTGGTTTATTCGGTCCTCATAGAAGACGAAATGAGAAATCGAGAGCTGGAGCTCAAGCTCAAACTTGAAAAAACTTTGGCGCACAAGGTCAGAAAGCTCAATACTCAGTAATGCTGGAGGAATGTATGACTGGCAGCTTCAGATTCTGTAATTTGTGATCCACCTGAATTAATAGCAGTGATGTTCTTTCACATTTTATTATTACATCTCACCCATCAATCAGGCTTATTTTGCAAGAGCCAACCTGTGTAATATGCAAATGTCTAGACCAACAGTCATTATTGTCATTACATGTTGCTCTGGTTTAATGGACCTGTGTTTCTCTGACAGGATGAGCTTGTGGAGGAGGTAAAGAGACATGAGGAAGACGTAGAATTGTTTCAGGAGTCTTATGAAAGCGTTGTAGCTGAGGATAAAGTAAGCCAGCTGGTAAAAAAACATCTTGGCTGCAAGTGATGGTGCACACACATAATATAATATCCTTCATGTCTCCCAAGGTTCTTGACAAAGAATTCAGTAAAGAGTTCTTCGATGTACCGAACCATGTGGTTGACCTTTTATACAAGTTATTCAAGCGTAGACCCAGGTTGGTAAGACTCACTTTCCTTGATATCCACATTTTAAGTTGTTAATCATCTGCTCAGTTAGTGTTCGCCGTTTTGTTTTTTATGCCTCAGGGTTCAAAAGATGAGGACAGAGACCGACAACAACTTGAGTTTGTTCAAAGAGCAGCGTCTCTGCGGCTCTATGGCTCCAGATGCACTCGGCAAAATGCTGAAGGCCATGGAGGAGCTGGATGCTCCGGAGAATATTCCAGAAGCCGTGAGCCAACCAGTCTGGGAGAGGTTCTGCCTTGTCCGCAACACAAAAGTAAAAAGTGAGCACAAGGTAAAAACAAGCAGAGGTTATAGGTTGGAAATACAAAAACACATTGAAAGTCCATTTTGAATAATAAGGTACTGGAGTAAAACCACCAGTTTTATCCCACAGGCCATACGATTGCTAAACACCTGAGCTCTGTTAAGTGCCTCGATAAACACAAATCTGTTTGTCATCTACTTTATCATTTATTTATTTTCATTTAATCGTTTATTTGAACCGGGACAGTGCACATTGATGAACACTTTAAAACAAAAATAATGCTTACAAGTGTAAATGAGCCGGATTTTAGCTTTGAGCTCATTTCCATCCGTAGTCCCGTCACATAACATATAAGAACATGACATTTATATACATAGCAAAAATAAATACATGATATGCAGAAAGAGCAGGAGCAGCACACAAGCATTTACCACATGGCAGTACAATGTAGCAGCTATGATATATAAAGTGCAAGAGAAGATAAAAGTGCTACATAAAGTGCAAGGGGAGATACCCCTGTGAACACGTCTGTTTGTTGCTCAACCATACTTTAAGTTGTCTTTTAAAACTATTGAGAGTGGGACAATCCCGTCTCTCAGTTGGGAGGCTATTCCACAATGAGCTGCCTTTAATGGAGAGTATATTTTGTCCAAAAGTTGTCCGTCTACGGTGGACTTCACAGTCTCCTCTGGTTTCTGACCTAGTGCAGCATCCAGTGAGTTTTTTGTGGATGAATTCCATATAAATAGTTATCACCGCAATAAACCGTATTCAATTTGTTCTCCTATTGAACATTATTTAATTTCATGTATCTAGACTTCTTGCACTATTTCTTTTTGTATTTTATTATTTATGTTGCATTGTTGGAGGAGCTCGGGTCAGAACATTTCATTGCCATTTCTACACTGACGCTTATGAGCATATGACAATAAAACCTTTGAATCTTTGAAAGGGGACGCTTTTGACAATACCAATATGTTGTGTTTGCAAACCCAATTGAAGTTACAAACAAATGAATCTTATTATTTGTATATTCATGAACCTCACTGTACTACATGTTGTATGTCTTTTGTGTAGTTGTCCACTCACTGTTTGTCTTTTTAGGTAAAAGTAAAAGCTTTTACTTTCGCCGAGATGCAGGCGTTCCTTCACAAGAGGAGATATGAGGTTCACGCCACTCAACAGGAAATCAAAAATCTATCCGAAGGACTGGAAAGGTATGACTGTGATGGTGTCAGTCGTTCTGATTATAGTAGTTGTTTTAAATACCAGTGGTGGAATAAGTATTCAGATTCTACTTTAGTAAAGTACAAATACCACACTGATAAATACGCACTACATGTAAAAGTGCTATCAGCAAAAGAGGGTACTTAACGAGTTGATTTAGTTTAATAAGTAGCTGAATATCTGAAATAACTTTCACTGGAAAAGTTTTGTAATCAACTCTTTTTTTTTTAAGCAACTTAAGCTGTCAGACAAATGTAGTGGAGACAAAAATATCATTTGTATATGAGAATGACAACAGTTTTATATTTTGATTTCTCACTTAGGGAAGACCTGATAGGATGGCACTTGAGCCACAAGTCAATGTGTAACATGAAACAGTAGCAGACAGTGATACAGTATATTGAATACAAAAGGAAATACAGTATATTTTGTTCTATTTCTCTAAGGGAGAATGATTCTCTATAAGGTTTATGTTATCCTGCTCCCTTCTAGTCTGCATGAGGAGAAGAACCGCTCCCTGACGGACATCATGGTGCAGGTGCTGCTCAAACAGGGCCAGGTGGAGGTGTACACCACAGAGCTGACCCCCGACTACACCGACTGTGTGCATCTCCACAGGACCGTAGTGGAGGACCTCAACAGAACCATCAGGGTCAGCACATACCAGCACACACCAACACTCTTATGATCTTAGGATTGATCTATAACCAAACATGCTTGAGGAACACTCAATTACAATATAAATTAAATACTAACAAACCATTTTCTGTTTGATAAAAGGTGCCAGAAAGAGCCACATTCAAGTGGTGGTCAAATATATTAAGTAATATAATTGTGTGTGTCAAATGGATTTATTTATGAACAGACACTGGGAGATCAGAAGATTGCCTCCATGGTGGAGTGTAAAGATTTCCGTAAGGGGATCATCAGGCAGCAGTGGGAGCACAGGATGTTGACGATGCAGATAGAAGACTTCAACAACAAGGCGAGAGACGTCCAGATGTTACGGCTTTCTGAGGAGCAACAGGACGTACGTTTATTTAGATACTGAAATATCCTTATTCTGTTGTTTAGCTTCTTTCAGGGACCTAATTTATTCTCAAATACTATGGAAATAAGCATTAAATAACATTCTCTGAGAAATAGTGCTACTGGATAGTGAATAGATTTGTATCTTACCTCATGGTAATTATATGTCAAAAATATTCAAAAAGTTACACATCAGCAGGAAGTGGCAATGAGGTATGCATTTATGGTGCTTTTTCTGGCCAAACCTCAGTCGCTGATATCAAGGCAGGTATTTTGGTTTTGGCAGCATCCGATGTTTAGTGAGCTGAAAATTGTTACCATGCCTGTGTACAGATGGATGTGTGTGTCTGTCATCGCTGACACACACACTAATCACACAAGCTACCAAATCTTCTCCTTATCTGTGCATCTTTTGAAACTATTACGGATTAGGTGGAGACTGGTTAAATATACACTAAATTAATGTTTACTTTACTCCTGCTTTTACAATTAAGCTCTGTTTAAAAAATTGGTAAACAGAGAACTTTCTCTGCTTCATTTAGCAGCAGATGTCAATGCAAGGCGTAAACAGGCAGTATAATAAAAAACAGACCACAAAGAAATGACAGGAACTTTGCTCCTGGTTACGATCCATTAACCCCTTCTTACACTATTATAAGTTGTTTCAAGAGTTAGTGATACAAAAAATAACAGGTAGGTGGTGGTTGATATAATAAATCGAATTAGTCAATCAGTATTTTATTTTCGAAAAGTAGATGAGCATGAAACATGTTTTCATGTCTGAATGCCAGTTTCCCCTGGCAACATGTCCAGGTAGCTCTGCTGTGGCGTGGCATGTAGCTTCCTGTCATTGTTTAAGCCTCCGAACCCTTGGGAGGAAGACATTTTGAATATAAACAAATCCATCCTTTGAATCTTGAACATTTTATGATGAAGCAGTTATACGACAACCATTTTAAGTTCCCTGTCCATACAAGTCAGTGATTGCCTTTCTTTCTTTCAGTATCTCAACAAGACAGATCATGGCAGTCGTGTGTCGCACCAGGTTCTTATTCTGGAAAAAACTGTAGCTTTCCAGGAAAAGGTAACAAAAAAGTTGCTATGTAACCTCATGAATACGCTTTGCATTGTGTACTTTAAATACCTGACCGTTAAATTAATATACATATTGTGTTCTACTTTTAGACTCATCGCCAGAGTGTGCAGCATCGCATAAAAAAGATTGAACAGCTTAAAAGGCAGGCAAAAATGAAAGCTGAGAAGAACACAACTGTAGAAGAGAAGCTACCCAATATGCAGGTGACGATGGCAGAGACGAGCCACATCTACGGAGGACTAGGTAATAAAAACAATATTTTCTAATCTTTGCAAACGGAGATTTTAGACTATTTTCACACTGACATTGTGACATGTTTGGGTGTTTAGTTTCAGAGGCAAACCTGGCAGCTAGAGAACAGAAGCGCTACCAGGAAATCGTTCAGAGGAAGAACTTGGAGGAGTTTGCCCGAGCGCAGGGGGAGGAGCTGGCGTTCCTCTGGGCCGAGGTCGAGCGTTTGAGGATGAAGAGCTTTCCTTCACTTGATCAGCTGAAACACAACTGAGCGGAGCCTTCTCTTTAACAAATAATAATTTTATTTACACTTCTCTTAGCAACTTAACTTAACATGAAATGTACAACTTAAGCTGCGTATAACAATAGAACAGCAGCAACAAATGAAACAATGAACTTAATAAACATATTTGAAATCTGAACGGTTTTAAAGCTCTTTTGTTTAGGTAGTGAAGTCCTCCTCTATGCGGTCAAAGTGCAGGATACCGTCTTCCAGGCCGAAGTGGTCAATGAGGCTCGACAGGCTGATTTTTTGTTTGTCTTGGGTGCCATCTGTCTGGAGCTCATACAGTGCGGCCTGAGCACAACTCCTCCACTTGGCAATCAAGGTTTTGAGCTGCGTTAGATCATTCTGGGGAGACAGGGAACGTGTCATATACAAATAACCACTATCAGTCTAGTTAAGCAAAATACATGATAAGGTACTTGTGGGTTATCTGTCACACCTTTTTTGTTTTTTTCAGACCCTCTAAATACACACTTATTTTGTTTTTTTCAGATTCTCTTAATAACCCTAACCCCTAGGATTCATGTTTGTTATTTTGAGAAAAGTTAATGTGGAGGAGCCAGCTACCCGCTATTAAAAAGTGGCGACAGATAACCCACAAGTACCGTTGATAATATTCCCGTTAGGAGCAGATTAAAGGCAGCTGATACCTTGCTCCTGTACATGTGAACCATCTTGAGTCTGCGCAGAGTCTCCGTCTTCTCTTTAACCTCCTTCCTCAGTTGGTATGGTTGTTGTGCCATTTCTTTGGAAAGAAAATGTGTTGGCTCGGGATTGGGTCCAGAAAACCTCTCCCTCGCTGATCTCTCATTTTTTCTGTTTACGTCAACATTGGGTACGATCAGTGGAGAGTTATTAACTGTCTCCCTGGAATCTGCTGAAACTTGTCGGCCATCATCCTCCTCCTCATCAACACAAAGGCGTTTGGCTACAGAGAAGGGCGAGGTGAAGGAACGCCTTGATCTCTTCAGCCTCTCCTTCAGAGAGGAGCTCAGCTTTTGTAGATGCTGTAGGGGTAACAGTGAGTGAATGACAGGGCCGGCACACAGAGTGATAATGGCAGATGTTGGATTGCAGTTTAACACATTTCGACATAAATCAATTTGATGATATATTGAGTAATAGTAACAACTAGTAACATGACAGCAAATTTCATTGTCACCTACCTTTTCCTCTTTATATGCACCCGGGCTTGACTCCACTGAATCACAAGGTGAAGAATACACTGATTTTATTTTCTCTGCTTTAGGAGTGATCTCCATCTTGGGAATGTACTTTAACTCATGTGGGCTAACGTTGACTGTTTTTACTTTGGAAGTAGATGGCGTATATTAGAACCTATCGAGATTTAGCGTACTTATAGCTTCAAACACGTACAAAACAAACTAACACGAACACTCAATCTTACGAATTTATGAACGCCTACCTAAAAACTAGCGAGCAACGAACATAGTTTTTACAAAACGCTAAATTACGAATCAAAAACTTTAACCGCGGAGTGAGTTGTTTCTGTTTCCTGTTGCTGCTCAAGAAAACCTCCAAAGTCAGTGATTGGACAGAATTTGATGACGCGTTAGCGAACAGGATCATGGGAACTGTAGTTGATACCGGCTTGATACTTTACAGTGCAAACCACAGCTTTTCAAACCCAAAATGTCGATGTTATTCCTTTTACCTAAAACCTAAAACACAAGAATTCATCACATCCCTCTCTTTGGTTTGGTACATTATATATATACATGCTAAATAATTGGATGGATGGAATAAAACAGTTTATCTTACTTGAACTCAAACTACTGTAGTATACATTATAATAATAGTATGATATATAATAGTATTAGAGTAGTTCACTTACAGTATATAATAATAATTATAATAATAATAAATAATAATAATAAAGAAAATAAATGTTTAATATAAATAATAATGTTGACAATGATAGTATCTTAAATGAAAATAAAAAAAACTAAGATAAATCAATGTAGATGCAAAATATAGGCTTACTTGCATTAATAAAAAGTGATTTCTTTTTAGGTGTATTGACAGATTAAGTGTTGAAGCAGTGTTTGTTCGACTTCTCCTTGTTACCAGGGTTGACTCATGTGGTGATTCAGCTCTTTTCATCATTGTTCATCTCTATTAAAGGATTAATGGAGAACTCATACAGACCAATCTCTGCTTGCTTTTTAGACAGGTCTCCATATCCTACATTACTGTAGCCTTGAGCAAAAAGGTGTGAATATAAACATGCATTAAAATGAAATCTTGCCTGTACTTGAGCATCAGTACTTGGCTATCTGATATTCCACACCGCAGGGAACAGGGATTTTTTTTAACATTTTAAAAGGGTGAATCCTGCAGGGCGGGGAGTTTAAGATAATTTATGTGTGTGAGTCAGCAGAGTGTTTTTTGTGCTTTTCAACTTTTGAATAGTTGGCATGAAATACTGCTCCCTACTCAGCACAGTGTGGGTTTATAGAATCTAGAGGCTATGTGAGACACTGAGTGAGGATGCCAGCTTTTCATAATGCAGGTGTTGCTTTGCACAGATAAATAAATCCACATTGTGTTTTTATGAAGGCTGATCATTTTTTAAAGATGCACATCAGGGTCAGCTGTATACTATTAAACCTTTAAATTCAGTATCAAATACTCAGTTTGCTATTGAAATAGATGAGATTATACCATGGACTAATGACGTTGACTGCAGTGGTGTCACTTGATTTGGTTTAGCTGAAAGAGTGTTTTGTATTCTGGGTTAGTAGGTCATTTTTTCCCTGTTTCTCTATCTGCTGTCTGTTTTGGAAATGTTCCTTTTATGTGGTGCCAATTTCTTATCTGCAAAAATGTGATCTAAATGGATATTGATAAAAGAGAGCTGTAAAATAATGTTTTGCACATGACCTTTCTGCATTGCCTTATTGGAATCTAATATTGCAGGATGTGCCTGAGTTGATATGGTAAAGTGAACTTAAACACACAAATAAAAATAAATCAACAATAGTAGTTCATTACGTTGGAAATAGTGACAAACCAAAACAAACTTACACTAACAGAAAAAGTGTAGTCTTAAGAACCAGCTTATTGTTTTGAATAATTCTATATAAACACAGGCCATACAAAACATTTATAGTACAATAACTTCTTTCTGTACCCAAATCTTGTTTTAGCGCAGGTTGAGTTAACTGTTGGATAAGCAGGAGAGTAGAAAAGAACAAAGGTCACTGAAAAGAAGTAAAAAATGTATTCTTACATGTGCTGTCCAAAAATGTGCCTGCATCACTTTCTCTCAGCCAAGTATTCAGGTAAATAAATCCAGATGAAATCTTTTGTGAGGCCACACAAAAAGGGCCTTCCTGGAATGTGTTATCTTAACCAGCTTAACTTGGAACAAGACAGGAGATCCATGAAAAAATGAACCTCAGCTTTGTCTCTTTAAAGCTCTCAAAACTAAATATAAAGTTGAGTTAGTCTCTAGAGTTTTCCTATACGCTATCTTTCACAGTTTACAATCAATAAAAGCAACGTGACTGGCATGAAGTTTTGCCCGCGGGAGGTTTGAGCAGACAGATAAAGCTAACAGATACCTTTATAAACCACAGAAGAAAAGTTATCTATTCCATCAGTTTTTGTAATGCAGCATGAGGAGTGATGTCTTCATGTTCATCTGTAAAGATCTTGTGGTTTCTTTACAACACCAGTACTGCCAAGGTTCACTTCCACACTCCATAATAACTGCGTTCATGTTACAAACCTTGAATGATTAAGTTCTTTGCTATGCACCACACTGTATACTAATTTTTGGCACATATTAAACAAACAAATCCTTGTCCCAGAGACACAAGCCCTTATGTGGGAGAGCTGTTATCCTCAACCCAAACATGAGTGTGTTTCAGGACAAAAGGTCTGCACAAGCCAGTCAACTGCTTCTTTTTCACCATCCTGGAATCTGTTTTGTTAAACCAGCCCCCTTCCATTAGATTTGGCATTATTTAAGCTTGCACATAGATGTGAGCGGAGCAGCTCCTCCTCCGTTTCACTGTCCTTTGGGCCATTTGTTTTCCATCATTTGAGCAGATTGGAGTCATGCTGGCTGTGAGTCATGCACAGTGGGTGGATGTCTACACAGGGTGTGGTGGGTGAGGGATCTTGGTGGTGCTTGTGGCTGCCAGTAAAGGAATAAAGCATCCAATTTGGCTAAAAATTGCATAAATGCAAATGAATGGATAGGGAACTTTTATAATGATCATAGAGAGTTCAAAACAGCTCCTGTGGGGGTGTTATTTTCATTCTCAAAGTAAAGAAATCTGATCCTTCAACAGCTGCACAAACATGCTGATCAGACTTTTGTTCAAAAACCTGGAAGTGAGTTACACAGTGTGTGAAACCATGTAGTTTAAATCTGTTTCTACTTCCATTGTGAGCCCCAGATGTGTTCAAGCTGCATGGATCTGCTGCACACAGCGGACCCTGAAAGATGGTTGCACGCCAGTCCATAAAAAGAAAGAAGACGAAAAAACACACCTCCCAAATCACTCCTTCCCACCTCCTCACAAAACGTTGCCAGTTCGAAAAAGTGGTGACTGCTGCAGGAAGGGAGGAGTTCACCACTTTTTCTTTTTCAAAGTCGCCTATCTGTCGAGAGGAGTCCGCAGAGGCGAGTGAAGTTAATTGGTTCCCTCAGGCGTTGTTTTCTTTCTTCCAAATTCAACTTTTCATGCCGTCTGCTACACCTGCCTGCCAATGGGCGCGGTTGGGACCGATGCCCAAGTCTCTGTTTTGACTTGCCTGGGAAAGTTGAGCTAAAAGGCACAAAGGGACCGAGGATCGAGAAGGACATCCCACCCGCGCGTCAACTTGGTATAACACATTATCTCTCCCGTGGACGCGAACAGTCGCTCCATCTTGAGAGGACCCCGGATTTGATTGTTTGTTTCTCGAGTTGGCTGAAGGTATGGATTTCACACTGGACTATCCTGGAGACTTTTTTTTATATAAAAAAAAGTTGTTTATGTTGGATGGTGTGGGGGTTTCTTCCCACCTGGCTGTTGCATCTCTGCTCTAACTAACTGCACTCTGGGACTTTGGTGATGGGCTGTCGAGCTACTTTTTTGGCTTTATAGTTATATGAGTTGTTGGATGGATTTGCGCAAAGTCCCATAAAGAAAGCTACATATACTTCATAGGTTGTCTGTTAAGCTCTGTAGTGAGTTTACAGGATCCCTTTTCTTCCTGTGGTATATAATCAGTCTGTTATAGTGATCTCAGGATACTTTTACATTTACTTTTGCTGTGCTATTTACATCCCTCTAAAAATATATGCCAGGAAATGACCTGGCTGCAACACCAGCTTCACCAAGCTTTTATATTTGCTGATCAGATTACTTTCAGGATATACAATAATACATGTGTTTATGGTAAGAAGTAGGCCTAAGTGTTTTTGACACATGTTGTTTTTATTCACTTTCACTTGTGCTTTTCTCTGCGAGGGAAGAAACTTAAAGTTTTTCACGATTGTCGAACTTTGAACATTGTGGTGATTCAGGATTTGAAGAAAATGGAAAAAAGCCATTCTTCTGAGTATTTAAGTTTTTTTTTATTTGAAAAAGTGAGGTTAGATGGTGCAGTAAATAGAGCACATGCTGTTAAATGTCCCTGGCTGGCAGGGTGTGGTGAGAGGATGATCTTTCAGAGCTGTGCAGTGATTCACCGGACCCTTTTGTCCTGTTGTTAGTCTTCAAAGACACAAAGTGAATCCGATTGAAATCTATTGAAATGTATAGACGATGCTTTATAGCTCCTTGATCCTTCATTGTGATAATGCACTATTCAAAGTTAAACAACACTTTTAAAATACTGTATAGATGACTTTGTGTACCTGATCTATTGTACGCCGACTGCGGAATTCATGTTTTAAGATCAGTCAATCAGAATGTTTAAAGGAAAACTTTGTCTTACTAGATTGTAGTTTCTAAAATATGATCATGTGACATTTTTCTGTCTCCAGTGGAATGACATTTCCAATGAATGCAGTAAACATTAGACTCAAGCAGCCTGGTCTTGAACCCAAATCATTCCTAGAATAACGTTTTACTTTCCCCATCAGATGTTTGCTAAATATCCTTTAAACCACAGTGAAGAAATAAACAGACTTTTATTGACAGTTGGCAGAGAACATGCATGACAGTGGTCAACATTTTATCATCTCACCAGATAAAATGGGATGGACGAGTTAACAAGACAGATCGACTTCTCAGGAGGCTTGTCAGGAGAAAGGGGTGAGATTTCTGAATTTATTTCTGAAGTTTTTGAAACAAGTCCACCGGAAAAACACAAGGTAAAGGGTTGGTTCATCCAAATCACAAAAAAAAGAAAAAAGAATGTCACACCTGTTGCTTCAGATGTATGCAGATATTTGGGTTTTTATTTGCAGAGTTTAGAAACGCCACGCAACTGCTCTGGCCACGCAAACAAAATGGAAACTTTTCCATAAACAACACGGTTTATACAAATAAAATGATACAAGATTAAAGTTCAAAGACAGATTGGCAATGTGTTACTCTGCATCTAAAGGCCAAAGCCCTCTGAACTTTCTTGGGTGATGCTTTTGTCTTTCTTTTTTTGGTGGCTTACTATCACTAACAACATGGCATGCCTTGCCTGGTGTCAGTTTCCATTTCTGATCCTTGCTCTCAGGGTGTAAGTCATCCTCTGGGTTTTCCTAAAGTTATAACTGGCTCCTCTTGGCCTAATGACTTTTGACACAGAGGGGTATGGTGAAGCCAAGAAAACGCTTGATTATATGTTTGACTCTCGAACTCAGAGAAACATATAATCACCCATCCTGGTGTCCCCATGTTCTTCCCCTGTTTTATGTCATTTCTAAAAGAAGGTTAGTTAAGTTTGAACATGTGTCACTTTTCAAACCAGTTGGTACAAAGTACTTTAAAAAAGAATTTGAAGGACAGACGGCGATAGAACAATAATGTGGTTTGGACACAATATACAAAGTTGATAGATCATTTAAAAGAAAGCCAAAACAAGTCAATTTAAGATGACTTTTATGCCCCGATTTGGCTTCACTCTGACTTTGTTGAGTTGTTTCAAAGTCAAGGAGCAACAGAAGCAAAAGCATGATCATCTTTAGTGTTTAACCTTGACTCTGAAACACACACAAGTCCCTAAAAGGAAGGATACAATGGAGGAGGAGCGGGAGGACAGGAGCTAGGCAGCATGAAATTGTATTGGAATTTACATTATCTGCAACCATTAAAACTCAACATGCTGAGAACAAGACACCTCCTAGTGGACTTGAAGTGTTATTTGTACACATTTCATTATAAACATGACATGATTAGCACACATTTTATTTGTTGAATTTGAGGCCTTTTGTTTATATATTGTCAACGGTTTAACTGCCTTCTGAGAGAAAAGGGACAAACATATACACAAATAAAAAGTTAAGTTTAGCATATTGACCTTTAAAATAGTATTGTAACATAAAATAAATCTCAGCACAAAGACTAACTTACTGGAGATGTTCCAGGACATTCTTTAAAACTGTTGAGCTGTTGCTCCATGTCTTATGATAACAAATTAGCCATCTACATGACAGCGGAGCAAGATAAAGCCTTACGTTCTGAAGGAAAGGGACGTTTTTCTTTTTGGTTAAAGTAAAAGCAACCTTTGACCCCCCCCCCCCCAGAAAAGTCTGATATATCAGACCATTTTACTGTTACAGACACTGTGATTAATGAGTTATTCTCAAGAGAATGTATTTAGTCATCCAAATGAACCTGAAATGTAATATGACAGACTAATCTTTCAAAACTGAAAAACGTTATTAAATACAACATTCAGAAACATTGGTACCGCTTTTTAATTAGCATTTTTTATAAAAGCTTGACAAGAATCAGAATCCGGTTTATTAGTAGGTGTTCACATACAATGGATTTGACAGAAACAGAAATAAATAATATGGAAACATGATACAAAACATTTACATTAGTATTTCAAATTAAATAAATACAAGGAGATTTTTGAAATAGAAAAGGGCAATTCATGAATGTGCACATTCTTCTGAGGTTTTATAAAGTTAAGAGAAGTAAGAATAAAACTCTTGAAAAATATGCGATGAAAGACTTTTAAATGGATAATAAATGATATACGGGACTAATGCTTTATTTCATAGTTATAGACCATTGATAGGAGGATTATTTTAGGTTGCGCTGTTGCTGAAAATCTGTCTGGTGACTCATTTACAGTCAAGGTTACTTTAAGTCTGTGAACGTCTCACTTTCTCATAATCCATCAAGTCTGCAGTAATACCTATTTAGTAAGTCATTAATAATAGGCTTTATCACTGTTGAGTAAGCTTCTTATATGGATTATATTATTCACTTTTTAAGCATTTTCTTTTTTAAATATGTAAATAACTTAATTAAACTGAGTGTTATCCTATAGTTTAGAGGTTGAATGATCCAAAGCAACTGTCCTGCTGTATGAGGCTAAACACCCATATTAATGGCCTTTACTAATATATTCAGCACTCTTATTGAAAGATGTTATCTTTTTTTAAAGCTGTTAGTAATTGTGTTAACCCTCTATTAGAAGAAGTTATTTAAAGTTTAACTACAGCGCAACAAGTCGGTAAATCCGTCAGCACCGTCATCATATGAGTATCATCATATCAATCAAAGTCACATTAGTTAACCTCCAGAGGCGTAAAACCTGTCACCATGCCAGTCACTCAACACCCGCCCTATAGGTTAGTGCTGATAACTCTGTCCATACTGAAATAATGTCTGATTTCTCTCATGTGCTCAGTTGTGACAGAAACAGTAACCTCCACCACCAGACTGTCTTCTCTGCCACCAAGTGAGACTCTCTTTCTTCCAGTCATGCTTGCCTTGATGATAAACTTAACACATAATGCTATAATTATAGCCCAGCATTTCTGAAGGTTGAGTAACAGCTTCCTCGTGTTTTGCTTTGTGTCTTCTCGTTGCTAGAGGGAACCAGCGGATCAAATCACAGGAATATGTCCAGCGGTGCTGGAGGGCTGGGCTTGGAGAAGAATGTCTTAACCCAGAACAGCAGTGGAACTTATTTCTCCTCATGTGAGAGCAAATTTCCACCCATGGTTTAAAACTGGGAAGTTGTGGGTTTTGTCTTGGGACACATTTTAAGAAGCTGAATGTTTTTATTTTGTTTCCCCAGCAAAAAGAAAGAGAAGTACTCATTTAGATTTGTTTCACATCACTTTCCGTTGTTTTCAATTTTAATTATGTTTTTAAGCACTAAAGATCTTATACATAAAGTACACTACCCAACGGTATGCACATAATTAGCTAATTAACCAAAAACTACACTGACGAAAGATTACGTATGATTAAGGGAACGTTTTAATGATTAGTTTGGTCAGTTTGAATGCAAAAGTGTGGAAAACAAGAAATGAGACCAGCTTGTCAAATGTAATTTCCATTTTTTTATTATTATTATTATTATTATTTTGTATTAATTACATTTTTGGTTATTTAATTATTATTATTTTTTTCTTTGTATTATTTCAGTATTATTATTATTTTATTCTTTATTATTTTATTATTATTATATATTTTTTAAATGTTGTTTTAGATTTTCCAATAGTTAGACATAAACCCAGCAATCATTTAAAAAGGAAAATATGATTTAAAAAAATGTCTAGAGGTTAGTATAAACTTAGTATAAAATATATACGGATAGAAAAGTTACCCATAATAAATCAACAACTAAATAGTTTGATATATGGATCAGTGCTTCCAGTCTTAGTATCGTTATGAGATTTTCTATGCAAATCAAAGTCAGACAAACAAGTGTCTACTAGATCGTTCCTGGAAATTCCTATAAGATTGTTAGCCAATTACAGTGCAATTTGAACTCGTGGCACGGGGTATACATAGCATGTCACTTTTATGACCCCGTCTTGTCTAAACATGTGAACTTTCTTACATCTGATTTAATGCCCAGACTTCAAGTGCAATACTTATAATTAGACACCCCTATAATCATTTACCACTCTTTTAAACTACTGCAGTGTTAGTTAGTTTAATGCGCAATGCATCATATCGTATTTTAGGTTTCTTTTTTTATACTTGGAAGGTGCACATAATTATGTCATTACTCATTACCCCTAAATAAACAAGTAGAGATGTATTGTAACAGGTTTGAGCAAATTGCTTTTCTCTGCCTGTGGTCTTTGGAAGGTAGGTAGAAGAATAAAATAAAACCTCCTAGACTCACAAGACTGGACATTTAAATAGAGAACAAAACAATACTAAGATAGTAGAAAAAAGCTTTGTTTTGTATGAGAACATTGGTAAAGTCACTACAGATATATGGCAGTAAAAGCGAAATATTTCCCTCTGGCATGTAGTGGAGTTGTAAAAGATGCTAAGTAAAGAAATAGCATTGAAGGGGAATTCTCATGTCAAACACAAGTATGTAAAAGTACTTAAAAATCCTAACCCTTCATGACTCAGGCATATTCCTGTCCTGTGGAGGTGATTCAGTTTCAGGAAAAATAAAAATAGCTTGTATGCCTCATCCCTGCAGCCTCTGGAGGAGTGAACGCCAGCAGCTTCAGCTCCTCCTCGGGAGTTTACCTCGGGGGAGACTCCTCGGGAGGTGATGGAGGAGGGATCTTCATAGACGGAGAGGGGTATGGAAGAAGAGGAGGAGGAGGAGGAGGGGGAGGAGGAGGGGGAGGAACTGGAGGAGGAACTGGAGGAGGTGGAGGAGGTGGAGGAGGTGGAGGCAAAGGCGGCAGTTATCTCGTGAGCTCGGTGTCAAAGGTCAGGTCGAGCTCGTCTGGCGGTACCAGGAGAACTGCAGGCTCATCAGGAGGTCTGTCGCCATCTTCCCGGGAGAGGAAGGTCACATCCAGCCGCTCAGGAGGTTATGATGGTGAGATCCTGTTAATAAAACAAACTTGGCATTAGGGGTGCCTGAAACAGAAGTTTGAAGGAAACTGAGGTACATGAGGGCGCTGTTAATATCTCTGCTGCCATTGTGTTTGCTTGTCTAGGAAGTTCCAGCGCTAATTCCTCCCCAGAGTTTGCACGCAAAGATTATGGAGTCTATTGTAAGTGAATGGGATTATATACTTTCTTATAGCACAGTATTTTTCCAGCTTTATCCTCTTGGCGTGTCTGTGTGTGTGTGTGTGTGTTTATGTGTTTTGTCCCCTTCTTCTGTGTGTTTTCTCTCCAGGCTCCAGCACCCAAAGAGGGAGGAGCGAAAGCAGAGGTATTTAATAATAGTTTTATTTCTTCCCTTCATTATTTCTGGACCATCTGACTCTGAATTGTTCTGGCTTGCTGTTTTATTGAATCAGAATTCCTTTGTCCATTGTGTGTGTGTGTGTGATTTTTTTCCCCAGAGAGCGAGATCAGAGCCAGATTACAGAGCGCCTCTCCCAGTGCCAGCAGATGTAAGACCACTTGAGACACATTGATCTATTCACTGTTCGTTATGCAATTCCTCATAAACCAACAAAAGCATCCATAGTTGATGCGCTCTAAGCAGCACATGGGTAGTGAAACACTTTTACTGCAGTTTCTCAGAACAGAATGTTTTTAGAGTTATGTTACTGTCAAATGCTTTGGCAGGATCTCACCGACCCTTCACCTTTATCTCCATGAAATATCAATTAGTTACACATCTGCCCTTCCCCCAGATAATGTACAATACAGAAGCACAAAGAAAAGCGTGAGATTTAAACAAGGAGGATCATGGGTTTGTTTGCATTGTGTTCATGTGGGGAAGAAGTAATGGGGCAGATTTGTGGTGGCAATAATGGCACACATGAGTCACTGTTTGCAGTACCGCCCGTTTGAGGCTAAACCGAGGAGAGTGAGAGATCTACAGACGCTGATCGCTCCCCCTGCTGACATAAATTCATAATGCGATTATTTAATCCACAGTTTTTAACATTTAGTCATTCTGTGCCACCTTCACCCCATGTCAGCCCCTGGGAATGAAATAGTACTGTACATTTCGTATAATATTTGTAAAGTCCATTTGATTCTACTTTATACTTCGAGTTCACTACTTCCCAATGGAAAATATTAATTGATTGGCGAACAACAATTACTCTTAAACTCTTAGAAACAAACACAGGATTCCCCCTATACTGTATGATGCCTTTTACACAAAAACTACCCAGCAGTAACCTATATAAAAAGTAAACTTCCACTACACTACAAAAGGTACGATATAAAATGTATTGCATCCGTTATAATAACAGCTGCCTTACCTTAATGGTTCAAGCTCATCTTACTTCTACTTAAGTGTAATTAAATATGCAGGACTTTTTCCTTTTGCTACTTTCACTTACGTAACATTTGTATTGCTTCTTCCACCACTTTTAAAAACATATTAGTATTATTTATCACCCACATATAGGTACTAAAAGTAAAAAATGGTATCACTAAGAACTGCTTTTAGTGGTAGAGTAACACATATGACATTGTTAATTATTGTATTCTATACATTTCAGTATAATTATTAAGAGTTATCAGACAGAGAGATATCTAGTACATTTGAATTCTATATGAACTGTACTAATAAATCACAATTAAGGTTATTTTCTTAATCTATTTAGTCAAATGGACAAGAAAGCTGAGAGAATGTTTTGTTGATATATTGTTTTTGCACACGGCAGAGTGCAGTAGGCTATCTGTATTTTAAGTTATTATTTAGGTTTTATGGCAATGTTTTTCAGGTGTAAAATAATCGTAAAATGCAAAACATGAACACATTACAAACAAACTCAATGTCTTTTACAGTTTCCTGTCCACCCTAAAAAAATGTTTTTCTCAATTATACTGCATACAGGGCGATATGTTTGTCCAGTTCATGTAATTAAATAAAAAGTGCTATGTTTCATCATCACATTTTTTACTTTTACCAAATTACGGTTGGCCAACTTGAGTAAGTGTCCATTCCAACTCTGACTTTTAAAGATTTAACTACAGTAATGCACTAGAATGTATTGCTTAGAGATACTGTAATGCAGTATTATATTTTTAAAAACACTGTTTGTTTTGGTTGTGGTTTACAGGGACGGAGCTGGACGACGTGAAGAAGCTTCTGAAGGGGCGCTCCTGCAGCGTCAGCCCCACTCGCTCCAACGCCTCCATCACCCTGCCGGTCCCTAAAAAGGCCAGCGTGGAAACCAAGACTATCTCAGTGGCCTCTCAGTCGGGTAAATACCCTTACACTCTTACAAGCGTCACAAACATGCGCATAGTTAACATGCACAGACACCTTGTCTCCTTCCTAATCTGACCTCAGTGTGTGCCTGTGCTGTGTTAGCAAGTGACAGCTCCTTAAGATAAATGCATTCTGAAGACAGACATTTAACACTTAAGACAGTTACTGTATATTTCCAGTATACTTATTCTCTGCTGCACAATAAAAAAATAAAATACAGTATCCTTTTTTCACATTTTGGATAACACTCAGGCATGGTTGGATGATAATACAATAAGCTCCTGGTCACAGACAATTCCCTGAGATTTGTCCTATATGTAGGAGCTAGACACACAGACTTTGTAGTTTAAACTCTTTTTGTTTTGTTGATATTTTTATCTCTTTGTAGTCGTTTTGTGTCTGTTTTTAGTTCTTTCTGGGTCAGTTTTCATGGTTTTTTTGTGAGTCTCTTTCTGTTGTTTTGTAGCTTTTTTGCATTTCTTTGTGGTTATATTGAGTATGTTTCTCTTTGAGCACCACTTTATGTGAAAGACATTGGGACACGTAGTCTCTGTGGCCAGTAGGCCTCTCATTGAAGTCAAAGTCAACTTTAATGTCAATCTTTCCGTTTGTGTGTACAGACAGAGAGATCAAAATACTGTTTCGCACAATCCAGGAGTAAACAAAAATATATATAAAAATATCTATAAAAACATGTATATACATATATATATATATATATACACACACATAATCAACATACACATATATACATATGCACTGATTAAAAAGGCATGGATTGAACCATCCATGCACACTAGCAAAATATGAATGCATTATTATTCAGGAAAAAATAGATGCTTTTTCTTAATGTTCGTCATTTCTTTTTGTCTCTTTCCAGCAGGTTCAACTTCCTTTGGCTCTGGTGTTAGATCAACCGGGTTCCACACCATTGATACATCAGGCTTTTATGACACCGGTCTGACATCCGGGCGGGTTGATACTGGTGTAAACTCAAGCCAGTATGATGTCACCGTGACATCAGACCACTATGATACTGGTGTGAAATCTGTCCCGTATGCTGTTGGTTTAAAATCAGGACCGTTTGATACTGGTGTGAAGTCAGGACAGTACGACATGAGTTTGAAGTCAGGGCAGTATGATACCGGCATAAGATCAGCCCAGTATGATACTAGTGTCAGATCAGCCCAATATGATACTAGTGTGAGATCAGCCCAATATGATACTAGTGTGAGATCAGGCCAGTATGATGGTAGTCTGAGATCAGGCCAGTATGATGGCAGTGTGAGATCAGGCCAGTATGACACACTGGACGCCACACTTCCTACTTTCTCCTGGTGCACCACCACGCTGCCCTCCGCCGCCACCACGGTGATGGCTGCCAACACCAGCAGCTACGCCTACCAGGCCGGGAACAACAACATGGCTGGAGGAACCGCTGCAGTTGGTCTCACCTCACCCTCCTCCCTCTCCGGTAAGACTTAACATGGAGTGAATATTACCTGTTACCTGCAGGTGAAATATGGACCCATCTGTAGGTAGTAATGGATGTGTTGCGTTTGGTTTTGTCTCTGTGGTGCCTTATTAAAGACGACATAAGTGAGAGAGATTTTCCGGGGATCGATTTTCTAAGTCTGATCTAAATAGTTTCCCCCTGTGCTTATGATGTAAAACAGGTAAGAAAAAGGTTATGCCAAGCTGCTCTCTGCATTCCTTTGCAAAAAATGACATGTGTGAAACAGCCGGGAAAAATATTTCTTTTTCTGCCAGGAACATTTTTCTAAGTGTGTTATTTTTTCCATCTGTGAAACATTAATATCTTTACTTCGAACATGGCGTAGTGCTGCACCTTAGCATCTTGTGCCCAACATGAATATTACAAACACTTTCAATCACGAGCCAAACATTTTTTCACCTGTCAAAACGTTTTTCCCCACCTGTTTCACAGATGACACAGATTTTCAAAAATACGCATTATGATTTCATTTTCTCTTACTTGCCTAAGAGCTATAGTATTTGGAGATGATTACAAAAGAGCAAACTAAAAGATGGCTACTTTTTCAGTTTGTTTTGTTGTAAGCAATTACGTTTTTGATTATCCCTGTGCGTCCTGTGAGCAAGTGTGTGTTTTCATATGAGTTTATGTTACCTAATCAACTGAAACCATTTATATCTGTTTAGTTTACGGCTTCCAGAATAACCTGGCTCCCACCTCTTCCACTGTGCTCACCACCAGTGGAGGAAACGTGACTACTAACCTAGGAGGTACGGCAGCATGTTATCTGACAGTGTTCTTTATTTAAAAATAATATAAAATAGCACATTTCTTATCAGAGTTTTTATCTGTTGGGTGTTTATTTTTCAAAGGTTATGGCGTTCAGAAGAATTTGTCAAATGGTGGGGGTGTCGCCAGCACTGGAGTCTCTGCAAGTAAGTCCACAATACTTTTATAAATCACATCTAACAATTCTGAATCCTCAATTAATCATGACTTTCTTTTGTTGCCAGCCACTAGAACCCAAGTTGATGATTCCTATAAGAGAGACTATAAGAGACTGATCTCTGACAAGGAGAACGTGACGGCCAAGAGAGACACAGACATGCTGATCATGGCTAAAGACAGCGGGAAGCAGTTCACCACCAGCAGTGTTCAGATGAGTGGAGGTGAGACTGCTGCATCCTGCTGGAGAAACACTGGTTTCTTTCACAACTTAATAAGGTTTCTCAACTTTTCTTGGACCAATTTTGGATCCTTAAATTCCTGATGACCACAGCAAGTTGTTGCGCATACATACACCCATCATATTTTAAACAATAGCACACCATGGTGCAATCCTGCTTTCTGGTCATTTTGAGGCCAATAATGGACATAACGTTTTGATAACATTGTGTGAATCTCTCTCATTTCTGTTTCTAAATGAAAAAGCCTAATCAACCTGAACTGAATTTCCGCCTCACTGGGAAAGACTTTGCATTAGTGAGATTTCCATAGCATCACCAATATTCAGTTTCTTATCTTTTCAGGGTCGCTGTCAGGAGACTCGATGAAGAAAGAGAAGCTTATTTCAAGCTACGTTGAGACGGCGCCACTGAAGACAGAGAGTGGCAACTCTTACTGTGAGTGGTAATCAAAAACGTCTCTTAAAAACAAAAATAAACTTTAATTATTATTAAAGAAATGAATATGTGATGTTTATTTATCCCTACGTCAGATGGGTCATCTGGGACGTCTGGAGTTGTGATGAAAGACAAATCAACCTATGCAGGTATTTTTGATTGCATGTATGATGATATTTATATTAATGATGAATATGTTGGTATTTAAGGACTCCTTATTACAGAACACATTGAGAGTGTTTTATTAATAGTAACATATATTTATTAGATATAATGTATAGGTAAGCTGAACCAGTTAAAAGTGTTTCACATACTATTACAGTTTCACATTTCACAGCATTCTTCAACAGTGAATTGTTCAAATTGTAGGTGATGTACGGGCACAAAAATGAGTAGGAATAAAGTAAATTAACTAAAAATGACGTCTGTGTTCAGAGATCGACCGGGACAGCGGGATCTTCGGAGGCGGAGGAGGATTCTGCTGCTGCTCGGACGCGTGTTGCTCCTGGTGGAAATGGCTGCTGGGTCTTCTCCTCCTCTCCCTGCTCCTGCTGGGACTCTTGTTTGGGCTCATTGCACTGGGTAAGGCTGTTGTCTCAACATAATGAGATTTTAATCGGGGACAATAAAAATGTCCCCAAAGTTAAAGCATTTAGAATCACAGGATACTCTGTGGAGCAGCTTGGCAGTAAATCGCCTGGGAGTGAGTGTTTTTAAACCAATAAAAAGTGTGTTTTAGCTTCAGGATACTGAGCATTTCTTCACAGCGCTTTCACTGTGCTGCTTAGACACTGAATGTAATCCCCTCCCTGGAAATTTGACCTTTAGACCATAAAGTGGGTCTGGCTTTCATTGTCAGTGAAGCAGCTCCAGCAAATCGTTGCTTGATGACATCAGAGGCTCCAGTTTGCTTTCCTGCAGCAGGAGAGTTGTTGATGAGGATTTTTCCTGTAGAAAAATGTGCTAAAGAAAGAGAACCTGAAATCACATTTGCAACTAGCGTGTAGAAGTTGACATGTCTAAGCCTATTGAGCAGATAGTTGAGTAAATCTGATCCTGTAGAGTACATACAGTATATATACTGTCTATAGGGGCAGTATGTATTATTGTCAGAAAGTACATCACGTTTAACTGCTCTGTTAAATGTAGATACAACATTTTTTTAAGGTTAGATATTTTCAGAGACATAAATCACATAATCATTTTAATTTGACTTGAAAAGTTATTCACTGTCTTTTATATTTATTATTTGATACATTGTGTTTAGGAGTCAGTCAATGTTCCCTTTTATTAATTATGTTTATTTTTAGGAGTTAACTTTTAATAAGTATAATGTTATGCTTTTAATAATAATAATGCAAATAATACAAATATATCTTTTTTTTTTCATTATTATGACAATACCATTTTCAATAAATGCCGACCCAAGGGCTTTGTGTGAGAGAAGGTCAGATAAATGTGTAACCTGTGGAAAAGAGAGAATCATTTCCCATCACTAATGAAACCTCACCAAATTTGAATCCCTTTCTCAGCTGAGGACGTGAGAAAGCTGAAGAGTCGAGTGGGTACGCTGGAATCTGAGTCCTCCGCTCGTACCAGCCGGCTGTCAGGAACTTCAAATAACATCAACGTCTTCGGAGCCACTGGAGCTGGAGCTGCAGGAGCTGGAGCGGTTGGAGCTGCAGCTGGAGCTGGTGCTGCTGGAGGTGGAGCGGTTGGAGCTGCAGCTGGAGCTGGTGCTGCTGGAGGTGGTGCAGGTGGAGGAGGTACCTCCCACACCGACAACACGCTATATATGGGGGCTGGAGGTGGAGCTGGAAGTTCGGGATCCAAAACACAAATCGGTGTTGCAGCTGGTGCTGGTGGCTCTACTGGTGGAGGTGGAAACGGCCTTGACGTCAGCATTGGTGGTGGTTCTGCTGGAGCCAGTGGAGCGACTGGGGCAAGTGCTGGTGGTGCCGGTACCAGCGTCAGTGGCAGAGGTGGCAGTACTGGTGGCGGTACTGGTGGCGGTACTGGTGGCGGTACTGGTGGCGGTACTGGTGGCGGTACTGGTGGGGGTGCTGGTGGTTCTGGTACCCGTCTCAGTGGTGGAAGTTCTTCTGGAACCTCTTTCACTGGCTCTTCTGGTAGTTCTGGTAGTTCTGGTACCGTTCTCAGTGGCAGTGCCGGCAGCACCGATTCTGGTTTCAGTGGCGGTGCCGGCGGTTCTGCTGGTACCGGCCACAGTGGCGGCGCTGCCTTCGGGACCGGAGTGAGCGGAGGACACATGGAAGCTGCCGCTCTGCAGATCATGGTCCAGCAGATGTTAAGAACTGAAATGCATTCCCAGTCATACAGAGGTACTGCACTTATATTGTGACAACTATTAAACACACACACACACACACACACACACACACACACACACACACACACACACACACACACACACACACACACACACACACACACACACACACACACACACACACACACACACACGAGTATTGAACTGTTCTTTTCTGTCTCAGCTTTTCTAGTGTCGTCAGTGCAGGGAGAGAGAGGACTGCCTGGACCTAAAGGTGACATTTTACTTTAAAAGAGATATATAAAATCATTCCATGTTCCCTTGTTTTCAGATTGTCAACATCACTTGTGTTTTAGCATGCGCATTTATTTGTTATTCTTTTTAGGGGACCCTAGATACTGCTACATATCTTATTCAGATTGCTAATTCTGTAGTTTTCATATTTAAATGTATATTTTACTTCACAGGAGACTCTGGTTTCCCTGGAATTCCAGGTGAGGAATGATGGCTAACTTTTCATTGAGTCCTTACCGGTGTTTTATATTTACTTTACTGACTTTGACCTTTGACCTCAGGTGCTCCGGGCTCCATGGGACATGCAGGCCCTGAGGGTCAGAAAGGACAGAAAGGAGGTCAAGGTACAGAGAGCGCTTCAGCTCAAACAACATGATGCAAGTATGTTCTTTAGCTTAATAACAGTGAGACATTTTATCTGTAAATCGTCTGGTCAGGTGATCATGGGCTGGATGGGGCACCTGGCGTCAGGGGTCGCGAGGGCCAGTTGGGCCCCAGAGGTGATACAGGACCTGCAGGCTTTGGAGCGAAAGGTGAAAGAGGTAGGGCTCAGATTCCCAGCAGGCAAATAACTTTAGTTTTTATAATACAGTAATAACAGCCAGTTTATCTTGAATGTGTCACGTCAGGATGTCTTGTTCTGTTCATGCAGGTTCTCCCGGGGAACCTGGGTCTGTCGGTGCTAAAGGTGAGATTATTGAATATTACTCAATGTTCCTTAGAAAAAAATACGTTTGTGTTTTAACATCAGAATACTATTGGTTTTATGTGCTGACACAAGGTACATCTGCAACAGTATGAACTGTGACAACCACCAGGTGGCAGCGTAGAGTCAGTCAGTGAATAAAGACTACAGTATCATTCACTGAAAGCAACACGATATTCCTTCAGGTTGATATATAATATACAGTGGTTAAGAATACAAAAATCCCAGCCATTTTTTGTGAACGATGAATTCAAACTTATATTAAGTTTCTGCTACTTATACTGCTTGGAAAACAACAAATCACAAAAATGTTAAGGCATAACAAATATTAAAATACACTACACTCACACACTTACATTAAATGACTAGAACACCACATTGCTTCAATAGCACACATTTTTTGCAGCAAAAAACATTATGTGTCCCCCCCTCGTGGCTTTAACTCTCTCAACGTTTTCCTAAACTAGATTTTATTCTGCCGATCCATTTTTTCAGTTTTTAATAGGAAAAGTAACTAACTCAGACACACTCAAATCTTATCATTCCCAGATTTACACTAATGTCTGTGTCAATCCTTAATTCAATTGTAATTTTTACTCCTTAATTATTACATTTTCCAAATGCTATTATAATGTTGTTGTTTACCAGTGTTTTTACTTTCTAATCATTTTAAATCTATTTCCAAGGCTCAAGTGGAATTCCTGGTCTTCTTGGAGCACCAGGTCAGTTTTCCCTGTTATTCATTGATTACAACCACTCCAGAAATACCAGCTGAGCTATCTCAAATGTGTGATAATATTTTTAACAGTGCCTTGTCTTAATTCCCGGCGTTTAAATTCGATTTCTTTTTTATATAGGTCAACCAGGTTCTCAGGGTTTCCGTGGCGAGACAGGACCACATGGGCCTAAAGGTTGGTTACACTGAAATACTTAGTTAATTTATGTCATGTATTATAATGTTACTCACAGTCACAGGGCTTGCTGGAGTCCAGGGACTTAAAGGTTTGTTGTAACCACATCAGGCTTTTATAGGACTATTGAGGTCAGATAATCTTTCTAACCGCAGTTTAATTAATGTGAATTTTAGGTGACACTGGTGGTACAGGTGCCAGAGGTGTGAAAGGTCAGTACAGCATACCATATTGGAAGTCATTATTGTTATTTAGGCTGTGCTGTTTCCTAATCCAGTTGTCCCGCTCCTCAGGTGATGGTGGTATACCGGGTCTGCAAGGGCTGGCTGGAGAGAAAGGATCAACGGGTGAGTTACAGACCTCCGGCCTCAGATAATTATTAAAAATATATAATGTAGGTAATTAGCGGTTTTATAGAGGGCTTTGTTTGTGTGTTTCTTGGCTGGAAGAAGTTACTTCCTAAAGTCTCTTCAGGTTGCAGGCCACCGTTTTCACTTGTTCTGAATGACTTGCCTGAGTAAATAAAGGTTAAATAAAACGTTTACTTGGGAAACCCCTCAAATTGTTATCATTTATTTTAGTGTTACTTGCAATGAATTATGGTAATCATGAGTCTGATCATAACTAAATCAAATATCATACTAACAATGTATTGTATCTATTGAGATTTAACATTTGTTCAATTATATAGCATATTTATCTTTATCATTTTATAGAGCATGATATTAATAATGTAATGCAAAAACCTTACAAAGGTGAGGCGGTAACAAGAGTATTTAAAACATCCTCCACCAGGGGGCAGCAGAGATTAGTTTTCTGAAAAAGTTCAGATCAATAAAACTTTTTTTTCAACCAGAGTAAAACGTATGTGCAGCAGATGCAATACAGAGTGAAAAGACTGCACATATATAGAATCTAATCTTAAAAGCATATTGTAAATATATATAAAAGAAAGCTTATTTTAGTGTTCATTAAATACATTACATACACCTTTGATACTGGCTTTACATCAAAAGTATGTTTTCAGAGCAACTTATGAATTCACATTCCATTAAACAGTTGTTTTGCTTTTTACGTCACCAGGGTTGGCTGGAGCTGATGGATTGAAAGGATCAAGAGGTACACAAAAGTCAACACATACACATTACATATACAACTGTTCAAAGTATTGTTACATAATATTGGAGAGTACACAACTAAACCATGTTGAGCTAAAACAAGACTTTTCTTTCTCTTCCTGAACATTTTGTATTACACACAAACATTGTTTTCAGTACCTTCAAAAAATCCTCAAATCATCTCTAATTCTATTTTTTACTTTGGCTCTCAGGTGACCAAGGGCCTGCAGGTATTCCTGGACTCAGGGGTCCTGCTGGGCCTCCTGGAGATTCTGCACATGCAGGTAAACTCAGCCTGATACCTCAACAATGGAACTGGATCTTCAACTTTAACAACCTTTATAATAAGTATAATATAATATAATATATTCATCATATCTCCCCCTCTGTAGGACAACCTGGGCTTCAAGGACCACCAGGTATGACGATTAATGATGTGGTATTTTATCATTAATTATCTTTTCTTCCAATGCTAACAACATAACAACTGTATTTACGTCATTCTTTTAGGGATACCAGGGAACCCAGGGAGTCCCGGCGCTAAAGGTACATCTCCAGTTTCCTTTAGGATGATCTGCTGCAGAAAGTGCACGTTCTGTGAAATACCACATGCTTTCTGCTGTTAATCTGTACCATGTGTCTCTCTGTTTCAGGGGAAGCAGGTGACGCTGGAAGAATCATCAACGCAGGTAACATAGCATGATGACTCTTATATTCCTACATATTATTATCAGGGTTACAGTTTGAAGATATCTGATATATATATTTTATTTGTTTTCCAGCTGGATCCACTTCTATTGCCATCCCAGGACCCCCCGGGCCTTCTGGTCCCCCCGGCCCTGCTGGACGTCCAGGATTATCAGGTCTGAGTCTTTACAGCATCTAATCCCTGAAAGATCATACAATGTCAGTAGTAACAATATTTATACTGATATGATGTGTTTTCCTCCTCAGGTCCAATTGGCCCTGCTGGCCAACCTGGTAGGTCTTGTTGCTTTTTGCTGCTAAAGGAAGAGTTTTTTTTAAATTGGTTATGTAGTCTGATATGTAGAGTCTAATAGATTCTGTGTTTTGTTTGTTTTCATAGGTGCTAAAGGTGACAGAGGATTTAGGGGCGCGCAGGGAGAACAAGGAATAACAGCGAGAACATCTGAAACCTTGACCTCAAGTGAGTTCTTTTAAAAATGGTTTTCTATAAGATGAATAGTGTTGCATGATCTGCTGATGCACACATACATTGAAAATTATGTAATCTTCTGTCTCATAGAAAACTAACTAACACAATAACCATCTTTCAAATGGAAAATTTGAATCATGAGGAATATAATCCTTTATATTTTCTTAATTGCAATCATTTGATTTGTAAAGTCACATTTATGAATTTGTTCTCTGAATTTAACCTTTATATAAATGCAGTGGGGTAGAGGTAAAGTGTAGCATGATAACAACACAATCTAATAAAGTAAAAGCACTTCAAAAAAGTACAGTAAATACACCTCTGTAATTCTACCACTTGTAGTTGCTAATGGTAGTTTTTTTTTTCTTCCTGTATTTGCATCTTGTTGCCACTGATTGGCGTTGTTCTGCAAAAGTTAGATAGTAATCTTTCTACAGACTGGAATACCACTAATTTCTTAAAACTGTGTTTCTGTGTCTGTTTCAGGCCATGTTAGCGCCAGTGGAGGATCAGCAATATCTGGCCCCCCCGGCCCACCTGGTCCACCTGGACGTGCAGGTAAATAAAACATGACATGCTCTTTTGCAGCATTATCTTAGACATCATCCTCAATCATTTAGTAGGATCTGTTCAACGGCATCTGAGAAAGACCGCAGACATCTTGTGATATTCTTCAAATTGTGTCACTGACTGTTTGAAAAATATCTTCATCAGGAGATTCAAGACCAGGACCGCCCGGGCCTCCAGGTCCAACAGGCAAGTATTTCAACTCAATAAATCCACTGTACAAATATGTATTCAGTATGTTTGGTATTATGTGAAGCTCATCCATTCCATATCCATATCAACTTAACTTATAACATCATTATCAACTTAACTTATAACATCATATTTTAGGTTATGGAAGACCAGGGCCTAAAGGAGACAGAGGGGAGCCCGGCTTTTCATCCGGCTCAGGTAAGATCCAAAATCTAACCTTGTGCTCCGTCTTGATGTTGGTTTGAGACATATTGAGCAGCAACAGAAAACATTTCTAAACTTTTTTTTTTACAGGAACACTTCATACTGGACAGCCAGGACCACCTGGGGCTGTCGGGCCTAGAGGATCATCAGGTGAGCAGATTGTGTGAAGAGTAGACATCTTGTTTCATTTAAAGAACGCTGCCATTCTTTTTCTGATGTAATAATACATTATTATAACATCTCTTTCATTATTGTAGGTTCTCCTGGACCAAGAGGATACCAAGGTAATTGATGTTTTTTTATTTGTGTGTATCTTTAGAAAATATTTATTTTTTCACCAATTGATTTTTTACATAACAATACAACTGATCGTGTGCCTTCCTACTCCTTTCATAAATAACTGTGACATCATCATGTGTGCCGCAGGTGAAGCAGGGCAGCCAGGTGTGCCGGGGAGATCAGGGAGCTCAGAGAGAGGTACACACGCACACACACGCACACGCACGCACACACACACACACACACACACACACACACACACACACACACACACACACACACACACACACACACACACACACACACACAATTTTGATGCACACTAAATGTTTATTTATTTCTTCCTTACAGTATCCTCTTATGGTGGAGGACTCGGGACCCCTGGACCTCCAGGTCCGCCAGGACTTCCTGGAATACAGGGAATCAAAGGTACTACTAACACATCTAAATCTGTGGGAGCAGACAATGTTTTAATGTCTGTATTTCAGAGTACTTAATGTGAGGCATGACGATAATGCTGCTGTCTGTCATTTCTAAGGGAACACTGGAGCTACTGGTAGTCCTGGCTCTTCGAGAGGTAGAGAACAGTTTACAATAATACACACATTCATATGTTTGTATCTTGTTAACAGGTGTTTTACATTAATTTTCTGTATATTTAGCACCAAATCATTGATCTTTTTAGTAAGGTCCTGTATAATAAGTAAGATACTAAGTGCAATTAGCCGGACAGCACTCCTTACATTTTCTTCAATGGCTTTACCATCTAATTTTTCCTCAGGCTCCATCTCAGTCACCTCAGGCCCCCCCGGCCCTGCAGGTCCTCCCGGCCCTCCAGGTCAGACGGGCTCCTTCTCTTCTTCTACTGAGATGCGGCAGTACATCTCTGAATATCTGAGTAAGGGCTTTTTCAAGCAAAGTCACACTCCCACACCCACACGGATCCCACACGGGACAGAACAGAGTATGAACATGTTTTATTTGCTCCTTGCAGGTAGAAGCACACAGTCGGCTGGCCGCGGGCTCCCGGGCCCCCCTGGGCCTCCAGGAACCCCTGGATCCTTCTCAGGCTCAATCGAGGACATCTCCACTCGTATGATCGCATACATGCAACGTAAGTCTGCCCCTCCCCAGATTATATATCACTAAATGATAGTGTGAGGTAATGTGTACGTATGGGACACAATTAAAGCGGAATGGGAGTTACCTTTAGCTGTTTACTTTCAGGTTCGGGCTCAGGGCTCAGCATCGGGGTTCAGGGTCCTCCGGGACCACCCGGCCCCCCTGGACACGGCTCTGGTTCCCTGACGGTCAGTGGGCTCATCTCCATGCTTCAGAGTGAGTACGATACACATTATGGCTGAGCCCAATGGTGTCAGATACACAGTGGTGGGAAGAAGTACTCTGATATGAGATATAATGGAGTATAAAGTAGCGTCAAATAGAAATACGCGAGTAAAGTACTGCAAAGTTGTACAGTATTTTTGCACAGCCCTTAAATAAATGCATTTCACCACTTCAGACATGTAAATTATCAACGCTACACGCCACTGTATGTGAACTCATCAACATAATAATAAAGCTTTATTTGTATAGCAGTTTTCATACATCACGTGCAGCTCAAAGTGCACACATCACTAGTTGAAAATAAACAACAAGAAGTTCCCCTCAGATCAGATGTTAAAACCTTTACAGATACATTCAGCAAAATATAACATTTTAACAGGTTAAGAGACACAAGGAGGTAAAAGGTATGATAGTACAAAATAAAATACAATCAAATAAATAATGATTTCTCTCGGAAAGATAAGACACAAGAAAAGTGAATAGATAAAACAATATAAAACCCTATAAAATAAAGTGAACATATAGGCACAACAGAAATAAAAATAAAAAGGTAATAGTGATAAAAACGTCATAATTCTAATAAATGTTTAACGATTAAAATTTATATTTTAAAACATAAATGTTGCTATTGAAACAAATAATATAACATCATCTCATTGAACCTGAAAAAAAAACGTTTGAGGATATTTTCAGAGGAAGCTCTGGGCCTAAACTTTGTCTCTCTGCTGTGATCTGTGTAGGAGAGGATGTGAGGAGATACCTGTCCGGACCACCAGGCCCACAAGGCCCCCCGGGTCAACCAGGGACATCAGGAGGAGCAGGAGGATTTTCAGGCAGTTTCTCTGTGGAGGAGATAGCCACATACGTCTTCAAGATCATGAATGGTAAGCACAGGTTGCACTAGAGAAATCAATAGTGATGCCTGGACTTCACAATCCATTGAATTGCTTTTGTGGTACTTTTTCAGACAGAGGGATTGCGAGAGGTCCCCCCGGACCCCCCGGTCCTGCTGGGCCGTCTGTTGCTGTGGGCTCGAGCTTCTCTCAGGCTTCGATTGACTATTCTGCTCTAGTGAGGAGTAAGTTGTGTTTCCCTCATGACAGAAAGCCTCTTGTTGTTGAACAGAATCAGAAACAGGTTTATTACCAGGTAGGTTGACACGTACGAGGAATTTGATTTGGTATTGTGGTGCATACATAAAAGTAAAACAAACATTTAAAACAGAGATAGAAAACTAATTTTAGAAAACTATAATAACATAAAAAAATATAAAATAATACAGTACAATATAGCAGTATTTACTTTGAAATAGAATTGGAATAAAATATGTGCAGTAATAAAAAACAAGATGTTGTGTACATTGTGTGCATTAAAGGGGACCTATCATGCAAATGCATTTTTTGATGTCATTTATACATGAATATGTGTCCCCGCCCGGTGTGTCAGGGAACTCACAAAGTGTCAGAAAACAAAACCCTCTCTCTTTTTCTCCGTACCCAAATCTCTAAAAACGGGGGTACAACGGAGCTGATCCAGATTTGCGTCCGATATGATGTAATATCGGAAATGTGGACCCACGGCACTATCAGAAACGTCGCTATCAGAAACAATGCCCGACTGTTTTGGACGTAATATGGTCTTTGTTTACATTAGCAAGCATCGCTAACACTCAGAGCTAAGCTGTACTGGAGAGAGTATGTGTAAAAAAGCAGGAAATAAAAAAAGGAACTCACCTTGTGGTATACCCCCAGGAGAAAAAGCATTTGAGCTCCAAACTGTTTCAGAAATAATCCTTGATGTGGTTTGGAACATGATCAGTTTGTGTCCAGGGTGGGAGGGGTCATCATCCTTATCCTCATCTTTCTTGTATCTTCTTAGATTCAGACTTCCGCTCTTGGGTTACCTCTGCCGTACAACAAGGTATTTCTGGTTCCCCGGGCATCCCAGGACAGCCTGGCCCTCCTGGCGCTCAGGGGCCGCCGGGGGTCTCCACCGCCACCGTGTACGGGGCCGGGACTGGGGGGAGTGGCTACAGCCTGGAGGACATTCAGCGTTACCTGCAGGGTGAGTCTGACAGAGAGCTAGAAACATAATGTAAACTGAGGAAGGCACCAGGTTATGGCTTAGATTCACATCACAAAGTAGTTAACAGTAATGTTACATTTTACAACAAAGCAGGTGGAATATTGTCCATTCTCCCGTTACCTTTCTGTGCAGCTACAGAAAGACAATAACGTTGATTTGAATCTTCCCCAGGTTCTGGCTTCAGAGGTCTCCCCGGCCCTCCTGGTCCACAGGGACCAGCGGGACCATCAGGCGGTCACTCCGGATCGGTTTCCTACAGTGGAAACTTCCCTCGGGAGAGCATCCGCGCTGAAGTCCAGGAGTATCTGACCAGTAAGCTCCTAGCGACCAACAAGATCAAAGACATGTGAGCACAGATCCGTTCGTGTATAACAGACTAACTTTATCTTTCAGGTGACAATGTTCGTCGTGCCATCATCGGACCTCCGGGGCCTCAGGGGCCGATGGGACCGAGGGGAGAGCGAGGAGAGTCAGGCTACGTCCTGAGCCGCACGCAGAGCCATATCCAGAGCCAGGGCCAGGGCCAGGGCCAGGGCCAGGGCGAGGGCCAGAACCAGGGCCAGGGCCAGAACCAGGGCCAGGGCCAGGGCCAGAACCAGGGCCAGGGCCAGGGCCAGAACCAGGGCCAGGGCCAGGGCCAGAACCAGGGCCAGGGCTATAGTCAGGGCCAGGGCCAGGGTTATAGTCAGGGCCAGGGCCAGGACCAGGGCCAGGGCCAGGGCCAGAGTCAGGGCCAGGGCCAGGGCCAGGGCCAGGGCTATAGCCAGAGCCAGAACTACGCTCAGAGTGACTCTCGAATCGGCTCTGAGTACAGAAACATCGATCTCAGCAACCTGGACTACTCCAGCGTCGCCATCCAGGTTTCAGACCTCATCAAGAGTGAGTCCATCACAGCTTCAGCATACATATTTATTTTATATAGGGCAGCAGTCTGACACTATACCCACCAACCTAAATGCATTAAAATGAAATAACCATTTTATTCTTTCATTTTCAGTGCAACAAAACGGACAGATGAACTTATCATCATAGAAATAATAGAGAAGAACATCTGATTAATTCTCAATCTGCATTATTAGATTACTACTGCCAACTTGCTCTAACTACAGTTCCCATAATGCTTTGGGGATGTTGTGTGAACATCCCTTGGTCCATAGCAAACAGAAAATTCTAAGAGCTAATTCGGCATACTTCTAGTAGTGCCAGGTTTAAAAATGTAAACAAATACTGGCTAGAAAACAGGGCTCAAGTTGTAACCCCCAGCTCTCAATTTAGTCTAACGGGGTTCCCACAGTTTCAGACCAATGACTTCTTCTTCTACTTCTTCTTAAGTAAAGCATCTGAATGCATGTTCCTCCTCATGCTGAAACTGATGAAATGTTGATGAAAACAACCCTTTTTTAGGTAAAGGTCTGCTGCAGGAGTATCTGGTTGAGGGTCCTTGGAGGGCGCATGTTCGAGCGATTCAAGGCCCTCCTGGTCCTCCTGGCCCCTCCGGACCACCGGGCCAGAGCCGCGTCATCGGGGCCTACGGCAACGTCACAGCGGACCTCATGCAGTTCTTCAGAAGTGAGTACACAGAGATATGATTTTCCACAAACTGCAGCTTTCCAGTCGGCCAGATAGAGCCTGAATGTCTTAAAGGAGAGGTGTCATGCTTTTCCGGTTATTACCCGTCCCCTTGTGTGTTATGAAGGTTTTTATGCATGTAAACGGTGTGCAGAGTCAAAACCCTCAAAGTACACCCTGTAGCGAGTAAAACTCGAACACAGAAAATACCTCCCCAAAACGCCTCGTTGGAGATACGTCACTGCCCATTTGAGTCTTCCATTTCGTTCCGGGTACGGCATGATGTCAAGCGGTACCCGGAACGAAATGGACCAATCCCGAAGAGCCGTTACGTTACGTCCGCGGAGCCGTTACGTTAAGCCCCCGCTGATTGGTCCAAATTGACCGATCTACGGACTTCCTCACACACACATCTGTGTGCAGGGAGCAGGCAGCTCAGCTGATTTCTCCTCCCTGGCTGCAGGCTGATAACAGACAGTTGGGATCGCGGCAAAATTCTCTCTGCAGACCCATTCTCTCTGCAGACCCATTCTCTCTGCAGACCCATTCTCTCTGCAGACCCATTCTCTCTGGAGACCCATTCTCTCTGCAGACCCATTCTCACAGCGTTTATCAACCTTTTTCTTACTCAATATCAAGCCACACTTATTGTTTTTACTTCGGATGTAAGTTTGTGTGTGCTCAGGATGAATTTGGCTGTGTTTCGCTATGTATCCTAAACAAGGAAACAACACCTCCACGGAGCTCAGCGCGATTCACAACGTCCCGACCAATCAGAGCACACTGTGCTCACAGGGAGGGTGGGGGCTGGAGCTTTTGGAGCTACAACGAGCCGTTAAAGGCAGATAGTGAAATTCAGTGAATACACGTCGTTTACAGAGATGCTGTATGAGAAACCAATGTGAGTTTGGAAAAATGCACAGTATAAATCTATTCTAGTAGACCTCAACAATGGAATTATGATCAGTGGAAATGGCCATGACACCTCTCCTTTAACTGTCATTTCACCCAGGTAAAAGGTTATAGTATCATTAGTCAGAGTTAAACCTCACAGCATTGATGGACTCACATGAATTATTTCAGAATTTTTGGAATGTATGAGGTGCTAAAGTACGTAAAACACATATGTACCTGCAAAAGTGAAGTATCCCTGACTTTCAGCATTTGGAAACCTTATGTGCGTTTAGTTTGAAAATGTTGCTTCATCACGACTGAATCTGTGTTTTGTTCTTGCGCAGCCTATGGCACCATCGCAGGCCCTCCAGGAGAGAATGGACCGAGGGGTGAGAGGGGGCATCCAGGACCCAGGGGAGAGAGAGGTACGTTGAAACAAAGCCGATGAATCGCTACATCTTTTCAAAATAAATCTTTTTTAGTGGAGTGACTTAGATGAGCAAAGTCTGAGAGTTCTGGTATGTTTTCAGGTGATCCTGGGCGCCCAGGTTTATCAGGACTACCAGGGGCATACACTGTCCAAGTTCCACACAGGGTGCAGAAGAGGGATGCAGGTACCTTTGGTTGAATGTTGTTAAATCACTTCTTTTTTTTTGTATCAAGCGCTACATACAAGTAACTGCATGTTTCAATCCACTGCAGGCAATGAAATGGTTGCTCGTCGTCGTCAGAAGCTTCGCCGTCACGCAGGCAGCGGTTAAACACATTACTGGATCACATTTCATTTTTACTCTTTTTTTTTTTTAGGTGTTCAACTGTTGCAATGCAAGTAGTCAAATAGCTCTTTATTGTTGCCATCTGTAGAAACGTCACAGGACAATTTGAGGAAATAAAATGATGCATTACGTTTTTTTAAAACCAGCTTTAGTAGAGGTTTGGATTTTAGCTGCTGGTCAGTGTCTTTGTTACACAGACTTCTTTACATCCGGGTGTATAATGTTTACTTTGCTTGGTTAGAAGCTTGCTAACTTTTTTTTCCCAGGGACAATTTCTATTTTTCAGCAATAAGTAGCTGATATTATTTCCAACTGCTCGTGTAACTTTCGTGTCTGGTGTATTTGATTTTGTTCTCATTGAGGATTATATTGTTTTGAGAACTATGCAAGTGTTAAATGTTGTGTCAAGGTAACCCTTCAATGTTCTATAAGATACTACACTATTGTCAGATTATCTACATAAATCAAGCTAGCATCCATCCTGACCCTTGGAAGTTATTCATTCATCCCATACAAATAAATAACAATATCATCAACCCTTTTTTTTCCTATAAATATATATATATAAAAACATGCAACATTACCAGTCAGTGAGGGTCATTTTTGCAGCAGAGAGGGGACTTATGTTACAGTAAATGTTGCTGTAGTTACGACTGATGATTTACTTGAAAGATTTGTTAGTTCAAAATTAAGAAGAAGAATAAATTACATTGTTCGTGTGGTTGAAAGTCTGAAAATCACAACAAAATGATGGATTGGATTGTATATTTTTGTATAAGAAAGCACTGAAATTGATATATTTGCTTTATACCATTAAGTGTTGGAAAAAAATGTTCCCAGATTATGTTTTACATCATTGCACTTTTTGACTTTTGATCAATATATATATAAAAGACACACAATAAATCTATTTTTCGACTCGATACTTTTATGAATTAATTCAAAATAATTTTCTTTGAGGTGTTATGTCAGGCTGTCGTGTGTCAAGTTAACAGTCAATATCAAATTTACAAACAAAACACTTGTGTTTCCTACTTGTGCAGTGAGGTTATACAATGCTACATTATTTTTATATAATGACGCCAAATGAGCTTTCAATAAAAACAAATCTGAATTTCAGGTGTGTTCTACTTAGCCAGTGTAGTAATTCAATGCTGCATTGATTTGGAATCACTCTGTTCACATGACATGGAAGATATTGAAAAGAAAATAGGGCTTTTGAATACAAAAACAGCTTAATTATGTCATAGTATAGTATGTCATCAAATGTAATTAAGATGTTACACTATACTTTGTCACAAAAAGTGATAAAGAAAGTAAAAGAAAAGACACAAAAGTGTGTCATGAAAAGTCCTAAAAAGACAAAATATAGTCCGTCACAAAAGTCTTAAACTAATACTAGAGGAACAAACCTCCCAAAATGGCTTTAGTTTTCGAGATACCTTTACCTGATGTTTTTTAAAATAATATATCATGGTTGAATACAAATATTTTACTTCAAATTTATTATTTTTTGCTTGATTGGATGTTTGGAACTTTCCCATAACCGAAAATAGTGAAAATGTAGGCTCCTCTGAAGGGATCCGTGTTGGCCTTATCCCATGTTTCTCTGGAAGAAATGATCAGAATGTCACCCAATTTGGATTAGATGTTCACAGAGAGGCAACACATACAATAAAGCAAAGATTATATCAATATCGTTTACCATCTTTGTAATATTTACACTTTTAGGGGCCTTAGTAAGTCTTTTACAAGTGTTTGAAAGGTTACATTATAAGAAGGTAGACGGGTCAACTTTCAAATCAACAGTCAATATTTTATTTACAACAATAAAATGTCAATTTATAAAGACACTTTAAATACATTTGATCTGACATGAAAATGATATTAATGTTGTAGAATGACAAGAAATGCTGTAACTTAACAAAATAAAAAAATATTTTAAATCTATGGGGAATGTGACTCTCCGGACAGTTTCCATGTACCCCGATAAAAACCCAGCATTCATGACGCAACCTTTGTTAATGTCAGCATACAGAAAACATGACATGCATTGATGATACGCACAGACAAAATAAAAGAATCATGACATCTCTTTTTGTGAACCGTTAATACTTTTGCTCCTAGAATACAGCGTCTCAGACAGTTACAGGTACAGCATTTCACCTTTCAGACAGCACTGGTCTCAAAAAGAGCAAACCGCTCAGAGGAAAGAGCGATTACAGCCTCATATAACAGGAATACATGTAGAAAAGTAGATGTGCTCGTAAAATACTAAAGGGCATATTTGGAAAAGGAAAAAAACAGCTAAATTATCAGAAATAAATCAAAACTTCTCAGTTAGTTTGGAGTTTGAATAGGCTTGTGTGAGACAAAGGTGACGCGCTGTCAAAAACCCATTGACAGTTTTATTACTGCATATCTTTTTCATTAGCTCATAACAAAACAGTGCAAATCAACAGCTTTACATTCCTTCATTTTCATTCACGGTGATTTAATTTCTATATATTATTTATATATATAAAAAAGTATTTTATCATTCTCCAGGAAGAAACAGGTCACCTCTGTGTCTAACTAAGTGGGATTACAGCAATGAAATGAAATGATGTGTGAACGAAAAAGCCATATTCTTGTTCTTAAGATTGTAAAAACCCTCATGGCAAGCACAGCATCTGATTGAGCTTCATATCTAGGTACACACATGTAACATTTCAGCATTTACAACACAGTACGTCCTTAACGTCCCAACACAGCACTGTTTTTGACGTGACACTACACGTGCCATAACAAAGTCATACAACAACACACTTTTTCTTTTTACTCTTTTAAACCAGCTCTACCTCACATGCAGCAACACGAGATTTCAGAGTCTTAATCACCCGTTATATGAAATGATTCAAATAATCTCTAAACATCTTGTGATTATGAGTGGAAATGATAACCAATTGTTTAAGTGTAGGACATTTAGGGGACGCTTCACTTACTGTTAAACACAGCGAGGGGCTTAAATACAGAAAAGAAAGAACATATGAGGCACTGGGGATCATTCATACTGTAGCAGGCTGTGCTCAAACTCATATTCATTGGCCCTTCGATACCAACTGCAGGCTTTTCAAATTTGAACATGCTCAAAAAAGTGCATATTCTTATTGGACGAGCGGAGGGACATTTAAACTTGTGAGAGAACGGTGTGTAGGCACGTCATGCTCACTAACGGTGGAATCTAAGTGGTCAAAGAGAAGTTGTCACTCCACCAGGAAGAGTCAGTGAGCGCAGCCGAGTTTGATAGGAGTCTGTTTTGCAGCAGGGACGGACAGAAGAGGCTATAAACCAGAGTTGTACAGGTTTGGGATGGGGTAAAACTTGGAGACTCGACTCTGGGTGGAGGGGTTAAGGCATTCAGACTCTCCGCTCATCTTGAAGAAGACCTCCTGCTCCTGGAGCTTCCGCGTGAACTCATCCTCCAGCGCCTGCAGGGGGCAGCAGAGACAAACAACTGAGTAACTGGGAGGATTACTTTTGAAAAAACACACTCCTGGACTGTAGAGGAAGTCTGTATTCATTTTTAACTTCAAGAGGAAATGGAGATGTATAATACCTTCTTCCTGGGTCTCAGCTTCTCCCTCCACTCCTTTATCTCCTGGCTGTGCTCCTCGTCCAGCTCCTTCAGCTTTTGGGTCTCATGTTCAATCAGAAGGTGGCACTTCTCATTCTGAAAGAAAATATGGGTCAGCACGTGTGTCTTCAGGATTAATGAATACCATCTCATGTACTCTGACTTTATCTGCACTGGAACCTATTTCTGTCTCCTGCATATCATTCTTATTTTCACAGCACAGTGTAAGGGGAGGAAAATAAGTTAATTCTATATATTTCCTCCAACTTATTATCTAATAATCCATTTTAAGGGACAGTCCTGTGCTGTAGGTATTACATCCTGTGCTCACAGAGGAAAGCTCAATGCATCAAATGCGGGGTAAAACACATACAAAGTGTGTGTGTGTGTGTGTGTGTGTGTGTGTGTGTGTGTGTGTGTGTGTGTGTGTGTGTGTGTGTGTGTGTGTGTGTGTGTGTGTGTGTGTGTGTGTGTGTGCGTGTGTGCAGCAGCCTCACCTGTAGCTCCTGCAGCTCCCTGATGTTGGAGTCACACTGCAGCTGCAGATCCCTCATCTGGTTCTCGTGTTTCTGGTGTTGATGAAGTCTCTCGTTCTTCTGTCTCTTGTCTTCCTGAGCAGCAAACTGGACCACGCAGACAAAAATACAAAACTGTAACGGCAGCTCAAACCCAAACAAATCTACTAAATGATTTATCTTTTTTTACAATGGGGTTGGATTTTAAAAGCTGGTACTCTTGTGCTTCAGGCATTGCCCGCACACACAGCTTGTTTCAATATCTGTTTGTGTGGGTTAACCAGCACAAGAACAAGTCCACCACCTAGCAGTAGCATATTTAAACCATATATTCACATTTAAATGCTACTTCAGATATATTTAGTGAATGCATGTGTTTAACTAAGAGGTGAAGCTGTTTTGTCTAATTAGAAAAACATCCTTTTCTAATTTTTGGAATGACAAACAAATGTAAGGTTTAGTATCCCATTTTTCCACCAGCACTTAAACGCATCATGCATTTGTGGGTCTACGTGTTGCTGGTTCGTAATTCACTTTTGCTATACTGAAAATAAAGTCATGCTTCTTTTAACAGCATTTTGATGACCCCAGTGCCAGTAAAGCTTGTGGAACAGTGACTGGAAGTGTGTAGACATGGCTGGCCATAAGAGTGTTTGTTTTGGGCAGGTCCTTGACTGTGTGACTGTGCCAGTATGACATAGTGTTGCCAAAAATAGAACATGCATGTTTAGTCACTTCTGCTTGAATGTGAGTAACAGGACAGCAGCAGGAGTCCACGTGTTACCTGTTTTATCCTCTCTCTCTCCTGCTCCACGGTGACCGATGCAGTGGCGGTGATGCGGAGGCTCTTCTTGAACATGGCCATGCGTGTTTTGGCCTCGCTGCGCTGAATCTTGGGCAGACGGACCCTCTCTTGGTTCTGTTTGTTCTTCATCTCCTCGACCAGCCGCTGGTTGTAGCGATGCATCTGCTCCATCTCCTACAAAACACACACATGCACACCGTTTTGAGTTCAGCGGCATTTTAAAAAATAAGACATTTACATTTCCCTGAGTGGATTTTTCTCTTACTTTCTCGTGCCTCTTCAGCAGCTGGTGTCTCTGCAGGAAGTATTGGTCTTTCAGCTGCTGCTTCAGCAGCTGGTGCTTCTCCTGCAGGTGGCGCTCCTCCAACTCCCACATGGCTGCCTCTCGAGCTACAACACACACATGTGCACACACATTCATGCTCACTGCTTGTAGCACTTCGGGATTTGAAGTCAAATATGAAGTGCTTTATAAATTAAACCCATTATTATTATTATTATTATTACATGAAAACATCACCTGAGGCCATGTAAGTGTGAAGTAGAAAACATGTATATGCTTGTTAGTCGGTGACGACAAGAGCGAAGAAAACAAAACGGACACAAACAGTGTCAGCGAGTCGGACAAGCTGCAACATGTCCACATGTCACAGTCATGTTTAAACACTGTTGTGTTCCTTAACTTGTCAAATGTTCAACCTTTCAGGCTGTTGTTGGTTTCATGTCTGCTATGAAACTTGAAACTCACACAGGATGTGTGAGCTCAGTTGTTGCTTGAGAGTTAATCCCACACATAGTGTTTGTAAAATGTTATGGAAACGTAGTATAAGCATGGATTAGGAGGAGTCAGCTGATGTGGTGCCTTCAGCTGCGTTGTGAGGAAAGCATCACAGCGTTTCACACCAGCGCATGAATGAACCACAACAGAATGCTTTAAACCAATCCATACTTGATACTAAATCATTGACAAAATAAGGACAGTGCAATAGTCCCAATACATTAATTGTAATCTCTTTAATCTTATTTTATGTCACAATAAAAGAGATAACATAACATGAAACAATAATCGTTTTCTTCAGAAGCTGGTAGGCAGCGTATTGTAGTAAGAGGACTGATTTCTTACCTCTCATCAGCTGCTGCTTGTGGTTTAAGCAGTCTTTCTCTATAGTGGTGATCTCCAGTTTATGCTGCTGGATGATTTTCTTCAGAGCTACGTCCAGCTCCTGCTGCTGCTTCTGTAGGAACTCCTGCTCCTGGAGGGAGAAGGGGAGCAGTGAGAGGAAGCCGGGGGGTCACACAGAGAGACAGTAAAGACAAAGAGAGAGAGAAGAGAGCACAATAACATTTCTCAAGTATCTAAACTGCCTGAATTTAAACTATATATTCTAGTCAAGCCATCCACTTCAACTTCAGAACAACACACAGCAACTGGTATCAGTAGAGGAGACACTCAGAGATCATGGATGGCAACGATCCACAATGGAGGTGAAGAGAGAAAGAGAGAAAGTTAACAGTTCAGTAAAGATTCAGATTCACAGTTTATGTGAGACAACATCGACATTGATGTTCACACTGTCCAGAGAACAGCGTAGATTATGCATGACTCTGATAATAATTCTCTATTTATTTATATTTTCTCTGTATTTGCACATTATTTAGAATTTGGATTTCTTCTACTTTTCTGGGGGCAAATTGTAGGTTATATACTGCTATTACTTCACTATGATTAGGCATAACTAATCATACTCATTCAAAGATTTCACTATGAAAACCTACAGTATACTGCAGTTGAAGATGGTTTACCTGTGACACTGTAACTAAAGAATGCACTATACAAGTGACTCCTACATCCATCCTGTGAGGCAGTCAGGCTATATTTGGCCGTGGGCTGACAGAGACAAACATGGATCCAGACAGCGACTACACCTCTGGGATGGAGCTGTTTACTCCCAGACTCAATGTAGCGATGTAACACATTATATTAAACCACAGACCAGATGTAGAACATTCGTGGAGAAAAATACTGAGCAGGAGAGAAGAAATAACCACTGCACAAACACACTGAAGACAACACTCAAAAAAACAACACCGTCCATGATTACATGTGTCGTTATTACAAACTGAACTATCTCACAGTATCTTCTCACATCTACGTATGGGCCAGAAACAGAAACAGAATGTGGGTTGATGGTGGGGCGGGGGGGGGGGACGACTTACATCCTGCATCTGAGCGTTGAAGAGTGCGCATGAGGACAACTGAAAAGACTGAATCATAACCTGGGCCACTGCCTGTGGAGGAGAGCACACAGCGCACTTGTCCAGATCAGACACACACACACAGCTGAGGATCTCTCTCACACACACACATCACACACACACACACACACATACTGATTCTTCCTAAGTTATGTAAGAGATTTTCCACCTTGGGAAAACCGCTGAGTTTAAGGCTCACAGCAGAGTTCTGGTTAAATGTTAGAAGGAAGTCAATTAATAAGTTATTTATAGTCTTCTCATGCTTGAAAGCGGCACTTGAGTGTTATCCAGCTTGAAAAAATAGTCGTTGTGTTACTTTCCATGCTACAGGCTCCACGAGGGTTAAATGAATTGCTAATAAACCTTTCAAGGGAACAAAGGCCTTTGTCCACGTGTCTAATTCATAAAAGATGACCAGAAACAAAGTTAGGAAAGGGCTTTTAGTACAGATGTCTGCTATGGAAACGAAAGCTTTGCCTGCATGAACTCACTACACTGAGCTAGACACTCATGGATTTGCATCATCACTGACGAGTGTGCTGTGACATGCAAATATTTTCAGGGGAAGAATTATGAATAAAAAATGTGGGGTGTTAAGAAAAGGGTAGAATAGATGCAACTACAGTATATTTGTATCCTATGTGTGCAAATGACAGTATGCACTATTTTGTAAGGGATGGAAGTTTTTGATTATTGTTATTTCTGGATTGTTTGGTCTTTAAAAAGGTCCGAATGACTGGAAGGAGCTCATCACAAGTCCTTAAGTCGATGAACATTTTAAAACCCCCGAAGAAGTTCATTTTATTATCATGGAGAACAAAAAGAACAGCAAATATTCACCAACATTTTTTTATTTTGCTCAAAATATGACTTCAAGTTTCTGTCAATCGACTAATCAACTAATTATTGAAGCTATACTAGTTATTCGTTTTTATATTGTAATATTGATGCACATAATTCCACAATAGTTTCCATAGTACAACCGCCATGTATATGTCTTTTATGTCATTGCTGTGTTTGTGTGCATTGAGAATACTTTATAAGAACAAACCAGGTTATAGAGAGGAAAGGGAAAGGAGGAAGAGGGGGAAATCGTACTCTTCCTCAGAGTAAGAGACAGCAGGTGAAGGTTTACCTCTGCGGTCTTAAGGAGCGACAGGTCCTCCTTTATGCGTCTCATGAGCTCTTTTCTCATATGTTTGGGTGACTGTCCGACTTCCTCTTTGGCCTAAAGTGTGTGTGCAGAAAATGGTTGATGCTGTATGTTCTGAAAATTTAACAAAGCTGGCCAACAACAGAAGAAGAGACATGCACGGCCCACTTTGAGAGGAGATACTGCACCCGGCCACCAACTGATTTAAATTCAGCATAATCAACTTCCTGTCTGACGTAACTTAACTGTTAAGACAGTTGTTTTTTGATTAGAAGCATTTCAGAAATGTGAGTTTGAACTGCAATCAAGTCACGAGTTTCTCAAAAGAAACATTTGACTGGTTCATGGCAGATGTTAGTCTCAAAAACAGCTCCCTCTGTATTACTATGCATTCAAGTCCCACCGCCTTAATTATGATTTATTCTGGGAATAAAAAAATAGAGTAACCGAGTTGGAATCATCTGGCAAATACGGCCTTTGAATGATTTACAGTCGACTGCTCTAATTCTTGTCATTTAAAAGTGAATGCAGATTACACCTCACTGACACTTATCTCCATCGCCACCATCGAGTAAGCAATTGATTTATGTGAGAAATACTTCAACATTTGACTTAAGATGATTCCATATCAGTTACTCTAATGCAATGTGTTTTTTTATAATTTCCCCAAATAAGCCCAACACCATTTGGAAGAATCTTCAAAAGTCGGCCATCCCATGACCAAAGCCACCTCACACACTCATACAAAACACATGGTTAGTTAATACAGAAATACAGTACACTTTAAAAAAAAAAAAGACACAACATTGCAAATATCAACATATTTAAAATAATGCGTTTTTTTCCATAGAAAGAGCTTATATATCTGCAGCTGCACAACCACAACAAAGAACATAGCTGAGAACTGAAGCAACCACTTTGAGCCAACCTGCAATAATATTTTTTAAATACAATAAACTATGAGGTAGCTCAGAAAGCAAATTACGGAGAGCGCAACCACCACCAGGCAGCATAAATACACAATGGATGCCAATTGGCACTTTTGGCATGAAAAAGCTGCATTAAGCAAAACACAGAAACTGCAAGCACGCCCAAAACTAACAACAGAGCATTTACGGCTGCCAAGCAGAGAAAGACTTACAATATATTAATAAAACAAGCTCGGCACACTCTCACAAGACTGAACTTTTACAATATAGTTCTCTAAAAATAACATATAGAGTTAGCAGCTTAGGAGGCAACCTGAAGCCTCAGGGCAGATGAATAATGGTTACAACAACACCATGGAGTTAGCAGCACCGAGGAGAAGGATGGCACAGTCTGTCTGTGGCCATCATTTGCACAGAAACAGTACCAGGCAGAGCAGAGAGGCACTCCCACAGGATTAATATGACACAGCCAAGTATGCCACCGGCTAAATAGTTAACCACATGCCCCATTAAACAGCTCGGATCTATGACATGCAATTGTTACAAACCCAAGCTCCTGCAGTTAGGAGCTGATCAGCCCACTAAAAGGCACTTCCAAGCAGAAACAGTCATGCACCGCCCCCTACCTCTTTCTTCCGATTCTTCATCATGTTTTGGAACTTGGAGAGCTCCTTGTCTTGGTCGGCTTTGATGCGTTTGGCTTCGTCTCGGAGCCGGCTGGTGTGATCCTGTTCCAGCCGCTCGATGGTCTGCTTCTGCTTCTTCTCAAGGTTCTCCACTTCTTGGTCATATTGGCGCTTCTTAGCCTGCATGGACAGAATCAGCAGAACTGGCATCAGCCTGACATCATGACAATGAGTGTGATCCAATATCAGATTAAGGCTTTACTGCTTAGAGGAGAGGAAGGTTTAACTGGAGGATACATGGTGTCATTTTAACCTAGGAAACATATTGTCAGAATCAAATGTATCTTTTTAATGTTGAGACCATAATTCATTAAAGGTCCCCTATTATACTGTTTTTCATCAATATATTATAGATCTCAGATATATACAAACATGTCTCTGAAGTGTTTGGCTCGAAATACCAAACAGATCATTGCAGCATCCCATAATCCTTCTCTGTTTCAGCCCTGTTTCAAAAGTGCTGATTCTCTGTCTGTTACAGAAGCCAAAAAAACGTTATGACATCATAAACAATGTCATAAACATTGACCAGGACACTGAAGTCCTGGTCAATGCATTTGTCACGTCCCGCATCGACTACTGTAACGCCATCCTCTCAGGCATTCCCACCAAACTCATCAATAAAGTTCAAATCATACAGAACTCTGCAGCCCGGATCATCACCGCCACCAAGGCCTCAGAACACATCACCCCCATCCTCATCCAACTCCACTGGCTCCCTGTTCAATCCTGTATCAACTTCAAAAGCCTACTGTTCACTTACAAAGCCCTACATAACCTACCCACCCCCCCCCCCCTATCTGGCTGACCTTCTTCAGGAGTACACCCCCTCTCGCTCCCTCCGCTCCTCCTCTGCTGGTCTGCTAACCGTCCCCACCCCACGCCTCGTCACCATGGGTGCTCTGGCTTTTAGCTGCACTGCTCCCAGAGTCTGGAACTCCCTCCCCCCGCACATCCGACAGTCAGACACAATCACCATATTCAAATCCCAATTAAAAACCCATCTGTTCAAATCTGCCTACTCACTGTAGTGCTCCCCATTATACGTTTCATTTGTGTCCACTTGATTGTCTCCTCCATGATTTCCTGTTTGTGTTTTATCATGTTCTAATAATAATAATAATAATAATCCTTATATTTATTATAGCGCTTTATCAATGACTCAAAGCGCTGTTGTTCTGTTGCCTATTAGCGTTTTCTTTTTTTTAAAACAAATTGTACGGTGTCCTTGGGTGTCATGAAAGGCGCCTAAAATAAAATGTATTATTATTATTATTATTATAAAGTGGACACAATCGGATCAGCTCATTTTCAGACAGGTTTTTATATAAATGGATCAGGACAAAAAAACGTTCAGAATCTCTTTACACAGAGGGGGACACATGTTTATCTATAAAAGACATGAAAAAGTGGATTTTGCATAATAGGTGACCTTTAAATAGAAATGTTGCTTTGGAGTACAAATAATAATAATAGCTTGGATTTATATAGCGCCTTTCAAGGGACCCAAGGTCGCTTTACAAGTAATAGGGCAAAAACAAACATAACAAAACAAATGTCAGACAGACAAAACAACAGATCGATTAGGGGCCGAAAGCCTTGGCAAACAGATGGGACTTGAGGGCCCTTTTGAAGGCGTTGAGTACACCCCAAATAATACATTCTGCAGCAAATGATAAAAACAGCCTGGAGTCTGGCTCCGCCCCTCATGTAAGTCCCTCCATCAGATGTAGATCTGCTTTGAGATGAAGCAGCCCGTTTCCTAGGTGTAGGCCAAATACAGAAAAAACACAGCACTGCGGTTCGAACACTGACTCACAGCAGTTTCCTGTTCAAAGCGGCGGAAGATCTGCTCTCTCTGCTGCTGTAGCTTGTTGCTCAGCTGCTGCTGGGCCCTCTGCTCCTCTTTCTGCAGGAGGCGCAGCTCTCTCAGCTCCTGCCGTCTGAGGAAACCACACAGGGGGCCACGTGTTAACTCATCTTCATCTTTCAAACATGTACGTTTCATTTCTGAGATAAGATTTGATGGTTTGTTTTATATATACATTATTAGTCTCCTGATTATATTCACTAGCTGCTTTGAAGGTCCTGCTCTCTCCATTTCTGAATGGAGTATTTCAAGTGAAACATGTCACTGTCATGAAACCAACAGCAAATAGTCAGACAGCACTTGTGTAAACATTCGGAGCAGCATGGCTTTAAATGGAAACATGGGAGATGACAGAAACAAAACGAAGCATTCATCACGGGAGATAACCCATCTGGCATTTGTTAAACTCAGTGGGAGTTGTGAAATGAATAAGAGCTAAATAAGGCAGGCATGTTAAATAGGCCATGTCACATATTTAGAACCGCACGGTAAGCAGGTTGCACACAGACGTACCTCAGGAACCTCAGCTCTTCGCTCTTGGTGTCGTTATCTGTCACTATCTTTGATGTCGTCACACTGACCTCCACACCGTCCACCATGAACTTACGCGTCTTCTTCAGAGTCTTCTTCTGACGTCTTGACTCCTAGAAAGAAAACCAGTAGATTTTGCGTAAATGACCTAGAGTGGTGATGATTTGACAACTGAGATTGTTAATGAGGCACAGATTTGTTTACCTGCATAGATACAGAGCCCCCATCTTTACTCTTGGACAGGAAGCTGGATATAGACAGATTGAGGTCCAGGCTGCTGCTATCAGCGGCAGAGCTGCTCCCAGAGTCAGAGTCCTTCTCCAAATCCGACTTGATGGCAGCGGGGCTTCCATGCTCCATCTTGCTTTCTGAATCCGTTTCACTCTCCTGGACAGAGACGGCATCTTGAGACGCGTTCTCATCTGCAGGGGGGGCTTTCTCTTCGTCCTCCTTCAGATCTTTAGGTGTGGCCACTTGTTCTGAATCCTCAGAGGTGTCTTTGGCTTCATCGCTGACTCCATTAGTGGATTCAGTTGGGGCCTTTTCCTCCAGATCCTCCGCCTTGGTCTGATTCTCTTGTTCGGGCTCTTCTGCCTCCTCGTGCTTTTCCTCTGGCTGACTCTCTACCGCCTCCTTCTCCAACAGAACCGCAGCGGAGCACTCATCCACGCTCTTTGTGTCCGTGTCTCCATTTACTGTTGTGTCCACTACATTTGATTCTATATTCTCTGTGTCTGTAGTTACATCAGTGCCATTAGCTGTGTCTTTTGTTATGTCCTCCATCACTTTCTGCTGAGGCGTCTCCTCATCTGGCTCTTTGCTTTCTTCTTCTGCCTTTGCCTCTTCTCCTGATATGGATTCTTTTTCTTCTGGTGTTTCTTCAGGTTTCTCTTGTAATACTCTGGATTCTTCTGTACTAGCATCTTTTTCTTCTTCTGCTGCTTTCACCTCCTCAGGTTCTTGTTTTTCGATGACAGGAGTAGGTCCGTCTTCTGTTTTCTCTTCTTGTGTCTCCTTCTGTTCCTCCTCGGTTTCCTGACCATCTGTGATATGTTCTTGTGTATCCCCTGCTACAGGTTCTTCAACTACAGCTTCTTCTGGCTGTGATACTACAGGCTCAGCAGGAATCTCTTCAGCTTGACCGTCTTCTGGTTTGAGCTCTGCAGGATCTTGTGATATTAAGTCCTTGGGGGGCTCTATTAGCCCAGAGGCCAGGTCTTCATTACCGGCATCAGACACCTCGTTGAGTTTCTCCTCCTCAGTCTTGTCTACCTCACTTGTTCCAAGTCCTTCATCAGAGAGCTTATCACTGGTCTGGTCCTCAGTAGCAGTTATTTCCGAAACAGATTCCAGTGCAGAGGGAGTTGCTGGGACTTTGTCGTCCTCTGAGCTGGCCGCACTGGCATCTGATGGCGCTCGCTTGTGCCCAGGAGCCGCCTGAGCCAAGAGAAAAACATGAAAACAACAATATGTTTTTTACACCAACAACTCAATCATAAATGTAAACATATTGAATTGAGTATTATGCTGGATATATGTACAAACACCGATTATACTACATACCACAGGTGTATCAGGCTCTTCCTCCTCCTCTTCCTCTTTGCTATCCTCAATCTCCTCTGTGACTTCAGCTTTGGCCTCGGCTATGAGCTCTCTGAGAGGTCTGCTATTAGTTACACTTGTGACAAAAGGATGCTACACATATGGCGGAGACACAAGAAAATATAAATTGTTATTCTTAATATCAGGTTAATAGAGGACAAACAGCAAACAGACATTAAAGGTGGGGTAGGTACGTTTGAGAAACCGGCTCGAGATCGCTAGAATTTGAAAATACACAACCGGAGAAAATCTGCCACTTCCTTATAGAGCCCCTCCTCCAACACACACGAACGCGCACATGACCAATGAGGGCACGAGATAAGTTTGTGCACAGATGGAAGGCTGACAGGCAGGTAGGCCATCCAGTTATTTTAGCCGGGCCGGCTAAAATGATTGGTCGTGCTTTTTACAGTATTACGGCTTCCACAGATGAAATCTTTTTATGGATTTGTTGTCAAAGCACTTCAGATATTCATTGCTATCGGGATGTTAAGAGCATTCCATGGAATATAACAAAAAGTGTATCTCGAGCCGGTTTCTCAAACTTACCTACCCCACCTTTAAACATGGTTTTAATGTAAGTTTGTATGCATGATTTGTGCTATATTGTGAGTGGCCTAAATGGTTGCATATTGTTAGTTAACAGCAGGGAGTGAGTGGAGTAGGGCAGCTCACCTGTAGAAGCTGTAGCGTGCCCCACCTACTGTCAACATTCTTATCAAGTGCTTTCCGCAGAAAGTCGTTGAATTCTGGCGACCTTTGAGGAATAAATAAAAGAGAATCAGCTTGTATAACAGTCCATAGGTCCTGGAAAGAGAAATGTATACCATTCCTTCCCTGCAGCCAGACAGTTAAGCGTTAACAATTCCCCCAAGCGTTCACACATTAAACAGTCGACACATCCTTATCTCCAATCCGGAAACATGCCAGCGCCACCTCTCTAGTTATCACCAGCGCTCAATCTCACCAGCGAGAGGGATGCATGAGTGTGGGAGGCTCAGACTTGGCTATTTTCAGCAGCACTCTCATGGGATTCATCTCGTGGTTGGGCGGCTCAATCTGCGCCAGCTCTATCAGGGTAACCCCCAGGGACCAGATGTCGGCCTTAAAGTCGTACGGACGGTCTTTGGAAGTTTCACACATGACCACCTCTGGGGCCATCCTGCAAAATAAGAAGTGGGTTTGTAATAAGCATGGAGGTACATCTGGATTGGGAGTGAATGTGAATTTGGTCACTTCTCTTCAATCTTTAATGATAAAAAGCCAATACAATACAATGTGTGTTAATCTGAGACTTGATTGTGAAAGATAGGAAGTCTATTCAGGATATAACGCTGAGGTCATTCAACACTGTGCATCTAAATGGGTGGATCATGCCTTTTCCGTTTCTATGCTCCAGGACAGCTTTTGTGCCACTGCATAGAAAAAGTGTAGCAGTGAGACATGCTGGGACAATTATCAGCTGGACAGAGGAGAATGGCCTCTTGTCTGCAGGCTGCATGACTCACCAATACGGAGTCCCGATGAAAGAATCTCTTCTCTGTAACGTCTTGGTATTTTTAGCAGACACCCCAAAGTCAGCTGAAGGTAGAAGAAATGATTTATGATTATTTTGGTGAATCAAACTTGCTCATTTAAACTTTTTTTCGAGCCACAAAGTTGTATCAGAAATATTTTATGAAATATGAACCCCGGGCAGTGGGACAGAAAAAACAAAATGTCTCTTTCCTATCATCATTCACAGCAGTTCTGTTACCTGTAAACCATTTCACCCTGCTCTCCCTTTTTCTCCCAACACTTACAGCTTGCACACATTAGAGGGAAAGTGAGATCTATCGTTAAGTCCGTGTTGACTGCTTGATAATTATTGTTTGCCAGGCTCCGCCATGACCCTCTGCCTACAGAGCATGAATCATCACCAGGGAGCCAGTAGCTATGGATGCTACAAAAGCAACATGAATACTTTAACTTCTGGAATATTATGCAACAAAGTCAATATAACACCAACTCCAGTACATACTGTAAGTGGTGTTGATGCAGTTCTCTCCTTTGGTGTAATAGTAAACGGGTCACTTTGTTTTGTAACTTAAAAAATGAATAAATGCATGAATGACTCATTCCAGTTTTATCATATGTCGACAGTGCTGTGCACCATTTCCCCCAAAGACACATAGCTCAGCTGGTTGCCACAGCACTGATTGCAATGGGACCCACAAATGACTTTACTTAATAACCTATTAAGCCTATAAGTGTAGAGGGTTCAAAGTGGCCACAAAGGTTATCTACAGTAAGACCGAAATCAATAATATATCAGCCATTGTTCTGTGTAGTATTTTGAGTTTAACTGGACCATGATTGAATAATCCTTCATATTTAGAGAAATATCCCAATGACACTTTTTTTTTTACCCAGTTTCACTTCTCCCTCCAAGGAGAGGAGAATGTTCCCGGCTTTCAGGTCTCTGTGGATGACTTTGTTGTCGTGGAGGTAAGTCAGAGCCTCCAAGGTCTGCCGACACACCACGCGGATCTGCGGCTCCGTCAGGGGCCTCTCCAGCTCTGCACATGCACACAATTCATGTTATTATGGTAGGTGTAGTTTTTTGGTTCACTTTTACAAACACAGACAACCCTAATTGGCTGGGTACTTCAACCACTTCATCTGAAAATACATTTAACAATGGTACTGTTATCTCCACCTGTCATATGTCTCGTTTCATTGTATATTATGAATTGAACCAATGTTTGTACTGATTGATGAGTAAATGTTTGGAAACCATTTAGCATTTAGGGTTAGAGTAGGTGTCACATTTTATGAATATTCAAAATGTTTTAAGATTGTTCTTGTATTTTAACAGTTCGGTTTGGATCTAAACTGACTGGGCTACTGTATATAATTTCAGATGTGCTGGCCTGGCGGTATCCAATAGCAACATGAGGGCCAACTGCCACCCTGCCACTCGTCAGCATGTATGACTGGACAAATCCGGGGGAAGAAATTCATTCTGGGTGAGTCAGCAGGGCAGAAAGCATCGACACCCAACAGTGCAGTGAATGGATTGTTATCCTCTTTGTGATTCAAGCATGATAGAAAGTGGTGTGGTGTTTCTTCAAGCAACACAATAACAGGGAGAAACTGCCGGCATTAGAAGTGGACTAACCCCCTCCTTGAAATCTGAACTACAATAATTACACAGTTGGAATGGCCTCTCTCAACTGGGAGAGGAAAAAAAATATCCCACAAGAGTTTATGGATGGAATAAAAAAGTAAAGAATTGGCACTTGAGGATGGAGAAAAGAAACAGCTCCAGAACTTTATAGTGTTTTTCTGTTTCCTGCACTGAATGAGGGACTTACCCAACATGATGGCATCCACCGCACCACCCGCACAGAACTCTATCAGAATCTGAAATGATAAAACAAAGTGGAAAATAAGTGATGTGTACTGTTATGCAATAAAGCCAACACATTTAACTCTCATAGCACAGCATGTGTTTCAAATGAGATAAATAAACCTGTGTTATCTAAGGTAGGAGAAAAACATGACCCCTATGTGAGAGACATCAGAACCCCCTTTTCTATGTTATTGATTACTCTGTGGAGACAGTCCAAGAAGCCTATCGATCAGACACTGAACATCCTGAGCAGCATCCTCTATTGACACATCTTTTCAGCATAATCTATATGTTTCAATCCTTGCTGGATCCATTTTCAGGCTGGAGACAGGGACTGGGATCCTCCCCTCGTGTTTTCTTTAAGATGCACAGCAATTTTTATGCAAATGGTTTGTTAGTCATCAATCATTTTGCATAAATAAACTATTTTTAGAGCATTAGGGTCTTATTTAAGTGTAACTGGTTAGTGAGTGTTTCTACACATGACTCACGTCCAGGATATTTCCTCATACTGTACATTCTGATGAAATATTATTTCCTCATTCATGTAAACATGATAGCTTTAAGCAAACACTCCTTTTCAAAGCAACAGGTTGTGTGCAGTACACACAATTTAATTCCTGGGAGTACAGACAGATGAATTATTGCCACAAACTAATATTTTACATATCCATATATTTATTTAGGGATTACTAGGGAAGTACTGATTACATTAGGTATGGCTTTAAAACCATAACAACAAATGACTTTCACTTTCACAACTTTAACAAATCACCTTCTCTCTATAACAAACAGTGCATGGAGGAACATAACATAGTACCATAATTGTGTTATTGAGATGTGAAACTGACCAGCTCCTGACCGCAGCTGTAATGTATCCGACCACCACTTCATGCACTCGCCAGCCAGTTGGCAGCTTATTGATCAAGTCAATATGAATGTATTTATAAAGCCCATTTCATTCATAATGTATCAGTTGATAGAGAAAAATGAATCAAAGCTACATCGAGCGACGCCTTCTATTCAGAGACTCACACAAAAAGGAGACACCAAGTGGTTGTTCTTGTTCTGCATAACCATTTAGCGTGCCATGGGAATCTCACTTTTAGTTTGGTATGATTCTAAAAAGGTGGTGATCTTAGGTTAAATTGAAACATTATGCATGACAATAAATCCTCTCTATTCTAGCAACATTTTTTCCCTTGATTAATCCTTTGTAGCAAAGATATTATGCATTGAGTCAACATCCACACATGCAAAGCAGATTACACATTCATCATGCTGCTTAAAGACGGGGGCCGGAGGGACAACCTGCATGCAGCTCTGAATTATTCAGGCACTTTCTCCAGCCACCAAAACCACTCCATTATCTTCTCATAGATGTGGCCAGTCCACAAGGGACGGTCACATGACACCACCTGCTCGGACCTAATTGCTCTGGGGCCTCTTAGTGAGATCTACTGACCGACTATTAGAACTGCAATGTGACTCAACTCTCTGCTCACAGTGGAATAAAACATGGGTTTGTAGAAATTAACTCTTGTATTACCATAAAGACACAATATGGACAGTTAAGGGTTTGTGGGGGGTAAGAATCAGGTCATATGTGGAGCATGCCTGTGACTTCTCAGAGGTCAGGCAATCCTGAACATGCGGTCCTGGCCTTGTACTAGCCCCTGACTGTGCCACATGATCGGTAAACTCTTCAAATGTAGGCGATAGGAGAAAAATGCACCGCAATTATCCCTTTATCGAATGCTATAAGAGTCCTTTAAGAAATAGCTTGACTAATCGGGGCTGGTGATGAATTTGTGTGTCTCTCCGTGCGTGACTGATCCCGACCTCTTTGTCTCTTTGGCTTCAAATCAAGAGCAACACGGAAACAAAGAAGCAAAAAAAAACAACAGTTCTCTCTGTGAAGCACTTGCTTACTTACCCAAAGTTTGCCTTCAAAATAGAAGGCATCCAGCAATTTGACGATGTGATGGTGATCGCAGGAGGCCAGAATTTCAATCTCTACCATGTAGTCCTCCAATTCATCCTCCGTCTTTGTGTCAATAACCTTGGCAGCAGCGAGGGTCCCATTCTGCTTGTTCTGAGCCTAAGAAAACAACATTGACAACAAAGGCTTGAGTATGCTGATCAATACATGTCTGATATCGCTGGCCAGACTACAGAACATTTAGTCTTATTGTCCAGGGCATCGCTATAGAGTGGCTATTGTGGAAGAACATCAATCATCGTTAACAATTTCATTAGACAAAAGCTATGTTGGAGCTAGAGCAATAACCACTGCAGCACTTATGTCTTGTGTAGCACCTGGAGGGTCACATCTCTATAAATACATTTCATTCAGACTTTATAACATGTTGTTATGTATTGAAAAGGAAAATGTCTGTAGAAAAAACCCATAGCAACCATTTAAGGTCAAAATATTTACAAAACACCCCATCATCTTCTGCCCTACTCGAACAAAAGCTGAGCTGGCTCACTTCCTCCGCTTCATTTTATTCCCTTTCTTTCCTTCCGTTCACTTTGATACACCGACTGTAAGGTCACATGTGAAGTGATGGTTATGTTAAACATGTTTTTATTTCATAGACTTAACAGATCAATGTTTTTTGCTTGTCTTTATTGGTAACACATTAACCTCCTGAATAGGCTATACTGAAGAGACAACTATGACAAAATTCCCACATACCCCGTCGAACAAGTGGCTATTTTAAGTACAGCTTTGGGCTTAATGTTTATGGATACAAACACAATCTCAGGGAGTTAAGGAAAAAGAACAGGGAGGGAGTGTTAGAACCGTCACACACTATATTTACACAGTTCTGGTCTGATACACTCCCTGCCTCTTGCCCTTTGTGCCGCCGACGCCTGTCTAGCAAAGGCCATCACTTATACATGCCCACAATATCAGCTCCGTGATGGAGATGGCAGCGATGATTTGTCTGCCTCTGAGATATTCAAGTGGTGCCTGTGGCCTTCGGTCATTATTACATAAAACATTTTTGACTTAAAATGAGCTGGCTGTTATAGTGTGTTGAGGGATTAAATGAGAGGGTGTGTTAGTGTCATTTTATAATACCAGTTTTTCCATCTAGTGAAAATAATGTGAACCAACAGGTTTTGTCAACAGAATTATGTAAGCTGTTTTTTCTAATAAATGGCACGCCTCTTCACTAATCAAAGGTGTAATACAAACTTGAACTGTGCTAATGTGCATGAAGATGTTCAATTCTCTTCCACGCTCTTAAAACAAATGATTCACACTTTGCTGGCTGTGTCACCCCGCCCAAATGAGGCCGCCCTCAAAGGCCTGTGAAATAACTGGTGGAACACTGGGTTGACAGTAATGTGACCTGGAGAAGTCACGTCCTCCACACCCCTCTGTAAGTGTGGGAACAGCGAGTCAATACATTTTAAAGTGTTTATTTGTCCACAACTTCAGTTTGACAAGGCACGATAGTGTTCTGGCTTTTCTCACACTTAGTTAAACGGCTAATAAGACTTGCAAATGAACATTTCCCGGGCCATTAGCTCTGGCTAATTTGATCACAAGAGTTCCAGGAAAAGACAATGTAAGTCACAGAGAAAAAAATAAAAAGCCAAGGTTACTGAAATAAAAGAGTCTTGGATTGATGGATGTTCATGTGAAACTAATTTCCACTTAACTAGATATATTTATAATCTGATAATGTGTCTGATTTGTATACATGTCCTTTTTTCTTAAGGGTTATTTAAGAGGTTTTATTCATTGATGTTGAAAGCATGTATGTTATCAGCATTTAACCTCCACACAAAGACATAGGTTTATGAAAAAAATAGTTAATCTCTCTTACATAAAATGTTCTCAGCCTAATGCAAATTCATATAAAGATAACTTGGAGAGGTGCGTCACGTCAGTGCAGAGATTAGAGATGTGGACACAATATCCTGAACACCTTGCAAATTAATCCAAAATGGCAAGCTTCAGCTTCAGAAATCATCACAAAACGAAACAACCCAACTCTGGCACTCTGACTCTCAACAAAAACTCTAAAAAGCATTGCTTTGAGGATATTTCATTACATAGCATTGTACTGTATGTGTTGCGTGTGTTGTGTCCACCTCATGCATAATGTAAAGTGTGTGTTGGTGAAACAAATAGGCCAATAGACCGTCATCCTAACGTGACAAACTGTGTACACAACATTTACATACACACCTGGCTGTGCACCTGCTGCAGTGCATGGCATAAAGAAATACAATGAGAGTCACATATTTAAATTTCAAGGGTAGCTGCCTTCAGGATGTTTTTACTGTCAGATCTGAATACAACTTAAAACAACTTAGTTACTGTCAGATCTGAATACAACTTAAAACAACTTAGTTAGCATTGGAGTGGCCATTTTTAACCTGTGGTGGTGAACCACACCTTCAACAGTTTGACTGAGGCCAAGTACAATTCAATGACATGACAAAGTCATAATTACTACATGATAATGTGACAGGGCCTACTGTTAACATCCAAAATAGATAATAGCCTACTGACACATTTAGGTAGGATGTCACTCAACAACAGCCCTAGGTCTCGCTTCTTCTCTATCTAAAGGAGGATTTCAGTAAGCATAATAGTTGAAGTACAGTATAGTGTTGTTGTGAGATGTAATAACATGCACTTGACACACATATGTCATTATTGGGGGTCTAGTTACGTATAAAAGGTGTCCTGAACGAGGATTCTGCTGTCATTTTACCGTTATATCTTATAATGAAAACAACATGAAACACAACGGAAGCGGGTGTCATAAGAAAAGGGTTAGCAATAAAAGGCGGATGTTACACATTACCTTGAACACTTTGCCAAACGCTCCATCTCCCAGCTCCCCAATGATATCCCATAGTTCCTCCGGGTTGACGTCTCTATGTACATGTTCATACTGCTTTTTCTTCTTGTCAGGCCCCAGCTTAAATATCTTCCGAAAATTGAAGAACGACATGTTTTCAGGAGAGAACTACAGAGCTGTGGATGCGGTCTCTTCGGCTATTTCCGCCAAGAAGATATAGCCTAGCGGTTCCTCCCGAGCTTAATTGGCTATCGAAATAACAGCAAGCAGGCATAAACTGCTGTTGTAGCCATTCAACTATGATAATGCCAATTATAACTTCCCTTGACGGTGGTTATTCATAATCACATCATAGACGGGTGAGATTAGGGATACGGAGAAGAGTTCGCTGTTACGCACAAGCTAGTATTTCCGTTTTGAAGAAAAAAAAACACAGTTACATTAAACAGCAAATATCGAGCATTTCGTCACACACGATACGACATTATCATTATTAAACGTCAGTAATAAAACGGAGAGTCACAGAGCCCATGCCTCGGTTGGCTGGGCACACAGAAGTTAGCGGAGCAGCATTAAGCTAGATAACGTAAATTGATTTCCGGTAAAAGACGTTATAAAATAAAAGCAAACAAACAGACTTTTGGTCACAGAAATAAGTACAGAGAAAATAAACAGTGTTGTAAAGTAACTAAGTAGATTTACTCAGGTTCTGTACTTAAGTACAATTTTGAGATACTCGTACTTTACTTGAGCATTTCAATGTTATGCTACATTGTACTTCTACCCACCTGCAATTCAGAGGTGAATTGAGTACTTTTAATACCTTAAGTTACTTTGCAGATTTTGTAAAATAATGTGAAATATAATCAGCACAAAATAAGAATTTACATATACCTGTATTACATTCACAATTAGTTGAAATAAGTTCCAACTTTACCAGCTGGATTTAAACACATCAATACATCAATAATAATAATAATAATAATAACCTAACAATAAAATATACAGTATGATTCTGAAACGGGCCAATCTGCATCATGTGTATTTTTACTTTAAGTACTGTATATGTTGACACCCTTGTTCTTCTACTTTTACATTAGTACAACATCATAGTGATTTGTCCACCTCTATGTAGTCTGGTGTCTAGACATACCACAAAACATCAGAAAATAAATGTGGAAATAATATCACACTATTCATTTATCTTTATGTTTCCAATTGTATTAAATTAAGCGTAGGCTGCACTTTGTTGTTGAATGAGAATGTCGAATGTAGATGTAGCATTGTGTCATCATCATAACGGTTATTATCTCAGGTGACTCGCTGGATGCTTTTATGTTGAAGGCCTGCGTAGATGTTTCCGGTCTCTCTCTGTCTGTCGGTGGTGAATTGACGCAGTTAGTTAGCTGTGTCTGTTTCCTGAATCACCTCACAGGACAGCTCAGTCTCAGCCCCTCGGCTCTACCACGCATGCTACTTGCGTTCCTGTCGTCATGAGGAGGAAAAAATGGTAGAAGTAGTATTGCTCAGGCAGGCCCACATCATGTTATTATGTAGTCAGATGATGTAGACCTACTGATCAACCCAGCTAATTCACAGTAACTAAGCAGACATATGTGAACTGTGCGGGTTAAGCATCCGATCATGCTTAAACTTATGATTACATTAGTTTGCATCTTAAAATAATTCCCAGTAAAAGTGTACATAGCCTATAGGCCTACACTATATCCAGGGTACAACAATGCAGGCTCTCTTATTCATAACCATATTAAGTGGTCTGCAGAACACTTCTATCATATCTCCTAGCTAAATTAATATTTATTCCAATTGTATATGACTTTGCCCATTATTGTTTGTAATGACTTCATATCATTGTTTTGACAATACTTCCAAGATTCGCCTGCAACCTTGCTCCAAGGATCCTTTGGCCACTTAGTAAGAAACAATAAAACAACAATGCAACGCTTTTCTGTTTACTGGTTTAAAAAAGAAAACAATTGACACGAAGGTACACGGACTAAAACGGCAGTAAGTAATTAAACAACATTATAAATCCCTCAGAAGTGTTATTAAGTACTCTAGTATACTGCGCTCCCCATGTTTACACAGTGCAAATAATAACGGTAATATTATTAATTATACAAAATGCACCACTTCATTAGGATGGTGACATTTTTGTGTGTGGTGTAGTGCCCCCTTGTGGTAAAATTAACTCAATGTTGTTCTCCTTCTAACCTCCATGCTCCTGCCTCCACTAGGAGCGAGCAAAGTAATTTGCCATGTGCTGAGTTTAAGTGCTGTAGGAAATCCCACTGTGACTTTGAAATTAAGAGCCAAGTGGACGGTGTACGGTACGTGATGGTCAGCTAAGCAGACACATTGCATATTTATATGTAGTTGGTCATGCGTATTTGAGCTTGTAGGCTACGTTTTTTTTATTGAAGTTAATACTATAACATGTGTACGAATATGCAGAAAGCCTCTATATTGTCACAGAGATGTAGCAAAATCAAGCAAAAGTTCAAACCTAAGTGTTTCCAAGTATTTATGTTTTTATTCCCCTGCTGTGGCTGCGTTTGTAGGCTAAATAACAGATGCGAAAACGGTTTAAGGCTGTAGACTTATTAACCAGGATAATTTGAGGGCAACACAACTATTCTCTTTCAATCAACTTTTATTGCACAAAGAATCGTGCTTTTCATCATGTAGGGTGTCTAAATATTGTCCAAACTCAATGGTTTTGTGAATTAACATTTCTTCACAGAGTTACACGTGAGAAACAAGTGAAACACGTCTTCAAAGGGTCTCGTGCTGTGTGTCCAGCCAGCTCCGCGGGACCGCCCCGCACACAGGGACATGCCCTGCCCCGCTGCCTGAGCTCTGCTGCGGTAGGCCAGCACTCCTTGAGGGAGGGAAAGACTGATGAACCCCAGTTTTATTTCTGCGTTGTCATGTTTCACAAGGAGTTCAGAAGCTCCGAGACCGCCTGACACCACCGTTTCATGGATGCATCTGAAGTTTAGGCGCGGAGACTCTTTTTCTCTGTCCCTCTATTAACTTTCCATTCGTATAAAGTCAATTAGCTAATGTTTTTGGACATTCATTATCGTTTTCATGCGTGAGCGTCTTCTTTTGTAGAATTTAGAGTATTTCTTGTTGCAAATCCCATTCAGTTTGTCAAGATGCAGCTCCGGACCGTCCTAGACGTTAATGTTGTGGACGTGCTGAAGAGAAGGAATCCCTCCAAACACTATGTAAGTTTTCTCGTCCTCTTTGTTTCTGCACTTATGTTGTAACCATTGTTTTCACATTTAAGACTTGTCTGTCGTTCACCCACTTTGGTTTTGACTGAATGGCTTTCCAACGATTGGATTGATTTGTCTTGACATTTTGTACATAATATCCATTGTGTCCTATAATAAATCCAAATGAATTTTGTAATTTTGAGGAATGTCCCTTTTGTGCCACCAAGACATTCACATTTAAGTGAAATGTGGATGGATGGATGACATTTGACATGGTGAGAGCAGCCTCATAGAGCTGCTACACGCTGTAGACCTTTAAAAGCCCTTCCCATGGCATGACGTCTTTGGTTGGCAGTCAAACATATTGTCTACGTGTTATAAATGATTGCCAATAGTTAATTGGTAGTAAATGGAAGAACATGGTGTTTTCAGGAATTATCAGAAATGTTCCTATTTTCGCAGGAGGGAAGTGTGTGTGTGTACGTGTGTGTGGCTGGCTATATGACAGGGAATAGGAGATAAAGTAAACACAGTTTGGCTGTAGCTTACAAGCCAGGAGTAGTTTTGCATCCTCCCTGGCAAACTAATTTTGCAAGTATGTCTACACACTGTTTAATGTCCTGCAGCTGACCAACTAATCAGCTAATATGGCCAACAAACTGACGTTAGCTGTGCACTCTGTGACTGTTTGTTTGCAGGACAAGATGTTTGTAAGATGAATAACAGGGAGATTTGCAGGAAAGCAAATCTAGGTTATGAAAGTCAGTGGCTTTGAATGTATTGTGGTAGGGAAGTCTGTGTCTGTGTCTCTCATAACATAGAATATGCAACATTTAAATGTGATGTTCCAATTGTCTCATTCTTCTATGAACAACAATATTGTTTTACATCCTAATGTTATTTTAAGGCAATAACATAAACAAGCCCAATGAGTAAACTTTATTTTCATTGCACATAGTAGATGTAATCTTACTGAGTCAACAAATTGCAGTTGAGCATCAAAAGGTTAACCAGAAGTGCATACAATGTACAGACCATATAATTAAAAGTAATAAAGAATAGAGAATAATAGAAGGTTAAGTGGAAGATATGAATCAGCATCGGCACTGATAACAACAGGCTATGTTAGGTATATAACATTACACTATGTACTGTATGTGGTTTTTATACATTTAAACACTGTGGACTTTTGTGTACCCTTCTGGCAGTGAGAGTTATGGCAAATACACTGTTGGCAAGTGCTTTTTGCTTTGTAGTTCCTTATAGTAGAGCCATCCACACTATGAGACAGAACAAAGTTGAATAAAATGTCCTCGTGTGATTTTAGGCTTTTTTTATATGTTGTCTTGCCGGATACTAAGGGGCTATGGAAGTCGTAATGTATAACCATCCAAAGATGCATTGTAACAAATACAATTGTGTTCAGACCGGACGTGAACAAATGGGCGGGGCAGTAAGGTGATTACCTTTTCATAATTTTTCCCACTATTCTTCCAACTAGTTCCGTCCTACAGTGCTATAAATATCTGTAAGTAGCATGCTTAGCTTAGCATAAAAACAGAAAAAAGATACTCAATGCTAAACTGCATGAATATAGTGATGGACCAAATATACCAGTGTGGCTGTAGATTCCTGGTCTTGGTTGATTCTATGGTCTGTTTTTGGTGTTGGCTTTCTGACTCGAGTAATCAAATCCAAGGAGCCATGAGACATGTCTCTGCGGGACTGCAAAAATCTATTAGTCCATCAGGTACAATTGGATTAATTAACCTGAGAGTTAGGATCAATTGCATCATCCATCTCCTGCTTAGGGAGACTCCTGATGGCCACTAACCATAGGGCACAGACTTTCCCTTGGGATTGAAGCCGGAGGTGAGGGTTGACTGGGAAGTCCCCACGAGGGGGAAAAAAAGAAATCTCATTATCTATGAGCTAAGCAACTGAAAATGCTTATCCGGTTTGAGAGAGGAAAGAAGCAACCCTTTGTCTTTTGTCCCCACTGTTCAAGTGTGACTTCCTTCCAGGGACTCATGGCACTGGAGCCAGAGAGTACATGGAAACTAATCCTTGTTTCCATACATTACCAGAGAGGGATCATTTTAGGGAAAATTAGATCCATTTGCAAGTCCTTGGTTTGTGAAGTTCATCGCAGAAACATGCTCTTTTTATACATTTAAATTATTATTTTGTGTTAAAATGTGCCTGTGAGCTACATACATATGGTAATTGATTGCAGATGAGCCCACACATACTGCCAGTGTGTATCCATTTGTGTTTAATTGATTTGTATCTGCTTGAAACAATAATAATATCTTGCATTAAATACCCATAGGCTTACGCGGTATCTGTAATTCTGTTTGTGACCAGCACCATCAATATTACTCTAACCGTTACCCACACAAATGACAAATGAATGAATTCATATTAATTTGTTTTTTTCAGTTTAATAATTTATATTATTATGTTCAAAAATAAACCTGGTTGTCGGTTCTTTTTGGATGTATCTTGACCTCACACACCCTCACTTTGAGCCATGCTGTTGTCTCAACTCAGAGTGTTTTCTCATGCTGTCTGTATCTAATTAGCGAGCTGCTGGAGAACTTGTTCCGCCTCGCTGAAGACTCTTTCTGTAATGAACAGTGTGCAGACTGAAGACTGCATTTCAAACTAGTAAATGATGTCCTTGTAGATTGCCACCATATGTGTAAATGCAGCTTTTGTAAACACCCTGTGCCATGCTCTTAGATGGAAATGCAGGAGGTGCAGCCATCTGTTTCCGAACCTCAGGGTGTGCACAATTGTTTGTGGGCCCTTTTATTGTTGAGGCAAATAGAGCATTTATTTTGGGAAGACTTCCCGCAACAGTGTTTTGTTCTTTAAATGACTGATGTCTGTCAAGGAAATGCTATTCCCATTTCAGCTTCTGTTTGAGTAAACACTTCTTCCCTGTCATTATTCCTGGTGATAGATATAAGCGCAGGAAGTTGTGGACATATCAGGAGCATAATTTGTTTCCTTAGACAGTGGACTCACGCAGACATTGTGAAAGGAAAATGCAAAGTTGTTAGTTACACAAGACGCTGAAACACAACAACTCAAGACCAGAAAAGATGGACTTTTTGTTATTAGCACTGTAGAATAATAATTTGACACTTTCAATCAGCTGCACTCAAAACCCAAATGTAATTCATTATGAATGGTTCTAAAGACATAATACCTCAAATCTATTGTCCCTCTTATTAACCCCTGATGTATTTCCAATGTGTGACGGTAACAGACGAACTTAATGAGTTTATTTGACCTTTGATGACCTCTTGAAGTTAAGTCAGAAAGGAATGCACTTTGTGTCATTAAGGCAGGGCAAGCTAAAGCGGTGCCGTGGTGTCTTTGACAAAGTGACTCTGCTCCTAATGGACCACTTGTGTTTGTGCTTCTCTCACTAGGTGTACCTCATCAACGTCACTTACTCGGACTCCACTTCCCATATCATCTACAGGAGATACAGTAAATTCTTTGAGCTACAGGTATGTTGTACTGGTAAATTAAGTAAATATTTCTACTGTCACTTAATACATGAGCAGCCTGAGCCCTAAACTTGCAAAAATGTTTGTTGAAAATGACCCGGATATGTCTTCATAGAATCTGTGAGGTCAGTTTGACCTTTTAGTCTCTCTTTCTGTTCATCTGCTGAAAGGCGGTATGTTCAATGGAAGGTCTCATTTAAGAAGACTGGAGCCGGTTTGGAGAAAGGGAAATGGGGGTTAATCCAGTAAGCAGATGCAGGAAGAAAACACTACCTCAGTCAGATTACAGCTTTGGTCAGTGTTATGCTTCAGGACGTTTTAAGGGATCCACTAGCATCCAGTGAAATGCCTGAAATTCCTTACATTGACTAATTTTACATTTTAACCACACAGTGTTTAGTAGTCTAAATGTATTGCAAGTTTAAAAGACATTTTGAAACATCTTAGTAGCTTAAGCAACAATGTGAAGGGTTTAAACCTAAATCTGTGCATGCCTTAATAAATGTTCTTCTAAAGGAGCGTCTCTGGCACTTCTCTGATAACTCCCTCTGCCAGACTGCACTCTCCAGTGCTGAGGCTCTGGTGGGCTGGCTGTACTGGAGGCAGCAGAGGAAACCCTTTGTTCTCTGGTCTCTTGCTAATAGCCAGGAAAATGCTGCCCTGGTCTGTTTGATGGAAACAGGGCTTCTCTCCTGTCTAAGTAAACATTAGTCTTGTCCATAGATCCCTGCTGCCGGGGTGTGTTTGTCTGGCCACGGTAATCCGTGAAGAACAACAGTCTCCAGCTGTCCATACAAAATTGGGTGGGGATAGTGTGTTTTATTTGTCTTTATGTGAACATAGTCATATAGGTGAAAGATGAAGTGTCTCGAGTGAAGCAGATTGGAAATGGCCTACAATCTATGATAAGTATTAGACTGCGAAGATAGCATGTTGGCAGATGCTTAAAGTAATCCTGCATTATGAAAAGTATTGAATAATTAAAAACAGTTGCGTATCTTAGATTTTAAGCTAGCTGAAGAAGGAGGTTGTTGTTTGGGTAATGCAAGGACCAATCCCAGATTGCATTGGAATAAATGAAGAGTTAGCTGTGGTCAGGAAAGTGTTGGGGGCTGGGGGAATGAACAGTTTGGTGCTTTGTTAATGGAAAAATGTGGCTTTCCTTTTAACATTTTAGATGACTATTTAACCTGGTGAATGTCCCCTTATAATTTAAATAATATTGAGTGTAGTGTTGTTTCTTAGGGCCTGTATTAGAATATTTGTCTTTTCTTCAGTCCGAAATTGAGATTTTGATTGTTTGTCTGCCAAATTACACCTACAGTCCTCCCCCAGCTCTGCACAGTTCTGTCTTTTTAGAACAATTGCCTGTTTTATGCTCACCAGAAGCTGAACAAAATGTGTTTGACACCCTTGGCCTGACAAATGTGACCATGATCTCATCGGATAACCATTAAATCAGAATTCAGAAAAGCTAGGAAAGGTCACAGAACAAGAAATGCCTTTAAGGCTGAGGCTGATTATTCATATTATGTCCAACGTCAGCCAACACTGTTCAGCTGCTCATAAAAAAGCTACTCATCAACAACAGGCAGCTTTGCTCTTAGTCTTTTTAAGATGAGGAATCCATTTTCGTTACCAAATGGATTTCCAAGAGTGCACTTACTGCTAATGAATCAAACCTCCTCAGTGTACTCAACATAACTCATAACTGCTCCTCAGGGAAGCAATTATCATAAATAATCAGGATCCCCTCATTACCAGATTCCTTCTCTCTTTGTCTTTTCTGCTGACCTAAAGTGAATCTAAGGAGAAAAAAAGCATTTGTCATGCATTTGCAGAGTTAAGCATGATAGTACTCACTTTCAAGACGTTTGTTTTCATGCTGCATACTGCTGAGCCTGAGTTCCATAAATGTTGTTTCTGGTGTCAAAGGGAAATGTTTTTTAACCACATTTGTTTGACGTGAGCAGAATTGGTCAGTGTGTCGAACAGAGTTTACCCCCTCCACACCCTTCAACCACAGCAGACAGAGCACATGGGTCACAGCATTCCTCAGGGGGATTGTGGAGTGTGCATGCTGGCCTGGTTTCCTTTTGGACACACACTTCTCCAAAAATCCCATAGTGGTCATTATTTTTGGATTGGAGAATCGGACCTGGTTCAGCTCTACTCTGTCTGCGTTATAGTTTATCTTGCCTGCTTTCATGGGACTTTGATAAGGTTCTTTTTCTTGTCAAACCTGAATTACATTTGTATTGATTTGAGGGAGGAAACACTCATGGGTGAGAAGAATGTCAATTTAAGGATATTTATTATTTAGAAGACAAATGTAACCGTCCCTTCTACAATGAAATGCTGTCTGAGTCATGATGGAGTCACACACAAAAAAAGAAAGTATCCAAAGATTCTCCAGAGTTGTTGTCTTTTTTTGTTCAGTTGTCAAAACCTGAGGCCTACATTACCCACAATGCAATGCAACAGATGCCAGTCCAGTCTCAGATGTTGGTGTGTTATGCTAGTAGCTGCTAATGTAGCCTTAAGCTACACAGGACTGGTTACTATACTTACTTTTCAAATGTGTAGTCTGCATACCCAATCATGCTGACTAGCAGAAATATTTTCTTTTAAAAAAACTTTACAATGTTGCTGCAGTACCAAAAGCAGCATTTGATGTTGATAATGATAACAATGCAGCTTTTGCAACAACATGCATGATAAATCGGGGACATTTTATGACCAAGAGGCCTGTTTCATCACAATCTCTCTACAGTAAACAACAGTCAAGTAGATGTCAAAACACAACCCAGAGATGGAATCAGATTATTGGTTTCCCACTCAAACATTTCTCCAAACTCCCTCTGACTGAGATTCCTCTCAGAAGAGTTCATTTGTCTGCTGCACAGCGGAGTGTCTCTTTGTCTCTTCCTCCCTTTCCACTCCAGTCAGTGCAATTAAGTTAAATGCTTCTATGATTATCATTACAGCGTACAGAAGCTGTTTGGGTTCTCCCATCACCATAATTCATATCCATCACGTCACATGCTGAAATTATGCCAGTGTAGAGAGGATTGAATGTTTTCTGCACTTTCTTTTCTCTCCCTTTTATCCACAACGCTGATTTTCAAGTGTGACTGGGAAACTGCATTACATCATAACACCTGTTGCTCTGTGGTTCATTTCCCCAGTGGGAACACTTGGCTGACACTGCAGCTTAATATGCTTAAGTATCCTTTGCAGAGTTTACAAAAGCAACATAGAGTAAATACAGCATATCAGAGCCAAGTCCCTGAAATTTGAGAAAGGTTTCCCTCAGAGTTTTGACCCAAGTTGTCCAGCTGTTGCTATAGTAACAAATGTCACACCTGTCCCGTAGAGCTGCAAGTGTATCCAGGCAGGTCCCCGGGGGCTGAGGTAATCATCGCCTCTCTGTCGGGAGAGGTGGTCTCTGAAGGTGCTGAGTGAAGAACGCTCCCATCTTAGAGGGAGTGTATGGCTACATCCAGCTAGGAGGCTGATAACATGATGAGTGTGTCAGACACACGGTACAGCTGCCAGTGCACTCTTACATAAACGGGGATTTCTAAGAAACCACATCTGTTAGTACGCCTGTTATAATTAGGGCCTGAGCTCGACTAGAGTCGGAGCGAAGACCTATTGTAATCCTTGTGTAAGACCAGATAAGGAAATTATACAAAAGCATAATAATGCAAGTTCACCCTCAAAGAGGAAATAACTTCTCACTCTTGGAAATATCCAGACATCGGAATTGGAATGTTTTAAAAAATATATTTAATAAATAAAATAAAAACTACCCATTCAAAACACTAGAACAAATTGACTATTGGGCTCTGTTAACACAATTATGCACTTCCTGTGTCTTATAATGCTAAACTCTTCTTTTTATTTTGTTAGCTAAAGTGTTGGTGAAATGTATCATGAAACAAAACACGTATGTAAACTCAACAGGCAATATCAAAGGTCATGTACATGTCAGACCTGCATAATAGTAGTGGTAAATGGTTTCCTAAACAAACATTCTGGTTTGTATTTATATTTGTTGAGGTTGAGGAGTATAAAACACTAGGTGTGGATAACCAGAGCCGCTCTATGTACTCAGCCCTTTTTACTTTCCCCTTAAAAACAGAATACAATGGCTGCGCTCTTCAAAATATTTCTTGTTGGCTGTCTATATTTTGAAGAAGAGGGGAAATGCCATGCCCTGAGAGAAGTTAAAGGATTTAGCCAAGGCAGCATATTATTGTAAGAAAGAAATGAACCACAAGAAGAGAAACCAAACCACTCTTACACAGGCAATCCCACTTTACCCTCCAAGCTCGATTCTGTTTGTCCACCTGGTTCTTTTTGGCCTGGTTTAGACCAAAACTCCCGGCTCCTCCTCCAAGTTGAGTGTGCTGTAGCTTGATGCTCACAGACTTTGCGGTTTAACAGAGCCCATCTGGAATAAGGCAAAGCAGAACGAGCAAAGGCGGGGCAGCATCTGGATTTTGAGCTTTCTGTTACTGTAGGATGCTCTCATATGTGCTCATGGTACTGTGATTTATTCAAGGAAGAAACCAGAAACTTTTGTCCTTGACACAAACGCATACACGCGCATATTGGACGCATCCATATTTTTTCAGCACTCAACAAAACAACCTTGTGCATTATTCACTACACAGCACATGTTCTTTTTCCACATGGGACAGATACACACATGTATACGTTAATCCAAGTAGACACATGCTGAGACATCAAACTGCTACAAATAGGAGGACATAGTTGTAATCTGTCATCATGACAGACCTAACAGTATTCTTTCTATAAAGAGTATTCTGTCTGTATCACCCTTTATCTCTTCATAGATAAATGGTCCGATGTATCAAGTGTTAACATCAAAGTGTTAATTATCTCCTCCGATGGCGTTTAAAGCTCCTTAAGTGGAACTTGCTTTTGATTTTTCTTTTCAAGTGTGGGTGATGTAACCTTGTCTGCTGCCCCAGAGATCAAAGTGTTTTGTAGTTTCACGACACAGTAGCTTTTCAGAAGATATTTAATTACACCCACGTTGAACTCATGTGTCATAACAAAAAGGTCGTCTGTTCCTCTTTTCAAATGCAACCCCCATTTTTTGTTCCTATGCCCCTCACAAATTCCTCCACTTTCAACTAACTGATTAACGTGTGGTAGATAAAACACAGTTCATGTGGCTAAGCCATCAAATAGTTACTTGATTATAATTGTACGTTGGCATCCATCTGTTTTCGTGGCAGTCAAAGAGTCATGTTTTTGATTTCTTGCAGCAGAACTCATGTTTTTGTCATTCTTTACTCCCTTCTCCTTTTTGCAGATGCGAATCCTCGACAAATTCCCAATCGATGGAGGACAGAAAGACCCCAAAAAGAGGATTATTCCTTTTTTGCCAGGTGGTAAACACAATCAATTTAAGATGTATTAAAGACTGCAGATTTCAAGCAAAAGAAAGGCTGTCAGTCATATTTATGCACAATCGCTGTTTGTCAGCAAGCCTACATACTCCACTCCATGGATTGGCCCACGACATTGCATTGTTTATTAACTGCCATACAGGATCCAAGCAAAATCAATTTGTGGTGTGCCATGGCAGTAGGAGGCTGGCAGAAAGGGATTTGTATAATCTGATGAACTCATTGTGAGCCAGAGCAGAGGAGAGCAGTGAAGAGATCCTTTGTTAGACAAGCTGTACTGCTCAAGTCTGACCACTGCTGTTTTGATCTTTCTGTAATTCTTCATGGAGTGAACTGGATGCCCTCCACACAGCAAACAGCCTGCACACTTTTACTGTTTAGTATGTTTCATAAATATAAACACTGATAACAGCTCATAGGAGTTATAAAGTGAGGATTAGTAACCTTTTACAAATGGTCTAATTTATGTATGGGTTAAAATGCCCTTTCGAGCTCAATTGATTTTAGAGTCAAAGCTGTTTTCAAAATAAAATATTTAATCATGTATGCTATTCTTTTTCTTTAGTTAGTCATTTAAAAATGAAGGTAAACCCACTTCCTTCCTCCTTTTTCTAAATGCAACAAAGAGCAAACCTGTTATTTATTGCGCTTGATAATCTAACATTTTAATGTTAGATTATCTTGTATCATTTTGTTTCTCGTGGTATATGTACAACTGAACTGACAGTGCTCTGTTTTTCCTCAGGTAAAGTCTTATTTCGCCGAAGTCACATAAGAGATGTAGCCGTCAAAAGACTAAAGCACCTGGATAATTACTGCAAAGTAAGACAATGGCTGCATGTCTCATAAAGTCCTCTTTAAGTTAATTGTATCACTCTGTCTGCTGTTAACACGATACATCTTGTAGGAAAAGAAATGACTGATGATGACTACCCATGTTTGGTTTTGTCGGAACAGCCCTTTATCTATGACAATGCTCTACTCCCTGAACATTTGCCACCGCATTTTGAAGGCAGACCTCAACATTTATCTCCCCCACCAGCCTCAACAGGAAAGCAACAGCACTATCTGTGCTGGTCATTTCCTGTCACCAATGTAAATAGGCAGCCTATAAAGGAAACAAGGGAAATGGGGGGCACACAGGGGTAAAAGAGAACCCAAAATGAATCAGCAGGCTTCAAGTCTAGTATGAGTGCAGATGGCTACCTGATCCGTTTATATGAATTAGGTCAGAGAAGGGAATGTGGGTCAGGTGCAGTGCCAAGTGTGGCAACAGTTTTCCTTTATAGGAACCAAGCAGGATTAGCTGTGAAGGCAAGAAGCCTAGTATTTTTTTAAATATTGTTTCTTTAAAGCTGTCTTTAGTGGGCTGAAGTATCTAATGTTCAACGCCCATGCAGCTGAGACAGGCGTTTGTTAAACTATATCACCTCTGTGGGTTTTCCTTTGTTTTAACCCTCACTCCGTGCTCAGAGCCTTCTTCCTTCCCCTCCACACCCTCCACATCTCCACCCAGTCTGTTTAGCTGACTGACTGTACAATCACGAAGTGTTTAAGACCGGTTATTCATTGTCATTCAAACCAAACTCGAGCACTTTTAAACAGCACCTGCAACTTTTTTTTAATATATGTTTTTGTCACAAACACATGCTTTCTCCCTCCTTTTCCCGCCCACAGGCTCTTATGAAGCTTCCCACCCACATTACCCAGAGTGAGGAGGTCCTAAAGTTCTTTGAGACAAATACAGAGGACCTCAACCCTCCCAAAGAGTGAGTAACTACCACTGCTGACTTTATAAATCATAGGCTATCATTCAGTATTAGCGTCATCTCTTTTAAACTAGCCATCGCCCTCTGGTGTGTTACGCTCCAGCAGCAAACTGTGTGTGGTTCAGCAGCTGGGACAGGTTTCACCCGCAGTGACCCATCTTGATCCAGAGGCTTTGCTGTGTGTCTCAGAGATGATTGATGGGTGCTGGTTGACAGGCACTGCGTTTTCTTATTAATAATGATTTATAGGAGGTAACACGCGATCCCCAAAACAAATGCGTAAGGATCAGAGGTGTCATACGAGTGCAGCTGAGTTCAAGTCTCAGAGCAGATAAGGCTTCAGGGCTAGTCATTTGTCAAAAGCACGTCTAAGTCAGAGTGGGAGTAATTACAGACCAGCTGCTAGATTCATTTTTGTATTCTATTCTTCCCTTTTGTCTATGTTAAAATTAAGTACATTCTTTTTTCATGAATGCATACATTTGTGTTTGTTTGTACTTCTCCCAACACACTCAATGAGAAAAATGTGTTGGAGTTACCTCTTGAGTGGTCTCTCCACCACCACCAGACACACAACCTCTCACCCCCGCTGCCCAGTCATGTTAATCCCACTTCAAAGCGAGATCTTCCTCCAGTCTTGCAGGTTCTGAATTTAAATTGAGACGTTGAGGTCTAAAAGCCATGCCACCCAAGTGCTCAGTTCACTTCTGCTGGATCTGGACCATTTCAAAATGCCTCTTCTGGTGTTTATTCTTTTTTTCGTTAGTTTGTTATATCATACAAAAAGGCAATTGGTTGAAAAAGGATGAATAAATAAAGCACATTTGAGAGCTATTTCGTCACATCTAAATATTTTTGAGAAATAATTTGAAAACAGAATAAAAATTAAGAGCATTTCGGCTTGGGTAATAATTATAATGTATTTGTTCTTCTGTCATCTTGACTGAAACATAATAAGTATAGATTGTTTACCATTCAGCCTTTATTTACTCTAACTTGATTATTTAGGGTTGCATTAAGAATGGAAATACTATTCTCCATCAATAAAAGCTTGATTTTCCAAAAAGGGAAACAATTTGATGTATAAATTAGGACAATTAGGGAGTAAACGTATACACAGTTATGTAAAAAGACCTAGAATCTTGCAATTGGTGTAGAGAACTTGATAGATAAATTAAAATGTTAAACAAAATACAAGTATGTAAAACAAGCAGAGGTCACGTCTTATATTTCAAACCGATGTAAGTTCTTTAACAATAAGTAGGTGCTTCTAACCCAGCTCGCTAAGCATGATGAAATTCTGAGAGGTAATAGGGTAATATTTCAGTACCCTTTCTCTCTTGGACCAGACCACACAACCCTATCATAAAAAATACAATGATGTGTACTACATCACCGGTAATAAATCTCTAGGCAGACTGATAGACTATTCCAGATGTTTTAAGAGTTGTTGAAGATGAGTTCCCATAAATCATATCACATAAAAACTGCGTTAACAATCCTATTCCTACAAATCATAGGAAAGATGTATTTATTTATGTCGAAATTATTTCTGTGGAAATTAGTTGCCAACATTTTCCCTGGGCCAGCACCCAAGATTATTTTTGTGGAATTTGAATGGGAGTTCAATCAATAAATCTATCAAGAAATCCAATTTGTCTCTATTACAGTTGCAGTGATTAATAATGAGACCGGTCATACTGGTGACATTTTCTCCACCAAAAAAAAGCTTGGGTTGAATTATTTAAAATATTTTTTGCCAGTAGTTACTAACTTTTAGCATCAGCAAGGAGGCAATGTTGTTTGACAAGTCTTCATCTGCTACTGCCATCTAACGGTCAACAGTCGTCACTGCACAGAGTTCAGAAAATAAAGAAATTATGTTGATCCGTCACAAGAGGGAGCCATGCAACAGGCCTTAAAACTGTAAGATGGTTTCTTTACTTCTGGAGAAGTGTATTGTGTGTATGTGTGTGTGTGTGTGTGTGTGCCATTATAAAACGTTTTGATAATAGAAACCATGTTTTTAATTGTATTACAAGTCATTTTACGTCCTGGGGTCCTGATTGGCACCTCAATTTAATGTTACTGAGATCATATGCAGATTGTATTTAATTATTGAGTTACATTTATTTTATTTTTTTCATCAAAGTCATCAATCATTGTTTCAACACTGCAAAGTTAGTCTGACAATTATGCAGATTTGAAACTTGGCAATGAGATAACATTATTTAAATTAAAAGTTAGTTTTAAGATATTTTGCTGGAATAATGTGAGCGGTAAACGCCAGCCCATGCTTTTTCTAAATGTATTTTACTGCCGTTTCTGCACCTTGCCTTCACACTATTTGAATCCCCATGGGGAAAAGTTTCCTTGGCATTTGGTCCACCCTAACCTTTAAGAAACAGTGAGCAGCCACAACACAGTGCCTGGAAACCATTGGCATTTCTGAGTCCATCAACTTGGTCAATAGCAGGCCCACTGATGAACAACAATTGCATATCTTTATAATCCTTATCCATCACTGCATCTTAATGATGTGCCAATCAAAACAACCTACCCTTTCAGTTTGCAAATCAGACCTCTGCGCATAATCATAATGATTTCCTGCTCAATTAAGTTGACCTATTGACCCCTAAACTGTAGGTCACTCCTGCAGAGGTTAATCTGAGGTCAGGCAGGAGTGTCTGTGTATTGTAAACATGAAGCAGGCGGACCCTTCAGTTCTCTGACTTGGCTGAGAAATGTGAGCAAAGGACTAACGTCTCACACATTCCATTTCTAATAAGCCCACCTACAAAGAGTGAGCTGCAGTTATGTGCAAACAGATGGTTATTCTCAACTCAAGCTTAGGATGGACTCTCCCGGGCTTGGATATTAAATGACGTGTTCAGCCCATGCATCTCCGGGCATGGGTGTTTATAAAACTGTAAAGACTATCTCCCAACTTCTGTGACTCTCCATTGGCTTGCTAACTAAAGGTTAAAATGTATCCCTAAAACATTGGCGCACAGTCTTAAGCATTTAATATGTTTGGACATATTTTGGCTCCCCTTACCTTCTCCTCATTTATTAGATTTTACTGGTGAGAGGAGGGAAGCATTTAGAGCCAGCGTTTTGTGCTCAGTCTTCTCCTGGGAAGAGTATTATTCCAGCTCTGAGCTGGAAGGGTCACAAGCTAGCAGGGCAGGTCAAGCATCCACTTTATCCCCATCATTTCTCCCCAACCCTCTATGGTATAGTGCTTCCCCCAGTTTCATCCCCACCCTACCAGATATTGGCTAAATAAACACTTCACGAAATACTTTAGAGATGTATAACATGTATTACAATTCATTTGTCTCACGTGTTGTCTCGATGCCTGAAACCGAATCAATAAACATACTGATGTAATGTATCCAAGAGTTTATGCTACATTACCTAAATAATTACCACCACTGACCCTGTGCTCCTTTCTGTCCTGAAAATAATCTGTTAGCTGAATGACATGCGTGCTGTTTTGATTTAAAACACATTTGGTTTCTTCTAAGGGACACTTTGCATCATCTGCTCTGACTATAGTTTATTAAAAATATTATAAGCACAAAGTAATTTGGCTCAGCAAGAATGTTTACCACTATTTTCGCTCTATGAACATAGCTTGAAGATAGCATATAAACATGTTTTTTTGTAGTGTCACAATACAATTTAGTTTGTTGTTCTTTTCAAAATTAAGTAAGTAATGAAGCTGAACTGAGCAGTGAGCTATTACGTAAGTGGTTGGAAGTATCTCATAACTTGTATTTGTTCACGCATCTGGAAACAGGGAAGCGTTGTGCCAAAAAATGACTTTATCTTAAATGACAGACAAATAAAGTTATTAGTAAAAATGTTTTGAGGAGGCAGTAAGAGTTGCTTAGCTTAGAGGGGAATCATTTGATGATGACACTGAATAACAGTTTTAATGTCATTTTTATTATTGTCCATTAAGTGTAAAACAGCTTTTTCCTAGTACAGTATGACATACTTAGAACATTGCTATTACAAATTCTACTTTTCTTGTTAACTGAAATCAATGAAACCTGCAGAGTAGATGGACAAACTGTAACCTGGCGAATGTTGGACAAGGTTTATCCAAACATGCACTCATATCCATAACTGGCCATGGCTCCAGTCCTGCTGCTGGCCTCTACAGAGAGCCAGGTGTCTGTTCCCATCTGTGTCAAAACCTCGGCTTCTCCTCAGTGTGCTCATGAGGACAGTCAGCCAACAAGCTACAAACCACACATATACATACTGTAGGCCCAGCTTTAGAAAACACTGCTCTGTTTTGAAATGTTTATGCATGTCAATTCTATAACAAATTCTCATCAAACAGGATTAAGCAATTATGTGCAGTGTCATCGCTTATGTACCTGCATTACAGTACATGAGGCATGAGCATTCAAATTGAACTGACAGCACTTTAATGAATGACTTTTAATGTGTTCATACTGTGTTCATCGTGCCATTGTTTGCTTGTTTTTGCTTCTAAATGACTAACTACGGCTGAATAGATCCAACAACAGTGACGGGTTTAAGCGTATGCAAATGATGTGTTCCACTCTAAATAGAAATCAACCAGACAAAAAGGAGCAGACAGACTAGTACAGTTAATATCCATGTAGTCAATGTCAAAATGGTGTTCTGTGACCCAGATGAGTGTGAAAGCACAGAGTGGGTTCATTGACACTATTTCTCATCGTTCAGCGTTTTGTGCTTGGCAACAGAAGGACGCTTTCAAATCTAAACATGAATGGGACTTACTTAGGGGATATGATAGTGTTGTAAAGTAAATAATTGCTGTATTGTTAAACATAGGCAGCTGCACACCATGTCTGCCATATAGACATTATCTCATGGCAGTATTTGGCTAGAAGATCTATAGATTTGTTCTCGTACACACTTACTGTAATCCTCCACGCACGCCGTACTGTACGTTGTATCCCACCCTGTCTCTCTCCCTATGGTAGTGGCGGGTCAAGTTCTGCATGCATTCTCAACAAGGGTTTGGCTGGGACTTGTGTGCCAACTGCACTCGGATGGTCCCAGGCAGACACAGATTCAGTTCTAACCAGTTCCTAGATTGATCAGGTTGTATTAATGCTCACACACACTGATACTGACCATGCTCCTCTGGTGTTGTCGTCTTTTCAGGGACTGTGGAGGATCCGGCAAACGGAAATCAGGTGAGGATGTGAAATCTTTTTTTAACTTGGTCAGTAGAATCTGTGTTTAAGTTATTATATGAGCCATCCATTTGTATTTTGTCCCTACTGTGTTGAATGGCTACTTGAATGATATTGAAGTTTGAACATTTAAAACATCTGGATGACATCTGTCTGTTGTAGTTTTCCAGGCTAGCACGTCAATGCTATACTGCTAGCATAACACACCCAAATCTCTGATTGAACTGTTGTGAATTACATTGCATTGTGGGTAATTTAGGCAACAGATTATGACAAGGTATAAGACTGTTTGAAATAAAGCTGCAACAATTAGTTGATTGATCCGCAACTACATTATTTTGATAATAAGATATTTTGTAGTAATTTTTTTTAAATATTCTCTGGTTCCAGCTTTAGAAATTAGAGAATGTGATGCTTATCTTTATCACGTAAGAAACTACATTTCAAATCTTTTGGTTTTGGACACTTTTAATACATTCCGATGGGCTCTAGGGAATTGTGAATGTCATTTTTCACAACAAACAAAAATTAATTGAGAAAATAATTTTGAGGGTTAATCAATGATGAAAACAATTAATAGTTGCAACCCTACATAAAAGACTTGTACTGGATTTTAAGAGGGCAATGAACAATTAAGCTTTATAGATTACATGGTTCCCAAATGCATTCTAATCCAACACTTTATTGGTTAACATTAGATCATTGTATTGTAATGAAATGGTTAAGAAAACCGTGTTTATGTGGGAGAAACAGACCAGTTTGCTCTTCCAGGGTTGACTATAGGCTTTATGTTTGTATGTGAGAGAGTGTAAGAAAGACAGAAAGAATGAGTGACTCAACTGAGCATGGGGATACAAGCGTAGGAGGAAGCAGGAAAGGCATGAGAGGAGTTTAGGGAACAGCTGTGCAAGTGTGTTTGTATGCGCGTGCACTTGCATGCATGCAGTCTCAGAATACCCACACGCATTACTAAATTACATGCTAGCCCTACAATCAGATGCGAAGTTGCTGTGGCCATCCTTTCTTCAATCTGTCACAGTTACAAATGACATAGCTGGGCAGCAAAAGTCTCAGTAAATGACCTGCAAGTTCATTTTCTGTGGTCCATGCATGCTGAGGAAAAGCTGTGATGGAGTTGCCACCAAATGAAATAAGACCCCAACCTAATTTCATTATATGTTCCATCGTATTGAGGCTTTACGTAACAGGGAATTCCAGCTACATGGCGAAATGGAAAAATTGTCTTATTTCAGCTGTGTGTGTGTGTGTGTGTGTGTGTGCTGAGTAACCTACATTCAGTCTGTGCAATATATTAGATTGGTTTCCAGCTATATTTATATCGGCTGCCTCACGTTTGCATGCACACTTTCAGCTGTTTCATGGTGTGGCTTAATATGAAACACGTTATCTGCTGTACTGTATGTATATTTATGCTTACAATTAAATAATTGCATCCACCAGGGAAAACAATGATAACACACTTTACGTCTTGTGCTTAGGATGATTTAATATTCACAGTTGAAATGCAGTACATACTGTACAAGCCCTCCATACTTTATACCTAAACCCTTACCATAGTCCCTGTGCTGGACATTAGCGGTGAACGCAGCTGAAAGATTGATCTTTGTCTTTTGAAGGAGGACAGCAGATAAAGTGCAGTGAGTCTGTGGTGAATTTGTGCTGGAGCTGCAGCTTATGGTTTACATAATTACATGGTGCAGGTTTCCCATAAGAGCTACTGAGCCCCTGCCCCTGAACAGGAGAATGTTGCCCTTCACCACAAAACTGCAATGGTTAGAAGTCCGACTAGAAGCTCTGTTTACCTGGCAAGCAGAACAAATGTGATGTTGATATTGACAATATCATTATGTTCATCACCATCATGGTTGTTTTTCTGTTTGTTCCGGCTCTTCAGCTTCGCCCCTGGGATGAATAAAGTTTTATCTTATCTCATTGTATTCAGTCATTTCTCTTTTTTTATAGGATGGAAACTAGATGATAGAGACCATTTGGCGAAAAAAGTAATTTGGAAGGGAATTGTGTTATAAACGTAGGGATTTCATCTCTCATATGTTTTCAGCAAGATCCTGGCCCATATCTAATTTATTGTCGTCCAACTGGGACTTCGCACAGTATGAGGTTGAAGTCTGCATTATTGATCTTCTATGTCTAACAATGTTGTTGGATTGACTGCAGATACTAGGCTCTTCGGAGTAAATCCCTGTCAGATAACTCGGACTGATCAAAAAGACACCCTGCCATATTCAAACCCTAAAGGAAATGAATGGTCTTTCATTCACAAGATACCATGGTGATGAAATAAGTATACTATCCATACACAGGGAAGAAAAAAAAGAGCAACTGTTAAAGAAAACAATCTGATTCCAATTTACTCCGATTTTGGGATCAACTGCTGCTTACTTTTTCGGATGTTGAGGGTTCTGCAAAGCCAGTTCATCTTTAAATCATCAATGATAATCTGTATATTTAACTAAGAAAGTGAGATGAGCAGGAGACGGTTTGAAAATGAGTTGGAGAGAGAAAGAAACGGAGCACTCAGGGGTGTAGTGCATGTGAATAGCAGCTGGAGAGGAGAGGAGGTTTACGTGGCAAGTGGAAACCATTTCAGTGTTGCGCACGGACTGAGGGAGTGTGTTTATATGTGCAGACTCGCTGTCTTTATTTGAGCTGCGGGTCTCCGGGGGCCTGTAGAGTGTGTATGTGTGCATGGGTTTGTGTCTATGTGGGTGTTCGCGTACTGTAATTGGTGTATGCGCATGCTTGTTGGGTTAATGTGTTCACGACTTAGATGGCGGGGTGGGTCAAGAGGTCTGTGTTTATTTGTATTTTCAGATGGCTAAGATTTTAAACCGGTATAGGAAATCATTAAAGCAAATGACCACTTTCAAATCTGTCTAACAACCGTGCACTGTGCCTCTTTTTCAATGAACAGCCCCCACTCTTCTATGCACAATGAGTCTCACAGTAGCCGAAAGATTAACTCTGTGCGTTGAACTAGGTTTAAATCAAGTGTTGCATTTAACTTTTTTTCGCCCCCCAAGTTATGGATATTGATGTTCATTTTAAGGATCAGTGTAAAGATGCAGCCCCCTACCTCCCCCAAGTTATAACTCTGGCATGGTCAAAGCTCCTCCCCCACCTCCAGCAGAAAGCAGATCCAATAGAGGCCTCTCTGTTTCTGATAAGTGACCATTTGTCACGGTGGACTCCCACCCTCGAGGCAGAACTTACTGTAAGCTTAATGCTCAAAACAACACGTTTGAGCCAGAAAAGGTTCAGTAATGAATGCGATCAGACATGTGTGTTTATTTATTTATTGGTAATTCTATGTAAGTCCAGTTATAGGCATAGGTTGTTCTTTGATGGCTCTGCTTTTGCTTCACATACAGTAGTCGAATGTAAAAGGCGTCAGATTTTCTACTGGAAAACATGATGAAGTGGAAGGTTGGTTTGAAGGATTTGGATTTTATTAGCATTTCCTTTTGATTCTAGACTTTCTTGGAAACCATCTATATATCGCTATATACTCTGTATATCCACAAGCCCCCCCCCCCCCTCTCAACCAACTTCCTCCTGACTGCTTTTCTGTTTTGTTTTGTTTGTCTACCCTCCCTCCCAAAATGTAAAGCGTCTTTGGGTTCAAGAAAAGCGCTATAGAAATATAATTTATTATTATTATTATTATTATATCTGCAACATCCAGTGTAACGGTAACTAATAAAGTTAAAGGTTCCCATGTGGAGTTTCTTGCCTCACGTAGCGTTATGGAGTGATGTTTTTACAAGTGGGTGCCTGTTTTATTATCACCGCCAACTGTAACCTGTATATACGTATGTGTATGAAGACACACATGCACAGTGTTTACAGTTGTTTGCAAAAGAGCGCTCGCGTATAAACATGGACAAAAACAATGTAGGTTTTAGATTTTTCCAAAGCTCTGCTGTCTGATGTACCTTTGTGAAACCTTCTATGGTATTTACACTTTTAACTAGAGTGCAAGTAAAGATGATTAAGATATTAGACAGTTTCGAACAGCCTTGTTAGAGCTGTCTTATGATTTTGCTGAACGTTTCTGTACTATTTGTATGTGGTCTGCCCTTTCTCCCTCAGGGCCACATACTGATTCAATGACATGAGTACATCTGTACTACATTGAACCCCAGTCCTGTGTCCTTTTCTAATCCAACTGCACATCTGCTGCTGATGAGACAAACAAAGGGATTGCACTTTGCCAATTTTATCATAAAGCTACCCTAAGGTTCAAAATATGGCACTAAAACAGAGTGGCCAATGCCAACTATGCTATCAAGCAAAATGCTTGATCCTGAAAAATCTCTCACGAAAAATAATGTCTTATTTGCATGGGTAGACTAGACTCCCTGGTTTCCTCCTCTTGGTGATGAATTATTGCAACGTTTCGTACTGTCATCATCTTTGGATGGAGTTGATGATGGCTTAGTGGGGGTGGGGGTGGAGGTTGGATAGAGTTAGGACATCTGGGAATGCAAGGGTGGGAGCAGGAAGCACATGTATAAATCTGAGTGAGGAGAGATATAAACACAGCGAGTGGCTAATAGGGCTATCTGGTGGAAGCCAAGAAGAAAATACTTTACTTTTCATAGCTCATAAATACCTTAGATCTACGTTGTGCATACATAAAACGTTAGATATATAAACAGACATGCAAACTTAAACACTCAATGATGGTTCCCAACCTTTTTTGTCAGCAAGTTCCTACCCCCACGGCTCTATCAGTTAATTAGCCTTTCATCAACACCACCCATCATGTAAAAAGCTATATATCTCATAGTGTTTGGATAGTACAAGTTGGTATGGCTAAGTTTGCTTTTGTACAACTACCACTATAAGCGTATTATTTCAACCATTGCTTTAGGCTAACAACTTCTTCCATGCATCCATTAATTAAGCTAAATATCTGAAATCACTGTTCTATAACTTTGAATACTATGTGAAATCACCCTTATCAGGAAGTGACTTATTAAAGTACTGTAACTTTACTGGGCTAAAGCACTTCATTGAGACTTTGATTTGTACACAGTCATTTATGAAGCTACTTTATACTACTCATTTCACAGCTCTTTTTACACACTTCATTTGAAATGAGACCTATCCTGTCCAATACTTGTTCACCCCATTTTTCTCACACATGTTCTCCCCGTTCTGGCTCTGTCTTCCTGCTGTTGCAAAACATTTCATTTCCTGAATGAGAGTGAAATATTAGCTTTTGTTTTTCAGGCCTATTGACTTTGCTGACAAAGTTTTTACTCACTCACCTCAGGTCTCAGATTTAGTGTTCACTCATCGCAGTAGTTAATTATTGGTTGTAGAAACATCTATTCTCATAATTTTACATAGATTATAGTTTTATGAGGTCATGACCTGCAGAGTTTTGTATCCATCTGACTTACGACACGTTTGTTTTTTTGTTCTTTTATTTTATTTGACAAGAAAATGTCCAGGATAGCAGATTTATTTATGATTGGGTTCCCAAGAGGTCTATATTTTATTTCAAAGTCAGATTTAGTAATAAGCAAGCAAAGGCAAGGAAAGGTTCACATGTTTGCAGTTTGAGTAGAAGGCAATTTACTGATTATGAAAAAGTGTAATGGAATGAGTAGCTAATTTAAATAGCACTCAAAGTCAAGGCACTGCAAACCAATACATCTGTAAATCAGGACCAAAGATAATGCCTGGAAACTTGATATAGACATGTTCAAATTCCCATAATACTGCATAATTATGTCTGAAAATGCCTCTTTTAAATGTATTTAATTAAAAAACACATCAACCTTTACTGGAAGTAAATTGACTGACTTATATAAAATCACTAAGTACTGAAAGACATTTTAGGTTTTCCCTTTTCGTTACAGCCAAACATGTTTGATACAGTCCTCTCATGTCAATGTTGAGCCATCATTATTATTGATCAGTTCTAATTGATCTGTGATTTGAAACAAACCACACATTACCGATAATAATGTCAATGTCAAAACAAATATCACTGCTTGCTGTAACTGAAGTTATTGCTGTTATATTTGACTTTGAAGAAAATTAAGGCAATAACCAACATTTAAATTATGTGTTCTTTCCAGTGTTTCTGCACCCAACGTTGTGGTCTGGCAAAACATCTTGCACAAATAACTTCAGGCTTCTCAAACCGCAGCCCAACCACAGTAATCCAGTGTCAAACTCTTTGGCAGTTTTAGCATTTGAGATGCTAAAGCTGTTGAATTCTTCTTCATAAGTTATGAGCTCCTTGACATGTTCATTTTGATCCCAAATTGATTGCAAAATATCATCCCAAGAGAGAAAAATTAATCTTCAGTCTGAAGCTCTTTGGAGAAATTATGTTTCAAACCAAGGTGTCATTTCTTATCTAAGACTTAAACCTTCAATGTGTTGGACTGAATCATCTTATTCCCAGCCTCATTTTTACACAAGTTCCTCTTTCCAGAAACTGTCATGACCAAATTTTTCAAAACGCCGGCTTTTCTCTTCTCCTTGTGACATTTTTTTGCTGGAAATATTTGTTGATCATGTGAGTCAGGAGCCAACATATTTAACTTTACACCACAGTGATGGCACTCCAGTAAAAGCAGCCATGTGACCATAAATAGAGATTGTGATTTGTAGATCCTGTTATTCAAACACACCATAAAAGTACATTGTGCATCCAATGTAGCAGCGTTATTAGTGTAAACAGATATAATCTAAAGTGTGCAGACAGTAGCTCCTTTCTGCTTTGAACTCAGTGGTCAGCTGAAGCTCTTGTTAATGTGTGAACTGAATGTCAGCTGTGCTTATGTCTGGATTCCAGCTGACGCTTGTTAGATGTGCTTTAGGGTCTTCAGCTATGCTTGGTTTAGGGATTCTTCAAGATTATGGCTTCAGCTAGGCTCAGAGGATGCAGCCCTACTCGTGTGGGGCAAAACACGTCGTAGATGTTTGTAATGTATAGGACAATATATGCTTTTATTAACTATTCACACATGAAATATCCATAACAAAACACTCCTGTAGTTAAAGTAACCAAACTTTATTGAAGTAGTGGACATGACTTACTTAAGTTATGAAAGCGTGCACAAACTGTGAAACTAAGTCACTGCTGGTGTTTATATGGTTAACTCAGTGAGGTACAGAAAGAGAGGTTTCCATTGGCTGTGCTGCACGCTGTAGTCAGAGCTCTAGTGTTTCATGGAGACAGAAGGCCATCCCTCTGAGCTCAGCTCCAGCCCCTTCATCTGGTTCTATTTAAGGCCTCTAGTGCCGACTCTTATGATTGGCGTACACAACCCCCTACTCTCTCTCCAGCTCCAACCCCAACTGAGGAGAAGGAGGCTTTTTAGCAGATGGTTTATTTTCCAAGGGAAACCATTTCTTTCTCCCACTCTACTGTCCTGTCCTTAGCTGGCTTAAGCCCACTTTTCTATCACTTCTAGAGCTCCTTCTGCTTTCTAACTGCTGTTCCTCTTTCCACTGTGTTAATGTAAACCTGCATCTACTGACCCGGTCTTGTCCCACATCAGGAGGAGGCCCCTTCAGTGACACATAATGGATTATCTTCACTTGACTGCTTGATCCTGCACTCTACTGCAAGAGATTCCTTTTTTAGACTTTTAGCATCTCCATTGCCCTTGTTGTTGGGCTGGAGGGGGATGCAGCTCTATGGCTAGACTCCCAGGAAGATGCACTGAGCCCTGTGATTATTGTGATTGGCTGAGCTCTACAGACAGTGTGGCCTATGGCACAACGAGTGCCCAGGAGCGGTTCTCGTGGACCTATGGCTGGCAGCTGGCTGACGGCATGTTTTTTCCCATCAACCCCAGGTCTGGATGCTTCGGACCCCATGCTCCTGGAACAGTACGTGGTGGTGGCCAGTTACGAGAAACAAGAGCCTTCAGAAATCGGCCTTCAAGCGGGCGAGGTGGTCGATGTCATTGAGAAGAGCGAGAGTGGTGAGTAATCAAAACAAAAGCACAACACAGACATGTTGAGCAGGAAAAGGCAACATGCATGTCAGACATAAACAAAGTCTTTCCATAGTTCTTCAAACATGCTGACTGTTTGCATTTTCCAAGCTCAACCCTTTTACCTCCTTTGTCTACAGCTAGCTGTTATTTAGCCCCATCTTGAGGCTCACTTTGGCCTACAGTCAGCCCTGTTTTTCCCACTGTTGGTTTAGGCCCAGGGCCAGAATGTTGCCTCTCGCAAGAGGAATGTCTTCCAGACTCATATTAATTATTCCACCTTACTATGCCGGATTTACAAATGCCAGCTGCAGAGAGTCCTTAGTCAGCTGTTTAACCTCTGGGAAAACCTAGCAAACAGAGCCAGGATCATGTTTTAGGATATATGTGACTCAGTTAGACAATATTTCATTTTTGATGAGTCAAAACAACTTAATCATTGATTAAGCAATAATGTATATGATTTAACAAAAATAACGGTTAGAATATCTATATTTCAAATGCAATGATATGAAATCTGGTGAGATAGTTTCACACTATATGATACCGGAAAATCTATATTGAATCAATTCACGTGTCTTGGGTAACTATAAAAATAGTTGTAAAACCACCAGGTCTAAGCACCTGCCCGAATCCCTTTTTATTTTGAAGGGAATTTGCTATACGAAGCCCAGGATTGACCGGAAAGGTATAGGCCCAGTAACAGGGTCTGAGCTTTAATGGTGTGCTGAGACAGTTAAACTGTAATGGGACTCATGTGTTCTTCAGTGGGAGGATGGGGATGGAGGAAATAGTGACCAGAAAGGCAATTGGACTTGGGTTTCATGATGGGTGTGAGTGAAACGCCATGCCACACTGGCCTTAAGGAAGAGGGTCTGTGGAGTAGGATTGCTTTGAAGTGTCACGTGTCCCGCCTTCGGGTTCATGTATTTGTTTTCACTCCCTGCTCCAGTAGGATTTCAACCCAATGGGGAGCCACAGTGAGGCGGATATTCCAACACCTTGAAGTCCTTTTATCGGGGGGCCTTATATGAGAGCTTTCCTCCATGAAGTCAAACTGCATGGTGCTGCGCTTTTAAGTAGAGGCCCCTTCACTTTTGCATTTCAGTTGGCCTATGTGCAAAGTTATGGTGGTTGATGTGTGTGTTGATGATGCATGCAGAATGTGAAACTCATGCACTTCAATGGTCTCATTGCAGATTTATGATTTTCCAGGCTTTCGTGTTATTACCGTAGCTTAGTTTCAATGTTATTATTGCCTTGTGTCATCCTCTTCTCTGATGGAAAGGCTATATTTAGTTGCATCTCTCACTCAGCTCATTCATTCATCTCTGGCTCAGTTGGAATTGTCAGGAGTTTCTAGAAAGCAAAACAGAAGAGTCCAAGCTCCTTAAAACACATCCTAAGGCTATTTGACAGTTTTATTATACACTGACGGACACTTTCACAGAGATCTGAGCTAAATACCCCCCCCCCCCCCCCACCCAGCCCTACATCTTGCTTTGGAGACTGTTTCCAGCAGCACAGCTAGCATTTAATGGAAATCTCAACACCTCCTGCAATGGAAGTCGACTAAATCTGCTCGATTTGGCTGGGGGACATCCCTCCATCTCCCTTTGCCAATACAAACAAGACCAGGTGTGTGCTAAGAAGATTTCAGAGCCCATTTGATTTAGCATTCATTCCCTTGCAGGATAAGTACAAAACCCTTTAATAGTTTCTGACAGATTGGTCTGTGAGTTACAGAGTGAATATGTTGCGTTATAGGCGTTAAAAGGTTTCTTTTACATTTGTAATGATAAAAGGATTGAATGGATTTTTATTGAGCTTCCAGCTAGTCACATATTTTCCTTTAAAGCTTAAAGTACATTCAAAGCAGCATGGGTTCCCCCTGCAGAGTTTTTGAATGCAGTGAGTGGAAAATATCTGTATGCTGTCATGTTGCCGTCTAAGTCTGGCTGTTTTTTGCAGAAAAGGTGTGAGTGTATGAGAGTATAACACTGACAGATCTACAGTAAAAAGGAAAAACTAAAGCTCTGTATTATTTTTGCCCTAGTCCCTCAACAGAAGTCCTGCTGTTAAAGCTACTGTACCATAGATGTTGGCTGTGACTGCAGCCCAGGGCAGTTATCGACTTTTCCTTACCTTGGATTAGATAATATATGCCTTCAACAGGGCAGTGAATCTAGGTCAAACCTATAAGAGAGCTCAGCTTTCTCCACTTTTCCAGCCTGCTGTTCAAGGCAGTATTTTCCATTGCAGTGGCTCAACGATACAGTTTGTGTCTTTGCCTTTGTTTCAGATAGTACCGTTTTTGTATTGATTTTGTTAGTGTTTGGTATGGTGCAGTATGCTGTCAATCAACAGGGTATACCTATGATTGCTTGATGTTTAGTTGTAGCATTCAGGTTTTTTGGAATGATACTCTAAAAACAAAGAAAAACAGGAACTACTTTCTGCAAAAACTGATATAAATAAATGCATGGATTAATATAAAGTAGCCAAATATAAAGGCATAACAATATAGTGTTGTTGAACCAATTTATTCTGCCATTATTCCCTATGCAGCTATTTTATTTGTCTATTTTATGAGAGTTTGCCAGGGGGAAATGCTGGCTCAGGAGGAGAGAGTAGTGCAGGGAGAAACTCTGGGAGAAAATGGAAAAAGCCATTTCCTGCCAAAGTTAGTGGTTCAGAAAGGTTGGTTCATTATAATGGCTTAATGGATCCTCCAGGATGCCTCCTCAGTTTACACTGTATTGGAGAGATGTTAACCAACGCTAAGCTAGCAGCCTTGTCGGTCAGTTCGAATGCTCGGATGTATTCAGCGGTTTAAACTTTGCCCGTTAATGGAGTAGCATGTAGGAAAGGAAAAATAATTTGCAGTCACTTCTGGAAATATTGCACTTATTGCAGCTGGTTTGCCTGCACCTCAAGGGCAGCGTTAGCCACACTGCGCCCAGTCAGGGTTAAACTTGTCTCCTTTCCAAGTCTGCATCAGCCTCTATGAATTACAATCTGCCAAATCAACTCCAGGAATGCCAGTCTGTTTTTGGGAGGCCGGCTCACATCCGTCAGTCCCTTCAGTTCCCCAAAGACCCTCTGGCACCACCCATGTACAGTATGTATTGACTATATGCTGCTCCACCCAGCTTAATTAAGCAGGGAGGAGTAGGTAGAATTTCAAGAAGAGCCCGAAGAGTCACAGTAAACATATCTATATAAAATAGGCCTTTTCGTCCTCACAAACACAAAGGATTTCAAGTTTGATGAATGTGAGCCATGGAGAAGTTGGAAGGGAACAGCGGTATCCTGCAGGAGATGTTTGACTTCCTGGCTGAAGTCCCTTAGAGATTGCTTGAGTCAAATACTGGCAGATTAAGCAGGTCTGGCCCTCAGCGTGGCATGATGGATGTGCAGGATGTCTTCTTTAACTTCACATGGAAAAAAAGTACCCACCAGTACAGTAATGTCTGCGCTCTCCGTCTTCAGGCTGGATGCAAGATGATCTCAGGGCTTACAGCTCAGCTGGAGCTCGATGTTCAGAGAGGCAGGCTCTTTTTGACTTTACTCCAAGAGCACAGACTTACACTTGTCATGGCAAAAGTTCCAAATCCAGATCACTACTACTGAGTTCATGGAATTTATTTTTATGGCAATCAGATTATTTAACTTATTTGAATTGTTTTTAGCCGCGCTAGTGCAAAGTACTGCTATGTCTAAATACAGCCCTACAGAGCTGCTTGTAGACTGTAGATTAATGTTTGAGCTATAATGCATGGACAACAACAACTATGGAAGACATAACCTTGGAAAATGTAATAAATGTAGCTCGCAGTTTACATGATGTATTGTTCCTCCTGGGATACAATGCTAGGCCCTCATATAACACTTTATTAGTTACAGATGACTTTCCTTTGTACCTAGATAAAGGCACAACAAGGCGTGTTGCCATAATATTCAGCGAGTTAATGAGAGAATGGAAATAACTTTTTTCAGCAACAGTAGTTCTTGCAAGTCTGACAGCTGAATGTATTACTGTCCTTTCCAAATGTTCTCTGATACAGGAGGATAAAGGGCAAGGTCAGCTCTGAACATCTAGTACTGTTCGTTCTCAAACCCTCAGTTTATGCAGAATGGTATGTGCAGTTTCAGCAAGAACATGTTTCCTTGTACAAAAGACGAAAAACCCTATAATTCTTGTCAGTGAACCACCGAAGACATGATACAGAAAACTTTCCAAGTGTTAAAAGTCTTTTTTAAGTAAAAAAACCTTCAGCAACAGATGGAAACCACATCATCCACTCATAGTGATCCCCATCTACCACATTCTTTCAGCTTACCATAGGAAGAACTAATTACCATTTCAAGGAATTAACCTTATCCTGTATTTTTAGATACGGAAACTTAAATGGGAGGTTTGTAAATTGCGTTTTTTAGCTCTTCAAGACTTCTACTGCTGCTGCATACAAGCAGATGAGTTGTATAACAGGAGCAATAACAGTATTTAAGAGTACGAATAGTGGTAATAATAGCGCACAGAAATCCGACTGCAGCCAAAAAGGTGCCTCTGTCTCACTCAAGAATTGACCATTGAGTTAAACCAGTATTTTAAACGGTGGTCTTTCAGAAACTCAAGGACTGCTGTGTCTCCAAATCAGTGGAGCCTGGAGAGCACACAGCTTTAGTTGAGACCATGAGGGGATCCTTTCAGAGGCTGGGAGGGAGAGAAGGTTGTTCCTTAGGTCAACACAAGCTCTTGAAAGTCGAGTTGTGCCGTTTCTTTTCCGCCCTTCCCTCTTACCATAGACTCCCAGGTAATTGAAACCCAGTGTTTTATGAAAACTGGAAACGTGTGTATATTGGGCTGAATACCTTCCCCCCGTGCTCTGATACTGAATCCACTGTTAATGAATACAGAAGCTGGAAATGAATGGGTTTTTTCTCCTACTCTACTCAACAGTGGTGTCAGATATCTGCAGGACTGC